TTTTCAATCACTGGATTTTCTCTTTTACATGCAGCTTGCTTTTAATTAATGAATTTATGAAAAAGGCCTGGATCTGTTTTACATTTGTCCACTATACTTTTCTCAAAGTTCCTTTCTGCCTCTCTCCTCACTGCTGTGTAACTGTTTTTTGCTTGTTTGTAATGCTGATATGTTTGCGGGTTAGGCCTCTTCCAATATTGAACCCATTTTCTTGTCTTTTCCTCTCTGGCCCTCTCACAATTTTTGTTGAACCAATCCTGAGTTCTGGTCCTGCATCTGTTTTGGTATGAATGTTTTTGTGCCTTTGTGGTAAAGTGTCATACATTCGTAGCCACTGCATAGGGGCGAAGCTAATGTCATATCGGCTGGAGGCTCGCTCGAGTGCTCGACCATTGGTGTTTTGATCGTCAGGTCAGCCGGGTCGAGCTTGCGTTAAGGTTGGTAAAATGTAATTTCTTTATTATATACGGTGCTTAAACCGTATGGCTTGTCTTATTGCAGGTTACTACGCTGCAATTATATGATCAATAAAGCTTCAAGTTGGGTGATGCCTTTGTTTTACCACAGCCTTCATCGTATATTTCGCAAAATTTGGCATACATCTCATTTACTTCCTTGCCTAGCAACAAGTCTGTCCAATTAAACTCATTCAAGAATCTTCAAAGTTCCCCATAGTGTCATCTCTTTAAATAGTTTGTCAACGTTTCAATGTCCCCATTCTCTTCTAGATTATATCGCAAACATATTTCATTTTCAACAGGATATGATCACTCTTTTTCCCAAGGGAGGAAGGTACTGGATGTCAAATAGCTCCTCTTTTTTCCTGAAGAATATTAGATCCAGTATTGATGGGACATCCCCTTCCTTTATTCTTGTAGACTGCTTCACGTGTCGATACATGAATGTCTCTAGAATGAGGTTTACAAATCTGCCTGTCCAAATGTCCTACGTTCTTGCTTCGTAGGCCTCCCAGTCTATTGCATTTAAGTTGAAATCTCCCAGTACCAACAATCATGACTTGGCTCTATCTGCCCTTACTACAATCTCACTTGTGATCATCATGAGGCCTTCTCATTTGTCATCTAGTTCCTCCTTTGTCCATGTGTTGCTTGCTGGTGGGCTGTAGGCATTTACAATTATCAGTATCATCCTGATTCCAGACCTGCAATGCCAATATGTCAACTTCTCTAGGGTTTTCGATTATTAACTCTCTTACCTTCAGGTGTGTGTATTTACTATGTGCATCTGCAGAATCGAGCTATTAGCTCTTGGACCCTGCCTTTCTAACCAATTTTTATATTTCCTCAACAATATCTATTATATATATTTCACACACATCCCCAGGAAGCAGCCTATAGCAGCTGTATAACTCCCAGGTACCTATTTAATGCTAGGTGAACAGAGCACCAGGGTGAAAGAAACTCTGCCCATTTGTTTCTACTTCTGCCGAGGATCAAACCCAGCCCTTAGGACTACGACTCCAGAGCGCTGTCCACTCGGCTGCGAGCCGCCCCCCCCCCCCAACCCTATGTATGTATATATGCATATACGTACTCGCCTAGTACAGCTTGCAGGGGCTGAGCTTTGGCACTTTGGTCCAGCCTCTCAACTGTCAATCAACTGGTGTACAGATTCTTGACCCTACTGGGCTCTATCAAATCTACACTTGAAACTGTGTATGGAGTCGGCCTCCACCACATCACTGCTTAATGCATTCCATTTGTTAACTACTCTTACACTAAAGAAATTCTTTCTAATGTCTCTATACTAGTACTAGTACAGAGACATTAGTACTAAATGTACTAGGTGGAAGCCTAGTACATTTGGGTACTAGGCTTCCACCTGTGTCCTCTTGTTCGTGTTCCACCCGTGCTAAATAGTTTGTCTTTATCCACCCTGTCAATTTCACTGAGAATTTTGTAGGTGGTTATCATGTCTATCTTTAGTTTCTCTCTTCCAGGGACATGCGGTTCAGCTCCCTTAGCCTTTCCTTGATGCCCATACCTCTCAGTTCTGGGACTAGTCAAGTGGCATACCTCTGAATCTTCTCTAACTTTGTCTTGTGTTTAACTAAGTATGGATGCCAGGCTGGAGCTACATACAGTTCTCCAAAATTGGTCTGACATAAGCGGTATACAAGGTCCTGAACGATTCCTTACACAAGTTTCTAAAGGCAGTTCTTACGTTGACTAATCTAGCATATATATTTGTGTATGTATAAAAAATCAAATTGGTTTGATTTGATATTATTATGCTGTACTTTATTAAGCACATGAATTACTGAAATAATTAGGTTAGAATAGGATAGGTTAGGTTTGGTAGGTTAGGTTCGATTAGGTCATATTTCTACATTAGTTTTAATTACAATTAAAAAAAATACCTGTATATAATGGAAAGATTCATCATTCCATAAGAAATATATACAATACACAATTTCAGGAAAGCTCGGCTTGTTAGGCTAATTGGGTCTTGCATACTAGCCCAAGTAGTGCATTCTGGCCTTCAGGTACAACATATACAGTATATAGATACATAGATGAAGAACTCCTCTTTCAGCTAAGCCCTGATGCTATAAAAATAGTTAGAGGGATAGAAGCCCTACATCAGAAGATAGTAAATAAAGAATATGTGGTCATATTCAATGAGACATGTTCAAAAGAAAACCTACTGCCAGTATACACCAGTATATAGATACTGTATGTATATCATTTTGGAATCAATGTTACCAGTAATTTATTTTCTTAGGTCTCACTATTTATTTTATAATACAGTATCTATTTGATATTCCATTTAAGAGTCAACCAAAGGAAACGTCCCATGCAAATAAACAGTCCTAAATGCAATCATATGTACTTCCTTTATCCAACTGAAAAAGAGAAACAAAGAAATAGGTAATTAACACCATGTAGGCATTTATATATGTTACACAAAGTACCATAAATCCCAAACATTGCTTCCTTCTAATTAAGCCAATTGTGTTTACTATTATTGTAAGTATTAAATAAGGTACTATAAATCTACTTTCAAAATATTTACCACAATCTATATAATCTAAAATAAAATCAAAGTCCTTATTCATAAATGATTGTACATATGGTGAATGTAGTATACAGTACATGGATTTTGCTAAAGCTTTCGATAAGGTACCACATGAAAGACTGGCAAGGAAATTACAGGCTCATGGAATTAATGGTAAAATATTAGAATGGAGAAAACAATGGTTGAAGGAAAGAAAACAAGGGGTCATGCTAAAGGAACGAATCTGGAGAAATGTGATAAGTGGGATGCCACAATGATCCATTTTGGAACCTACCCTTTTTGTCATACACATCAACAACATAGATGAGAATATTACAAACCACATCATCAAATTTGTAGATGACACAAATATTTATGGTAAAGTGGAAAATAATAATAATATTGAAGCCTTACAAAGAGATCTTCATGAACTCCGCAAATGGTCAAAAGACTGGCAGATGCTTTTCAATATCAACAAATGCAAGACCATGCATGTAGGGCATAACAACCCATGCCATGACTACCAAATTAATAGCATTACAGCAGATGAAGAAGAAAAGGATCTTAAGAGTCAAAATCCGCCACTCATTAAAAGTTGCACAACAGGTGGGGGCAGCAGTCAGAAAAGCTAACCAAACTCTTGGGATAAAAAGCTGCAACACCGGGCAACAAAAGTAATTCCAGAGCTAAACTCATCTCCCGTATCAGGAACGCTTGAAGGCCACAGGGCTAATGACACTGTAAACCAGGTATGACAGGGCAGATCTCATTGACACTTTTAAAACACACACTGAACAAGTTAGAGGATGTTGATCTGAATACCTTCTTCAGAAGGTCACATGTAACACAAACAAGGAGCAATGGTTTCAAACTCAACAAGACACATTGTAGGACTGAGAACACGAGATGCTTTTTTACCCACAGGGTTATTAACCCATGGAACTGCCTACCCACCGAAGTCATAACTGCCGAAACTGTGTTGTTTAAAATATACAGTACCTAAAATAGATCAAGAAAAATGAGGGAGGGGGGGGGGAAGAGACCTTCGACAAGATGCCAGTTTCTTGTCCTCATCAAGGCCACTAGGGTTAGTTGCCCTCAGGTAAATCAGGTAAATTTAGAATTGGGAAAGTTTAGATAAAAAACACAGTACTGTACAGTACATTAATTACATTAGCATCACAATAACATCACTGCAGGTAGACATCATCATTTTCAGAATCAGAAATTTAATCCATAACTTGTACAAATCATTACAATGCTGGCTAGACTAAACAGGTACTGTATATACAGTAGCAGTCTAAATAAAATTTACATTTTAGGCATAAAGTGAGTGACGGTTAGCTAACAATCTAAAAGATGATATACTGTACAGTATCGTAAAGACAAAGTGAGGTTTAACATTAGAGCAGGAAGATATACACTGGCACAATTTATATCACAAAATTAAGATGATGAGAATTAGAGTACTGTATACTTTATTACTAGTAACAAATTATATTTTCAAAATTAATTTGGTGTATTTTCCTGTCATTGATCTTTGAGCCTATTTCACCTAGAGCTCTCTTGAATTTTGGCCTTTATCAGTGATGTCTTCAAGCCATTTAAATATTTAACAAAGTTGAAGTAATCATCAACAGTGAAGCCTGCAAAATTTAATAGTAATAACTCATTATTGTCACTGCAGCCATTATCAAAGAAGGTTCTAATTTTGAGTGTACTGTCCCCTGGCTTTCCTCCTCAGGGTCAGGACAATATTTATTACATTACACCAGATTAATTATGTTTATGCGGAATTATGGCAGCATTAACAACATTAAAATTTTGCATAGAATTAGCCTTGTCCTAATATTCAGAGAATTTTTTTTTTTGCATGGTACTCAACAATGAGTATAGGTACTCGCCTACACAGCCAGACCACAACAATGAGTACAGGTACTCACCAACACAACCAGACCACAACAATGAGTACAGGTACTCACCCAGTACCCATACCTCGGCAGATCTTTCCGGGGAAAGAACACTTCAAGCGGATGTATATTTCCTTGCGACGGAGCGATGTGGAGGGATAATGCGATGGTGGAGGTGTTGTAGAGCAGCTGCGAGAGGCAGCAGCCTCAGCAGCGGTGAGAGGAGACAAACAGCTGTGAGAGGTAGCAGCAGCAGCTGTGGCCCCCAGCCTCCGCCAGCGCTCCAGTCAATGACAGGTAAATAGAGAAAACCTGCTCTCCGCTCCACGGAAAACGCATCTTTCCTCTCGTTCATGGATTTCCTCATGTTTTTATCGTGTAAGACACTGCTAAGTCTATTTTATGCAATTTTGATGTAAAACTGTATTCAGAAATGTGTTTTATTTTTTGTGGGAATGGCCCTGGATTATATTCTTTTTTTTTGTATTCCTCCCCGAGGCCTACACGCACATGTCCGCACTCACAAACGTACACACACACACACACACACTCACGCATACACACACACACACATACACATACACATACACATACACATACACATACACATACACACACACACACACACACACACACACACACACACACACACACACACACACCGAATTTCTTTCACCCCGAATGCCCCTGTTACCTAGCAGTAAATAGGTACCTAGGAGTTAGTCAGCTGTCACGGGCTGCTTCCTGTGGTGTGTGTGTGGGGGGGGGGTTAAAAAAAAGTAGTTAACAGCTTTTTTTATTATTATTATTCTCTACCACAGACGTGGCCACACATTTACAATACTAACCAACATATATACATTTTCTTCTGTCCTCCATGGACAGGGTTAGAGATGTGTTAAACATATTGTTCAGGGGTTTATTGAACAATCAACCACAGAAGGTGATTTTGGTGCTTTTTAAAATGTTAAGCTAACCTACAGACGTAAATACATAGATACAGATTTACGTATGCCCTACATAAAGTGTTCGATGTGTCATTTACAGTGTCATTAATGTGCATTTACAAAGGTGAAATGTAATTCTGATCAGCTTCCATATATACTTTGTACACATACATACACATACACACACACATATACGTACATATACATATATACACACACATGCATTCACATACATTTGTCTCTTTTACTCTGACAGGGTGAGATAGCTGATAGAGAAACGTGTGCAATTAATCACTTAATCACCGAAGGTGATTAAGATGCTTTTACAAGCTCAGATTATATAGTTACATCACATACATTGTATAATTGATTCATTACATGGTTAATCTTGGGTACAAGTCCAATATATCAAGTGTTCCAGTACTCATATAGTAATTACACAGTTCAGCATACCTTAGCCCAGGAGGGCGAAAGTCAGTCAATATGGGACATTCTACAATATAATGTTCAAGAGAGTGCATGTTTTCTCTTTCACAAAGTTGACACATTGTGTACTCGACATTTGGGTTTTGAGAAAGCTGTCGGATACGTCTATATCCCAGGCGTATTCTGGCCACTATAACATCACATTGCCGGGTTCTTGTTCTATTAGTCACATATGTGAATGTCTCCTCACGATATCTATCATAATATTTAATGCTACAACTTTCAGGTCTTTGTGAATTTGTTAGGTCGGTGAGATCTTCATTAGATATTTGTTTAAGTATTCTCTTTGTCACTCCTAATGAAACACCCATATCAATTTCTACCACTGGTTTTCTACAGGCTGTCTTTGCAAGCATATCAACAGTGTCATGCCTTGAGATGCCAACATGTGATGGTATCCATAGGAATTTAATTTCAAATCTCTCTTTCTTTTGTAGCTAAAACATTCATTCGAATAGCACTGACTATTTTCTGGGTGTCACTACTATGTGCGTTCAATGCCAGGAGTGTACTCTGCGAATCACAGTATATAAGTCCACTGCCTTTGTCTTTTAAAAATTCAGTGGCAAGGTATATGCCTGCAAGTTCGGTTTGAGTTGTACTTGCCCAGTCATTGACGCGCTTCCGAAAGAGCAAAGCTCAACCCCCGCAAACACAACTAGGTGAGTACAATTAGGTGAGTACACACACACACACACACACACACACACACACACACACACACACACACACACACACACACACACACAACCGTCAATTAACAGGTGTACAGGTTCCTGAGCCTCTATCATATCTACACTTGAAACTGTGTATGGAATCAGCCTCCACCACATCACTTCCTAATGCATTCCATTTGTCAACCATTTGTGTGTAATTATTAGGTAATTACACACAAATGGTTGACAAATGGAATGCATTAGGAAGTGATGTGGTGGAGGCTGACTCCATACACAGTTTCAAGTGTAGATATGATAGAGGAATCTGATAATCCTTCCATAAAGGGGTGTTGGTGGCACATTGGAGTTTATGAGAAGAAGGCACATTGGGTTTATGAGAGTACATAGCATTGATGTTTTTACAGTTTTTGCAAAGCTACTAACACGCATAGCGTTTCGGGCAGGTCCTTAATCTAACAGATAATTATAAGTAGCAAAGGTAGAAAACTATGAAGATGGAATTATTTACTTTTTGGTTTTACTTTTGAATAAGGCATAGGTTGGATAGCTTTTTAATTCGTCAAGGAGTGAGTTTCATAGACTTAGTCCCTTTATTTATTTACACAGATTTAGTTTGACTCTGGGGATATCAAAGAGATATTTATTTCGGGTGTGATGATTATGGGTTCTATTACATCTGTCAAGGAAGAGTTTCAGATCAGGATTTGCATTTAGGAACAAGATTTTGTACATGTAAATGACACAAGAGAATGTGTAGAGTGAGTTTATGTTTAGCATATTTAGAGATTTATCCCTGTGTCAAATGCAAATTTGACACAGCTCAGTAAGCCTGTAATGGACTTACACTAATGGACTGAAGGTTGCAAGGCGGTACCAAGCAGCTGAAGCTCACCCGCTGCCAGTTCAACTAGGTGAGCACAAGAGGTGAGCGCGTGGTGTGGTTGCTAGGCGACGGTGGTGGTGTCCCGGGCCGCCAGGTGGCAGCACCAGCAGTGTAAACACCTCCCAACACCAGCACGAGGTGCACTACGCAACGCTCGTCTCACACAGCTATAAATATGAAGATTGAAGAAGTAAAAAGTACGACCAAGACACAACGAATCAACGCCCATTCTCATGTGAAGGGCTTAGGGTTGAAGGAAGATGGCACAGCTGAGTCTTCTGCCGCGGGCCTTGTTGGGCAGGCCCAGGCAAGAGAGGTGAGATCACTTTATAGCTGTATTTATTCATCTGATCCTTCTGAAGATGTATTATTAAATACGAAAGTACTTAAGGAAATTCCTGTTTCAATCCTTCCTTTGTGGTCTGACAATGTCATATATTCACATACAAGTTGATACAATGGCAACATAAGAACATGACTGACTTAAACTGATTCTGATTAAACTTAAACTCTGATTATAAACAACAGAGGTCCCAAGACAGAGCCTTGAGGTACTCCACTTACAACATTTTCCCACTCTGACTTAACCCCATTTATACTAACTCTGTTTCCTTTGGTATAGCCATGCCCTAATCCAACTTTACTAACTCTGTTTCCTTTGGTATAGCCATGCCCTAATCCAACTTTATTATAGCACCCCCCAATACCATGAGCCTCTATCTTTTTAATCAGTCTTTCATGTGGCACTGTATCTAAAGCTTTACTAAAGTCAAGGTACACAACATCGCAAACCTTACCACTATCAACTGCCTCAACTATGCTGGAATAAAAAGATAGCAAATTTGTTAAACATGAACGACCATTTGTAAAACCATGTTGCAACTCGTTTATTAATTTATGTTTTTCAAGATGAAAATGATTTTTTGCAATTATCGATTCAAGTAACTTTCCCACAATAGACACTAGGCTAATTGGCCGATAGTTTGATGCAGGTGATCTATCTCCTTTCTTAAAAATTGGTACCACATTAGCAACCTTCCACGACTCTGGCACTCTGCCTGACTAATGATTTAATAAATATGGTAAGTGGGACAAATTACAGTCCCGCTCCTGTGCCAGGTAAGTCCACAATGGGCTCACCACAGCCCATGCTACTTGAAACTTTTTGTTCCAAGTAGTGAATCTTAAGCAACAGATACAATGGGTTATTGGGGTACATATGCTGTTGAGTGAATAGTACAGTCTTGCTAAGCCACTCGCACACAGCATTTCCGGAAAGGCCCTTTAGCTAATACATTTTTTTCATTTATTTTATGTGTACGAGAGCTCTTACATTCTTATAAAGCCACTAGCACGCATAACATTTCAGGCAGGTCCATAATCTTAATTTTCCTTGGAATACGACCCACCAAATTGTGTAACAACCAGGTACCCATGTTCACTGCTGGGTGAACAGACGTACAGTTAAGGATTGCCGCCTAGTCAATCCTCCCCGGCCAGGATATGAACTTAAACCAAATCGCTCGCGAAGCATGGGGTGAGTGTCTTACCACTGCACCACAGGAACTGCAATGATAGGGGGGAAGGGTATAGGCAGTGATAGGGGTAAATAAGCACAGTGATAGAGGGAACTGCAATGATAGGGAGTATGGTCGATAGGGGGGTAGCACTAGTCACATGGAGGGTTGCTTGTTTGTTTTCTTTCTAGGGGAGTTATTTTTATTTTTGGGATGTAGATATCACAAGTTAACCAGATTTTGATTTCCCTACCTTTCAGGGTCCTTTCCTGGTCAATGACAATTGTGACGTGCTTTAAATATAAAGTGCTCATAGGCCATTGCTCCCTACGCTTCTCTGAGGGGACCAGGTTCTGGCTCGTGGTTCCCGTTAGGCATAAGAACTCCTGTCACTGATGACCCCAAACTAATATAGCACATATCAGTTTGGATAGCTTCAGGGAGCCTCCAAGGCTACCTGAAGATGGCGTACCCAGAAAATGGCATTTCATTACATTCAACATTTTTTTTTTGGGGGGGGGGAGGGAAATCAGTACTACAGTATATATTATTTTCCCATTTTGCCAAACCTTAATATAAGTTTATAATTTCAGGCAGCAGGTTACCTTGTTGACTTGATTCGCACGAAAAGAATGTCTGGTCGGGCAGCCCTGTTTGCTGGCCCTCCGGGAACAGGCAAAACTGCTATTGCTCTTGCACTTGCACAGGAACTAGGCAATAAGGTATGTAGAGAAAAGGTATAGATGCTTTTTGTTGAAGAGATTTGTTGCCAGCCCTGCATTTGCTTGTTTATTTGTAATATATTGTAGTGTTTGCTTCACGATGCATGTTTATATCTCGCTTCTTGTGTGTGACTGATTGAGCTGCAGAGGCCTGGAGTGAACATTTCTAGGTGTTTGCTGGTGTTGCCAGGGTTTCCTTGGTGAGTTTCTGTTTGAACACCCATTTGAGTCTCCAACTATAGAATTTCACCACATGCCATCATGATCAATTGCCTCACTTAGGTTTGATCTGAAACTCTGGACAATCTCCAACCTGACATGAAAGTATAAGTCATCTTATGTTGCTTTCTGTAGTAAAAATTTAGTGAACCTCCAAGTCTTCAGTATTTGTCAGAAATTCTACAATAATTTTTTTGTTTACAGGTACCATTCTGTCCAATGGTTGGGTCAGAAGTGTACAGCTCGGAAGTCAAGAAGACAGAAGTGTTGATGGAGAACTTTCGCCGTGCCATTGGTCTCCGAATTAAGGAGGTTAAAGAAGTTTATGAAGGAGAAGTTACAGAACTCACACCTGTTGAGACAGAAAATCCAATGGGAGGTAAGATATTGTTTAATTATGATACATTAAATATATATATTTCTCAGATCTTTAATCACTAGGTCTCTTCCTTAGGAAATGTACAGCTCTCCTGAGGACATGTGCTAATAAATCCAGCAAGGCCATTGCCACTATCCATTTCTAATGCAGTTAGGATTTTCTCGAGCTACCCTTGCTGGGCTGCAAGAAAAAATGCCATTACAGAATTCTCAATTTGGCTTGGAATGACTTCTAGTAGACTTGGATTTAAAGATATTACCAAGAATTGCTGTACTGAAACTGTTAGTTTGCTAGCCCAACCTACCACAAGATGTCATCACCAATGTTGTCAGCAGAGGAAGTCTGGTAACCACCTTGCATTCATTCCAGGCTCCTCCTTGTTTACATCTACTGATCAGCATTGTATCTGTTTAGAGTCAAGTGCTTAGTGTTTATCCTGAGACTTTCTCTTGCAGTCAGTCTGGGCAGTTTTGTGGATGCATATGTCTATATGAATTCTATATGCATATGTTCAGACATATGCATTCATACTACCTCATGTGTGTCCCTCTGGCATTTGCAAACCTGGTATATATGTAGGTTGTCTTTATGTTACTTTGATGTATTACTAGGGTTTTCTCCTATTTAGTCAATCTTGACTATCGAAGATTCTTGGTGTGTTGCAGGCCAAGGTAATCAATGTTGCTAACACATGTTGAGGTTTGTTTGGTCACCATATCACCAATGTGTGTGTGTGGGGGTCTTTGATACAGTACCCCATAGGAGACTGCATAAACTGGAGATGTAGGCAGGAGTAAAAGGGAAGGTACTCCAGTGGATAAGGCAGTACCTAAGCAACAGCAGATAGTCACTGTCAAAGGGTTGTCTCAGAGTGATGAGACATCACTAGTGGAGTCCCACAGGATTCAGTCCTTGGACTTGTACTGTTTCTGATATATGTAAATGATCTCCAAGAGGGAATAGACTTGTTCCCCCCTCAGTGTTTACTGATGATGCAAAAATTATGAGGAGGATTAAGACAGAGAAAGATAGCAAGAGTCTACAAGATGATCCAGACAAACTGTAGGAATAGTCCAACAAATGGCTACTGAAGTCCAACCCAAGTAAATATAAGGCAATGAAACTAGGTGCAGGTAACAGGAAGCCAGACACAGGATACTGAATGGGAGACAAAGTCCTCCATGAAACAGACAGAATGATCTAGAAGTTGATATCACACCGAACCTATTTCCTGAAGCCCACATCAAAAGAATATCAGCAGTGTATGTGAGGCTGGCTAACATCAGAATTGCCTTTAGAAACTTGTGTAAGGAATCATTTAGAACCTTGTATACCACATATGTAAGACCAATCCTGGAGTATGCAGCTCTAGCATGGAGTCCATACCTTGTCAAGCATAAGAGGAAGCTGGATAAGGTTAAAAAGTATGCCACTAGACTAGTTCCAGAACCAAGAGGGATGAGTTACAAGTAAAGGTTGTGGGAATTGCATCTCATGTCGCTGGATGGCAGAAGAGTTCAGGGGGAGAGAGAGAGAGACAAAAATAACACACAAAATTTTCAGGGAAATTGACAGGGTAGATAAAAACTGGTTATTTAACATGGGTGATATACACACAAGGGGACACAGGTGGAAATATCCTGTGTATTCAAACCAATTTTGAATACACAGCATGTTAAAATTGATGAATGCATCTGGGGGAGGATGGCTGCTGCTTTAACCACCCTAGCCCAAGGACGGGTTGATGTACTGTATTGTCTCGTCTACTTTCTGGTTGCTTTCCTGGTGAGGGTGATCATAACAATCCCCAGAGATTAATTTTGGCAAGGGGGCAGGTGCTGGCTCTGGTCCCTGAAATGCCAACAGGACGCCTATGACTGATGTGGTGGAATAATGGGCAAGCAATTTCAGCAATATAGCTTCAGGAAGCCACCATGGTGCATGCCTAGAAAAGCCAGCTAACTTGAATGGGTTTGGGCCTTATATGATTCAGATTACTGAACGTAGACCGTACTTCCTGAACTCGTTACATTTCTTGAATTATGCTTGATTCATATTCACTGTAATCAATCATTATCTTACTGAATGCATTATTTCTGAACTCTTTATGCTCTTGGAACTTATTACAGTTTATGGGTTTTGTAGTTCAGTGGTCTACGTTCTCATCTTGCAAGCAGAGATTATGGGTTCGATCCTCGAGCACGATAGAAATAGTTTGGCATGTTTCCTTTCACCTAACAGTAAATAGTTATCCAGGAGATAGCAACTGGTGTGGGTCGGTGGTTCAACCTATGGGGGATCTCCAATACAAACCTAAGTACAGGCTTTATGTCCCCAAGAACCAGAATATCTTTATAAACAACTTATTATAATTCTATTACTTAGCTCTGTTTTCAGAGACATGAAGTAATTTTCAGCATTTATTTCTTATTTATTATTCAGCCTGTTCCTCATGAGACGTAAGAAAAACTGCAATTTTTCACCTACTCGTAATTAAATAGAATACTGTACTGTAGTTGATTTCAGATTCTTCACATATTAATTTCATTTCAGGTTATGGCAAAACTGTGAGTCATGTAATAATTGGCTTGAGAACAGCCAAGGGAACAAAGCAATTGAAGCTAGATCCAAGTATATATGAAACACTTCAAAAAGAGCGTGTAGAAGTTGGGGATGTTATATATGTAGAAGCTAATTCTGGGGCTGTAAAGAGGCAAGGACGTTCCGATACGTACGCAACAGAGTTTGACCTTGAGGTAAGGATTTGTGATCTGGAATTTGTTTACCCTTTAATGGTTTATTTTGAAGTTTCAGACTTTATTAAATCACCTTCTATTTTTTAGAAGGTCTACAAGATGGGATTACTATTGCACTTTACTTGCGTTCCAAGAGGCATTTCCTGTGTGTGCAAGAATTATTTTTGTATTATTACTGTATTGTCTTCCTGTATTGAAGAAATTCTGAGGACTGGATCAAATCTTGATGATTGGCAAAGCAGACACCAGGTTGGTCACTCCTATATGGGGGAAGGGGGATGTGCCATGTGCATTTAATTTATTGTTTTTAATCATATTTGTAATGTTTTCCAATTTTTTAGTGCAATTATATAATGAACTGTCAATATTGGAATTTATATTGCAAAATGTGTGCAGCATCAGTACTCACAGATATATTAGTATCAATAATATGCACTTCATATTAGTGACACTAATATGAAGTACTATTATTAGGACAATAAAATGTACTATTTTTACTGTTATCTCACTGTATACACGTGTTATATACAAGTACCTGTACATGTTTTTTGCACCTTGCAAACCATTAACCACTGCAGTGTGCACCTGTTTAAAATGACAACTTTGTGGTGTGCAAAAAAAACCATTCTTTTAAATACAGTATTGTTTAAATACGTCCCCTGATAATGCACAGGGGGGGGGGGGGGATTGTATGTAGCTTACTTTAGTTGTGATGGAGAGAGGAAATATTGCAATGATGTCACTGATTCATGATTTGGTTAGGTCTACATCAGCAGGTAATGAAAATTCCCTGAGATACTTATAGCCGAGTCTAAGCCGAGCAATAGTAAGAGTCTGTCGATTTTATTGGATGATCCACAGATATGTGGCTCTTCTTGCATGATAGTACAGTATAATGATAGATAGAATTACAAATGTAGATTCCAATTTGCCTCAGATCTACAAAGTTTTGTTGAATTTCTTGGTGTATTATTACTCTCATTATTTTGCAAGAACTCTGGTTAGGAAGAAAAAGATTGGAATAGATGTGGCCAGTGGGATGTGTGGAGGAGTGGTAGTGTCTATTGATGTGAGATGTTGGTACACCATAAATGTGAAAAGTCGGGAATCATGACGTTAGAAATAGAGGAGCTGAGCAGCATGTCTGGTGTTGGGAAAACAAAAATACTGTATAAGAAATAAAAATATGGAAAGATGTGGTGTGTACAAGTTAGTAAATCACACAATTGAGGACAGTGTTTAGAGACCATTGTTCAGAGAGGGTATGACCATTTCTCCATAGTCACTGCCTAAGGGTTAAAAACTTAACCAAACAGAACCATAATGGAAATACATTTATTACTGTTAATGACTAACTTTAATTATCTAAATAATTAAAAAAAATAATTTATTTTATGATATATTGTGTGTTGTGACAAAGTATGTAAGTATAAAACTGTTATCAAGATGGTTGGAGTAAGGAATTGCTGTTAATGTATGCATGTTGAAGATTAGGAATATGAAACTTTGGTGCAGGTTTTCTAGCAACACAAAGTGTCCTGGTAGACAATACATAATGTCCATAGCTTTTAAAGTGTTCAACTAAACCAATGAAGTGAGCTGTCACGAGCATTTTATCTTTGGTGTTTAGGCAGAAGAGTATGTGCCCCTACCTAAAGGTGATGTGCACAAGAAGAAGGAGGTGATTCAGGATGTGACCCTTCACGACCTGGATATGGCCAATGCACAGCCTCAGGGAGGTCAAGACATACTCTCCATGATGTCACAACTTATGAAGCCAAGGAAAACAGAAATTACAGGTATTTATGGATTTCCTTTATTTTGTACAGAATAAATGAAAACCCAGCATTGAATATATTGAAACTCCTCTTTCTGGTACGGCTGTATAGCCCCGGTGGCTTCCTGAAGCTACGAAACTCCCCCAGAAAGACACTTTGTTCTAAAGAGATCTTTTGCTATGACTGCTTAAAAATATTGACCAAAGCTGACAGAATTTTTAGATATCACGTAAGATGTGAATACTTGACGGATGATTGTGTGTAGAAAACAAATTTTTTTTTTTTTATATTGAGTTGTTTGCCATTATAAGTGCTATTGCAATTAATGGTTAGCTATATAAAATGTAATCCTATTTCTCTTTAAATGTTGTATTACATTTCTTATGAGACTTTAATTTTGTGTCAGCTTTTCTGTTTTTGAGTGAACAAAAGGTTTGAAAGGTGCCACACCGAAAAGGTTAATTAAAGTAATTAAAGTAGGCATTAGACTTGTGGGATATTTTACCTATTCATTTTCAGTTCAAAATTTAGTAATCTGTTCAGATTCGATAGCCAGTCTATAGAACTAAATTTGAAGATAGTTTAGGATGTTTAGGCTCCATTTAGCATTATGGGAAATTCTATCATTTATTGCTATAATTGAAGCCATGTTTGTGGTTAGAGAATTATTGTACTGAACTTGATTAAAGTGCATTCTTTGTACATTTTTCTGAGTTGATTATTCTGCAGTACATGAAAGTACTAGCAGTCAGGTACGCTTGTTTAGTTTCCATGGCTAGTCCTGAGTGTGTTATAGCACTGGAAATCTGTAAAACTTGAGCTAGAGAATAGACCTCAGATCCTCAGTTCATTTGACTACATAAATTCTCTCACCATTGTTCTTAAGTACTTTATACAACTGTAGGGTTGCAATTTCTCCTCTATTCCATTGATACCTATATGTCAGACTTGCCTCAGTGCAATTGTAAGCCTTGTCGGCACACTTTACGGTGTACCTAGAAAAGTGGCAGACTGATCATGCATACAAAAAGCTTCTCACAAGCAAAAGTATTTTTTTTTAATTATGAAATTTTTGTCCACTCAGAAAAGCTACGATTGGAGATCAATAAGGTTGTGGATAAATATATTGACCAAGGTATAGCTGAGCTGGTACCTGGTGTGCTATTCATTGATGAAGTACACATGCTGGACATAGAATGCTTCACATTCCTTCACCGTGCACTGGAGTCAAGAATTGCACCTATTGTCGTATTTGCTACAAATAGAGGACGTTGTGTAATAAAGTAAGTGATGTCCTACTGATATTTCACATGTGAAAGATATTTTGTCAGCATTTTCTATTTTATCTATTACAGGCTTTTGATTATATAAATGTTTAATAAGGATTCTTAGTACATGTATAAATGGGTACAAAGTAGATACACTACCCCTGAGCAGTATGAACTGTCCCGGTGCTTCTTTGCATTTGGGTTAAGTTCAGTCGTCTCATTTGCTGACTTTCCTTCCATTTCAGTCTTCCCATTGAGCATCCTGCAATTAAGCCTTCATCCTCTGTACCACCACCTTCATTCTCTCATGTGCTTTATTCTTTTTCCTATACACTTTGTTGTACAATGCAATTGAACACATTAATTTGAGGTGCCATCAGGAACCGATGACTGATATTTTAAGTTCTCTTCATCATCTTCATTTTGGGTAAACACCAGGTCTAGGGCATTTACCTTCTTTGTCAGCTCCTAGATATGCTGCTGCAGGAAGTGTTTGTCTGTATTATTCATGAACCTTGCCCTCTTTTTTTTTTTTATCTCCATTGTGAGAATCCTTTTTTGGCCAGTCTATTTATCTGTTGTTAAAATCCCCAATTATTAGGATCTTTGCTCTGGCTCTGCATGCCACTGTGGCCAATTTTCTTTTATCTTCAGATATGTTTTGCTGTATTTATCAGATAACCCCCTTGACCTTCCTGTAGTTAATGGAGGGTTGAAAATAGCACCTACAACTATCTTATTGGTCTTCACTCTTGTCATATCTAGTGTGAAGATCTGGTGGTTGGGTACCTCCTCAAAGCTCTAGTTTTGTTGTATCAGTAAAACCACTTTTTCCCACGTGTTTATTCTTTCTCTTCTAACTACCTGGTATCCTTTTCGGAATATTGCATCATCTTTTTAATGCGTCAATTTTGTTCCGTAACAGCGATAATATAAAGCTGCAGTTCTTCTACCTCTTTATTTATTCCTGCAAACTCCTAGAATCTTGTTCAGAACATTGTACTCAGCACCTTGAGAAAGGATGTAGGTTTCATCCAAAAACTAGGTTTTTAATACACTTGTACATATATTTTTATCTTTCCTTCACCTTCATTCAAGCACTACAGCATTGTAGTAAGTTTCTCCACTGGATACAGTATTGAGAATAACTATATGCATATTCAGTTCTCTATATAATTGTTTTGTGTGTACTAATTATGTTAATTTTTGCTTTACAGGGGCACAGGTGATGTTGTATCAGCACATGGAATTCCACGAGATCTGTTAGATCGCTTAATTATTGTGCGTATGAAGCCATATGGTCCAGAAGAAGTTGCCCAGATTATTCGAATCAGAGCACAAACTGAAGGCATAAAAATTGATAATGATGCACTGCAAGAACTAAGTTCAATTGCTGAAAGGGCATCACTGAGGTTAGTATTTATTTAATTGTTTTTGAACAGCTACAGAGGAAGTCTAGAGGTATAATGCTTACAGCTTCTCATTATTTAGTTATACCTCAGTCTTTTCATATATCTGTATGCCTATTATATTTTACAAGACATGGAATGATGGTTGTGATTTTAAATTACAATATAAACAGTATATTGCACACAATGGTATTTTTAGTTAAAAGTTTTAACTAAAAACGCTTTCCCCCCAATAGTTCCTTTCCTCCAAATCTCGGGTACATTCTGTATTTGTTTAATTCTTTTCTGTTAACTTCCCTCCCTCTTCCACCATTTCTATTTGTGTGTGTATTATTGATGTGGATTAGGAAATCCATAGGAGCGACGAAGGTTCGAATCTATGCAGGGGGTAGTCCCACGCGCACACCCCTGACAATTCCTACCCACTGCATGGGTCCAAACCCTCATCCCGACTCCTACGGATTTCCTCATTGATGCAGTCACTTTACTATGAATTCTCTGTGTATTGATGTGGATTATTATTGATTGAAAACTGAAATAAGTTTATAAAGAATAAAAATTTCTCATATCGTCAAACAGTAATAAATATATAAAATACTGAGTAATATGAGCTATAATAGATCTAGTGTAACCAATGGTTAAAGTAGCTTATCTTAGTTTGTCTTGTTGGTGCAAGATTATATGAGTCACTTTAAGACTGGTAAAGACTAAAGACTAATAAATATTTTGCAATATGTGTATTATTTTGTTAATAATTGTTTTTATGGGGTAATAATAATAATAATAATTGATATTACAGATATGCTGTGAGACTGTTGACACCATCAAATGTCATGGCTCAGCAAAATGAAAATGAGTCTGTGACTGCAGAAGATGTTAAAGAAGCAGCTGATTTATTCATGGATGCTAAAACATCAGCACAGATGTTGGCAGAAAATGCTGATAAATTTATGAAGTAAGAAAAGTTATCCGAGGAGGCTTGTGCTTCTTTAAGCATTAAAGGTAACAATGATGGTTCGAAGCATTTCATCAATGAATGTGATGCTTTTAATAATTTCCTAAACTTTATATTTGTACCATTAGACATGCATGTGGCTATTGATTTTATTGGTCCGGGGATCAACATTCCCATAACCAGGCCTCCTAGTTGGTGGAACCAGGCTGTTGGATGCAGCCTGACATATGAATCACAACCTGGTTGATTAAGTATCCTTTGGAGGCATTTATCAAGATCTCTCTTGAATACCGTGAGAGGTGGCAAGTTATGCCCCTTATGTGTAGAGGGAGTGTGTTGAAAAATCTTGGGCCCTTGACATTGATAAAGTTCTCTCTCGGCATACACACTGCACCTCTGCTTTTGAACGGGGCTGTTCTGCACATCCTGTTATGCCATCTGGTTTCATGTGGAATTATTTCCATGTACAGATTTGGAACCAGTTCCTCTGATATTATTAAAGTGTAGATTATTATGTATAAGTGTCACCTACAATGTAAAGAATACAGATTTAAACATTTTAAGCAGTCCCAATAACTTAGATGTTTTGAGTGGATATGAGCAGGAAAGTGCTTTTGCACATTCTCTAGGTCAGCAATTTCTCGAGCTTTGAATGGGGCTGTTAGTGTGCAGTTTCCCTGACCGCTAACATGCCACTCAGTGATGGAAATTTCTTTTAGTCATACTCCAATAAGCAACTTGAAAAAGAAAATAACTATAAATTTAGTGTCAAAAAGTTTGCAAATGAATTCTCTAGAGAATAGATGCAAAAGGAACAAAAAAGATACTCTTATGAGTATGCACATCAGTGATGAAAATACGATAATGTGATTAGTAATCCGTTGACGAATTTTAACATCAAAATTTTCTGTTGGAGTACAGAATTGATTCTTTAAAACATCTAAATTATTGGGACTGATTAAAAGTTCTAAATCTGACTTCTAGAACGCAGGCGAGAGATACATGATCTACACGTGGAAAATATTAGAGGGACTGGTTCCGAATCTGCACATGGAAATAGCATCCCATGTAACCAGTAGGCATGGCAGGATGTGCAAAATGGCCCCCATTGAAATGCAGAGATGATAGGTATGCCGAGAGAAAATTAAACATCAGAGGCCCAAGACTTTTTCAATGCTCCCACTACACATAAGGGGGCATAACTGGCAGGCCTCTCAAGGTGTTCAAGAGAACTTTATATACAACCTCCAAAGGATACTTGATCAATCAGGCTGTGAGCAGCATTGTCCAACAGCCTGGTTGACCAGATGACAAACCAAGAGGACTGCAGGGCTGTTGATACCACGAACCTCCACGAGGTAGGTACAGATGATGCATTTTAGAATCAGAACATCAAAGTGATAAATTAAGGTGTGGGTATAGGAAATGTTGTAGTCAGCACTGGCGGTTTAATTGGAGTATTATTTTCTATCCATCAGGTGGTCGCAGTATTGGATCATGACTATGCTCTCGAAAGTATGAGTGAAAGAAGGATTTTTCTCTTGGGAGTGAATTTGGAGGTTTCTTCTTCAATACCGAGCAGAATTGGGCGAGGAGGAAAGAGATGGATTGACTGTCTGCAGTATAGCACTGATATGAGTACCTGGGTATCTATGGTAGTAATATCTCAAAGGCACAAGGAAACAAAGTTATAATATAATTAAGTTATATTATATTTGAGTTTTAATACAAATTTAATATAATAACAAGGTAGCAATTATAAATAACAAGTACTCTCAATGAAAAAATAGTTTCCCCAATTGACTATTAATAATGAATCAGGATTCTAAATCAACTTCATTAATTTCAGTGTAAACTGAATGCAATATTTTATAATACATGTTATTCTTCAATGAATGAATTACTGTTATTTCTAATTAACAGCTTTGAAGTTAAAATTATAATTATATAATTTTAAATCCTAGAAACATTCATATTCTGTATTCATATTTTTGTATACAAGTATACCAAAATTAACTATCAAGAAACTTTTTGCATTATGGACAGCTATCTCCAATCAATCTTCATGGCTACTAGGTCAGAAACCATTGATAGCCATTATTAGATGAAGTTGAGTATAGTTTTTGTTGTGCAGATATATTGTTTTTAATTAGAACTTCATTTGGTACAAAATTTTATGAATTATTTTTTTGGATAAACCAAATTGTAATCAAGACTAGATGTATCTTTACCATCAGATTATTCAAGCTAGGATGAAAATAAATTGTTACAATAGACAATACATACGGTAAAGATCAATATTCAAATTACTTTTCCAACTACCCAGAGGCTACAAGATACATATTAAGATAGATACAATTCATCTACCCATCTTATATTTGTGTATACATTATGTACAAATCACAGATTCATACCCAAAGCGGGTTTCAAGAATTGTTCTACTCCCCGGGCTAGGCTCGACCTCGGTGATTACGCATTACTTTCTGTGGCTTTATCTGTAGGCTTATCTCTACTACTAGATGCACTATTAGTAGACTGCGTATCACTGTCTGTTGTTGATGAAGCCCAATCACCTCTGAAGAAAACCCGAGCACTGCTTACGCTCAAGTATAGCAACTCAAATTCTTGCTGATACTGCTGCAATCGAGACAATGTGAGAGCCAGCGTCTGCTGTAATTTGTCATCCACACCATTCCCAGATTGGCGCTGTTGTTCAACCTGAAATATTTTATGCCAAATTATATTTTGAGTTCTAAATAAAATTTCTCAAACTTCTGGAAAGATTCATTGCTTGTCCAATAAATAAATCTGTGTGACTTTGCCATCAGATGTCCAAGCACAGAGCCAGTGTACTTTAAATTAGGGGATTGACGTGCAGAGAAGGGGAGTGGGAGGCTACATTAGTTCTTGTGTAGGGGGATGTTGACATTTCACAATTGCTGAATACTCTTTGGTTTGAGTGCTGATCAATAGAAAAATCCCATTACAGTATTCACTTAATTTGAGCATTTTGTTTATCAGCACTTTGACCATGATCCATTAATTTGCAGGACTTACTTTTTCTCGTTCTTTGATGAACTGTCTTCGTACCCCCGACCACCAGTGTAAGGAATCAAAGGCCGAGTTCTGATTTAGTACCTTCAGCATGTATGCAAGTCCTGTTAGAAAGTCAATAAAAATTTAAACATACATAATTTAATGTTTTCAATGCACTTATATGAAGATATACAGTATATAATAAATAACATAGCTGACAAACCAAAATGCTTGCATCGAGTACAGTAATAAACTATAAATTTGATGGTACTAACAATAATGTGATGTCACATTCATTGAGGTCCACAATAATGGTAAGCCAGACATATTTACTTAAAATTTTATTTATGTCCAATTTTCTTTATTGTTCTAGTTGAAAATCTACAATTACTGTACAATACATACTCTTCCAGTCTTTGTGCTGCACATATCTTAAAATTAGGCAGATGAAGACAACTTAAATGATTTTTGTACTAATGCAATTTTCTTTTTAATGGCTGTTAAACCATGTGCTGTCACGTACAACATGTACTTTATACAGAACAGCCTGAAAGCCAAAGACCTTCAACCAGCGAAGCCTCATGAACTGGCAGCCAAAAACAGTGTTTGCCAAGCATTTGTATGCTAATTTCAGGGTTAGTGTATGTGCAGAATTAATGTTTTGTAGTGATCAAGACTAATGTTAATTACACAAAGTTGAAACTTACTACAAATAAAGAAAATAGAATTACTGCATACAAGGATGCTTCCTTAACAATATACAGTAACTGTTAATTATGAGGAAATTTGGGTAACTTGGACTTGGGTCCACCCTTTAAGATCTGAATTAGTGAAGAGAGCATGAAGATACTGCAAGGATGCCTTTAAAAAACTGACAAAAATTAAACATGATAGAAACCATGAAGTACAGTACTGTAAATCCCTCTACTGAGACTGTCAAATGCAATTTAACACACAAATGTTATTTATAATATATTCCTTACCCATTGCAAATCCATCATCAGTGAAGGCAGCCCCAGTCTTATTCTTCTTGCTCATGTTATCTTTGGCAACCAAGGAATGTTCAATAAAATTTATTGTCATAGGAGGAATGATGAGGTAGAAATTTTTAAGGTGGCTGTTTTTGTTGTCACGAAGAGCTGGAGCAAATACATCCACCAGAAGCTGTTGAAATACAAAGCTTTTTTTGTTATAAAACAAATTACAAAGGAATCAACTTATTGCAGCAGTAAATAGGTACCTGGGAATTAAGACAGCTGCCATGGGTTGCTTCCTGTGGGTGTGCAACAAAAAGGAGGCCTGGTTGAGGACCGGACCACAGGGATGCTAAACCCCGAAATTATCTCAAGATGCTGTTATAAGAACCTTGATTTGAAAAATCAAAACCAGAGTAAAACTACTGAAATGTACCCACCTTTACTAAAAACTTACAATTTTGGCCAAATGAAGTCACTAAATTTGTTATCAATATATATAATACTGTACTTTTCCAAACAATTTTAATATAAAATTGTTTACAAAAAAGTTATACCATTTGTATTAACAATTATTGTAACACATGTTGCACAAAATTAGTTTACAATGCAACAGAAGTCCTGGTATGGCAGAAGAGGTAGTGTATAGCAAAGCACTTCATTCAAGCTGGAACCTAATGTATAATTCATATAGTTCACACATGACAGACTAAGTGGGACAAGAGGATGCATTCGTATCCTGTACAGGCTGCCAAGGGGGGTAGAAATAGCCTAAGCTACTCTATCCCTTTGAGATGTATTTATTGCTTATCTCAATAAACATACTTGAACTTGAACTTGAAGAGGATGCAGCTTCCCATATATCTGACATTTGTGAACTATATGAGATTTTTACAATCTGGTGAGAATATAATTATGATGGAAACTATCTTAAACCAATAATAATGGGGACTTCAATACACAAATTAAAAATTTACGATCATGTACCATATCGAGGTACAGTTGACTAGAGCGCGTTTGGGAACACTCAATGTATAGGTTCAAACCCTCATCAAGGCTCCTGTGAATTTCTTTGATATATCACATTAATGTGATTTCTCTGCGTATCATGGTGTAATGTTGATGACCGGTTTGGACAATAAACACAAAATATGGTAACTAGATATATGTATGATATAAATAGTTACAATGGTGGTGGTTTTATCATACAACAGTATCGTGACAAGGTGTGGCTGTTGAATACCAGTGGTGGCAGAGACTGATCACGATCGGTGGGATCAAGGCAGTTAAGAAGTGATGTTGCTGCTGGCTGCTCTGCCCTAGTTCCAACCCGTTCTCGCAAATTCGTAAAGTCAATATTGACTTATGAACTACGTGCATAAGTGATATACTAAACATAATAGATACCCTTAAAAAGATTCATAGAAAACACCGACCTTACCTAACCTTGTTAGTATCTTAAGATAAGCATCTTATTGCTTCGAAATTACAATTATTACTTAACCTATACCTATTATAGGTTAGGTAATAATTGTAATTACGAAGCAATAAGATGCTTATCTTAAGATACTAACAAGGTTAGGTAAGGTCGGTGTTTTCTATGAATCTTTTTAAGGGTATCTATTATGTTAAGTATGTCACCTATGCACATATTTAATAAGTCAATATTGACTTATTAAATTTGCGAGAACGGGTTGCCTAGTTCTGTGGTTACAAGACTATATTCCCATTCATTTGAGTGTTTAGAGCAAAGCTGCTCATTGATTGGTTGATGAGAACTGCTCGATTCTAGGAGGGTTGAATCATATGAGAGCTTCTCATCCACACATCAAGGATGCAACAATGACTAATGATGAAGCTTCTAGCTACATACCTCCCTCTGCCAAAACAATGGTTTTGTTATACCAATCATTTTCACTCCCTTGGCTCACTTTACTTGCAACTTTATTTGTACAAATATATATCTGGTAATAACACATCACTAGCATATAAACTAGTCAATGGATTGCTCTTTGAAAAGGTACAAATCCATGACAAGTTAAGAGTTGTGTTTTTTTCCTACATACAGTACCTGTACAGCTACATCAATTATATATTTCATATGCCAGGATGGTTTTTTTTTTTTTTTTTAAGATATATACAAGAGTTGTTACATTCTTGTACAGCCACTAGTACGCGTAGCATTTCGGGCAGGTCCCTGGAATACGATCCCCTGCCGCGAAGAATCGTTTTTTCATCCAAGTACACATTTTACTGTTGCGTTAAACAGAGGCTACAGTTAAGGAATTGCGCCCAGTAAATCCTCCCTGGCCAGGATACGAACCCATGACATAGCGCTCGCGGAACGCCAGGCGAGTGTCTTACCACTACACCACGGAGACTGTTTATGATGGTTATGATATTCCAAGACATTATATAACTTTTAAAATGCTTAAAATATGAATGAAATTGAATACTGTATTTTGAAGCTAAATTATTTACCTTAAAGTAATCTGTGTCTTCATGAAAATTTCTAGTCAGATTATTTATGACAGAATCCAGGTTCTCAGCTGCCTTGAGTGTTTCTGGAGAAACATGAGCATCTTCACACAACTGCACTAAGCTCACTACATCTTGAAGGTCTGGGATGAAACGTGCTGCATTGCTTGAGCAGTGAAGTCCCCCAGAACGTACCAAACGTACATAACCCATGGCATTTCCTAAATGATGAAAAAAATTACAATTTTTTTTTATTAAAAAACAGAATAAAGTAATATAAACCCAGCATTGACTGTAATTAAATGCCTCTTTCTGGTTGAACCCCGTGGCTCCCTGAAGTTATCTAGCTGAGATGACTCTCAACTAGTAGGAGCAAACCACATCCGAAGAGAAAAGAAGAGGTGCGGATGGAGCCACGGTGGAGGTCATCAACACCTTCAATTCTGGGTCCCTAAATACAATTTGGGGCAGCTCTGGGACATCCAATTGGGTACACAACCTAACCACTGGAGGTGAGCAAAATGAATCTGCAAAGTGGCTGCTGCTTGATATGCACAAACTTCATCTGTAGCACGAATAAAAGTATAACATGGGGAACACAGACCCCACAAGACTCGGGGTTGTAGGTGTCACCGACCCAACAGGCATCATGGCCGAGTCAGAACAAATGATTGTCGCCTCATGGTACAGATGACGAACAATCTCAGATCCTCACAAGGCAAGAATAGGTTCAGAGAACATATCCACGCCGAAGTTGTGGGGAATTTCCAGGGCCTAAAGGGTAAACCAAACAGAACACCCTGGCACTGGAGACACTATAGCAGATCTAAAAGTAAGCTGACAGCCTGGGCTACTCGATTGTGAAGGCTGACCTCGGTGCACCATGAACGTTGAGGATGCAAGCCACCATCCAAAGTTGCTCCCAACCTGGTCAAGACAGAGGGGCCACAAGACCCCCTGACTCACCCTAGGCAAGTGATACCTCACACGGGAGGACCTCAAAGGAAGTGACTCCCAAACAAACCATAGAAAATAACTGACAGAACAAGAGCAGCACTAGGAAGCACCCAGAGAAGGAAGTCCTGAGTACATGCAGCTCCAAGCACACTAAATGCCAGGCTCTTGCTACACAACAGCATACAGAGAAATGCTACATATGGCAAGGTCCCAAAAGCACTTAGCAGCTTCAGGAAGCCACAAGGGGCTCCCACAGAAAATAAGAATTTGACATCATTACAACACACAACTGCACGTACAAAATTCAATGCCAAGTTTTGTAATTAAAATAAAATTAAAAGAGCAAGCATTTTCATGTTTTCAGAATAATAAAGTAAAGAGCTTAATTCTATTTACCAATATGAGTAAGAAGTCCTCTGAATTGGTCCAAATATGATAACCCATCTGGAGTTAATCCAAGCTTGCGGATGCCACGATTGAACTTCTGTGCTCTGTCATAAGGAAAATACTCTTGGCTGACTTTGACCTGGAATGAGAATTAATATATGAATATGAGAATATGAGCTAAAATTTATTATTCTATAGTTTTCAATTTGATCAACAATTTATGTGTAGAAAATTCGAGGTTAAATCACAACTTGTGAAAAATAACAGAAATTAGTTACACGATATAATACTGTAGTCAGACAAGAGTTGCTCTGTTACACTGACACACAGGGAGTGGGAGTGTCACACTGATGGCTTGGAGGTGGGGGGCATAAAGAACTAGATCTCACTCCCAGGTAGTCATTGATTGGTTTGCACTAAGAGGTAAACGCTGATAGGCAAGTGCTCATAAGCAAGAGCTGATCAGTAAGCACTGAGACTCTTCCTATCTCAGCACGAATGTTGTGCTGAGATGGGAAACATGAGCACTACTGAGACGAATAAGTGTGAGCATTGCACTGAGATGGGGGAAGTGCAAGTGCCATGCCGAGACAAGGGAAAGTGTGACCGTCATGCTGAGACAGAGAAAGTGTGACCGTCATCCCGAGACAGGGAAAGTGGGAGTGTCATGATGAAACAAAGAAAGTGTGAGCGTCGTGCCGAGATAGGGAAAGTGCAAGCATCATGCCGAGACAGGGAAAGTGAAAGCATCACAATGAGATGGGGAGAGATCATGACTGTTATCATATATCTCCTGTACTCTATTTCACTGAGGTGGCCAAGTTTTGGCCTATAGTCCTTGGTAGGCTTTTAATTACTTGCAAGGGCTAATGTAACTTAACAGTATGGAGCTATCTCAGCTGGCAACAGAGCCACTGAAACTCCCTAGAAAATGGTGTTTCATTACACTCAACACTTTCTTCAAAATCAGCTTACGTTTCATGGTTACATTCTCTGATTGCATTATGTTTACCTCGCACTGGTTCCGAGGATTAATGTCCTCGTGACCCAGTCCTGGACTGGGTCTCCTGCTTGGTGGTCTGGTCTACCAGGCTGTTAGATACAGCTGCTCACAGTCTTGATGTACGAGTCACACCCCAGTTGATCAAGTATCCTTTAAAGGTGTTTATCAATTTTACTTTAACACCATGAGAGATCAGTTTGTTATGCTCCTTATGTTTAGAGGGAGAAAGTTGAAGAGTCTTTGTCTTAATGTTGACAGAATTGTCCCTTAGCTTACCTACTGCACCTCTGCTTTTCAATTGGGTGATACTAGATAGTCCCTATAATGTCAAATAGGGGTTGGAAGGGATTTAAGTATTTGAAAAGATCACTGTTATATTAAAACAGAATGTCTCCCTCCTGTGATTGGCATAATGATTATCATCATCAGATAGGATCTTCATCAGAAAAGACCTTTTCATATTCACTCCCAACCAGATTCTTTTTAATTATTATTAAATTTAATTTTGTCTACTATTTTTCTGGACAAGTTCTTCCACCCTCCATGAAAACAGGAAATAAAATAAATGATAATTATTTATTTTACAATTTTCTAACTAGGACTTACATTTTATTTACATCATTTAGATGAGTTTGAGTTCAATGCACTAAAATAGATTAGGACATTACCTCTCTCCAGTGTTGCAAGTCCTTCAGGAGGCGAGACTTGATATGCTCATCATACAGAAATTGGGAGAAGACGTGAAACTTTCGCCGTAGAAATTGATAGGTGAAATTTACCTGCCACAAGCAAAAATGTTCAATTTAAAACTGTTGTGTATGGTACTCATAAGGACAAGGTTCTTGAAGATTTTTCACAACCAACAATATTAAGTATTTATAAAAAAGGTACAAAGCAATAATAATAAATACTTTGACATTAAACAGAACTATACAAAAAAAGTCTTATGAAATTGGCCTCAGGCTCAACTTGATTGGATAATGCATCTCTGGCTGCACCTCCAGCACGTGAAGGAAAATCCAAGGTAGCAATGATGATATCAAATTCCTACAAGGTTAAGATAACTGAAACCAGAAAGCTACCCAAGAGTTTGTGATGCACCACCAACTTTATTTAAATAAAAATTCACTTTCTAAGAAAGAATTGAAAACTGCAGATGGCCTACTGGTCCTTGTTAGGCAGCTCCTTTTTATACTTAACTAAACTTACATATATATGCCTAACTGGGAATATCCAGTGATTCCATGAATGAAAGCACTGATATACAATGAGACTGAAAAAAAAATAAAATGACACTGCTATACAAAGATGATCAAGTTTGTTTTATCAGTTGAAAAAAAAAACACTTTTCTAGCACACGAACTTACTGTTGTGTTAATGATGCCAGCGCCATGTGTACGTATTGAGTTAGCAATGTGTTTGATGGTGACTGTGCTCAGGTGCTTATTATTACTGGTGGCTTCCACAAAGAACTGCTGATTCAGGTTATACATATAATGCTGCACAAAGACATGAATGTTGCGCATGATCTCAAGGACGTCCACACCCTGTAAGAAATAAACGCACGAAACACTGTTCTGAGTTTACTTATTTATATTCAAGACAAAATTCATTTCCAAGAAAGAGTGCCAACAGTAAAATTTACCTAACTAATAACACCATAAATTTGCTATACTCAAATTAATTTAAATTGAAGTGTGATAATCTGACCAGCTTATGCCCCATTCTGAAAAATGTAGACTACGTACTGATAAGCATATATCAGTTCACATCAATAATTAAAAACTTGACCAATCAAGTTAGATTAGCCTAAAGTGTTCATTAAATAACTGTGGTGAAAGAAGACCTTTATTCATCCAGAAACATTTGACCCCAGCCTTCATAACAGACTACCAATATTGCCTAAACTTACCATTATTTGGGAGTCTATAGTCTGACTTCTATATATTATTTTCCTTTGTTTGTTACTCATCTTGTACTTAATTTTCTTTGCTAATGTTAGACCCTTTCTGAGGTCTTCTCATCTGCAGTCTTTTTATACTTCAACGAATCTCTTAATACTCCTGGTGATGATCTAGGTGTTTTGCAAAGGTGCTTCAAGAAAGCAAACTACAGTGCTTCTTTTTCTTGTACTGTAGTTGCCATGCCTCATGGGATTGAGGCATGGTAACTGCATGGAAGGTTCCCACTTTGTCTCCAGTGTCACAGAGTACAAGGTGACTGCCCATCTGACTGATGCTGCCAACCAATCATTATCTTGCCTCCTTGGGGTGTCATTCTAGATCAGCTTTATTGGCTGTTTCAATGATCTTGGATGCTTGAAACCCATGCTTTTGATATTTTTTTTCTGCAATCAAGGGTACAAAAAAAAATAAGCACAATTTTTATACTTAGATTTTTTTTATTACATATGATGTAGTTCAGAATATTTTTTGCAAAAAATTAATACTCTGAGGGTATTAATCTCTATTTGGCAAGGGACACTTCATAATATTTTTTCAGCATCTTTGTTTCTATAGCTTGAATTTATGACCTTTTGTTACCATAATGCCTGTGTCCTACCTTTGTCAAATCCCTTTGGCCACTGTTTTAGATGGTCATCAACCATGATATTGGGCACATCTCTGCCGCATCCTTTGAGGCCAGGTCTCTTCTCTTGCGTACTTACTGCCTGGGTTTCGAGTCAGTCTTTTTTGTGACCCCTTTCATTTTGTGGTTTGTTTTGCACTGTTGGGTTCTTTATTGCACAGCTTTTCTTGGACCCTTCCTTACACCATGTTTGGCTTCTTTTTCCTTCTGAAGTTTATTTTTCCAGTGCCATGGTTTTGTAGTCAATTGATTGTTGGAATTTGGCTTCTTCATCCTGTCAGCCTGGCCATATTATTCATGTCACACATTTTTTCCTCTGGGATTGCAGGCAGGGTTCCAGGGAATTATTCCTATACTTCATGGTGGCCTTGCCTCTTCCCTGTCCTCGGCTTACATACGACTGACATCTGCATGATGACCGAGACAATTATTTAAAAGTCTTTACTAAATAATTAATTACATAGTACTGAATAATGATCACTTGGAAATGATACCTGATCTAAGGTGTGAGATGGCAAGTGTGATGGCACAGCAAAGAGGTTGTACTTGGACACAGCCAGGTTACGCATCTCCTCATAGGTCCTCCAATCATGAGGTGCTACCACAGTCAGAGCATAGAATGTCCTCTCCAGATACTGTTCAACATAATCTTGGAAGAAAATTAATACCATTAAGAATCTAAGAAAAATACAACTACAGTACTCAAAGATATTTATAAACATACTGTATATAGCAGCATAAAGGTTAATGCCCAAAACTGTATAATTAATGGCTTTATATAATATACAATTACTGTACCTACTAACTACACTGTAACATGTTCCTTTGTATATTTTGTAAATAAAATATTATTACTGTATATTACCTAGTGGGAAGAAAATATGCTCAAATAACGTTGAATTAACATTAACGACGTTGATTCACTCTTGAACCAACCACGTTTGCTTAACATGCGCCCATTGAGTTAGTATTATCATAACATGAGCTGTGGTGTCTGTATGGCCTGATTTTTAACACTTATTATTCCACCTACCACCATGTCAAAGTTGCACTAAAAAATATCTATATATTTTCTTTCCATACCTTTTACTGATATGACAGAATTGAGCAAAGTGAGTGGCTGCAGGCAGAGAAGGGGAGAAATATCCTTTAATGGGGTTTGGAAGGGGTTTCGACTATCCAACTGAAGGTGAGAGTGAGTGCTTAATCTCAATTCTGTTTCCACTGCTTGACAAGTTTTATCCAATACCTGAAATGGAATAAACAACCCATGTATAGTATACAAGAGTACGTTTTCCTCTTACAAAACCCAAATACAGTGTACAATAAATTAAACACAGTAATTGGCAAGTATAAAAGAGATTTATTGTCTTCAAATTTGTTAAAATAAACTTGTAGCATCTACAAGATGCTGGCTGTGACAAAATTAATTATGGTAATATAAAAATAAGCTTGTACTTACTTTAAGTGAATGAATTTGAAGGAAATATGTAACTTACACAGTCTTTAAGATAGCCATAGACCTCCTCCTTAAACTGGTATAACAATTGGTGTGACGGTGAAAGGTGACAACATTTCTCCAGCTGGCGAGCACAATCCTGCACTGCTGCTAGCATAAACTGCAGAAAGAAAAAACAAACACTGTACAGTAAATTTAATACTGTACACAAACCCCCTGAGTCAGCATGGAAGTGATAGTGCTGTGATTCATATGTCAGGTGGCAAGCAGCTGCATCAAACAGCCTGGATGACCAGACCACCAACCAGGAGGCCTGGTCAGAGACCAAGCCGTGGGGACATTGATCCTCGGAATCACCAGGTACACGACAAATATGTTAGGATTGACAAAGAACTGAAGGATAAGTATTACCAAGGTTAGGTTCACACTGTTAATATTAGATGCTATTTTGTTTCAGGGAACAAATACTTCAAATTGATCCACGACAATTATACTGGTGAGCATCGCTTTGTGCTTACAACAAACATGTGGACATGGCGTGTGTGTGTGTGTGTGTTCCCTTCCTCCCAAAAACATAGGACTATGCCTAGAAGTTCATTCTTATTTTTTCTATGTAGTCTTGGTTCTCAGGACAGTCAAACAACTGACTTACTTTTATCATAAAAAAAAAAAATGGAAAACTGACTTCTTTTAGTATCTAATATGTGGAGGCAATTGAAATGTTATTTTACGAGTCTTCACATTGCTTCCCACATCAAGGTAGAGTTCTCATCGGGAAGACGACAGTGAAAATATACAGCAGAAAATTAGTTGGATAAATAAGGAAGCATAGTATGACTGAAATGTTCTGGAAGCCTGCTTATGGTATTTACTCCAAATCATTTCAGTGCATTATAGAAAATTATGTCCTCAATGAGCCAACAACGAATAAGGTTTATTAATAAGGTGACTAATAAAAGCATTTGTGGCACACAAGTAAAATCAATTCCATTAATTGAAGCTTATTCAATTTATTATGCACCATACACTCCTCCTCTGAGTGGTAGTGGAGAAGGTTACAAAGGCACATGATGGTTCCAGGAATTAAATTTAAAAGCTCAAAACTTACATGTATGCAATGTACGTGGTCTAAGCTTTGAAAGTAGTGCTCCAAGTATGCAGGCAGGATCACACGATGATGATATAGAATTGAACAGTTTGTGGCTTCCCTTACACGACACTGAACTTCACATGCCAGATCTAAGCGACGCAGGAGCACTAAAAGTGTCGATATATCTTCATCCTGAGTTGAAGTACAGTACCAGAATTTAGAATATATATGACATCTTAAATATAATTAAAAGCAAAATTTATCTATGAGGATTTGAAAGCATTAACCAACACTGTATTGAACAATGTTCATGAGACAAAAAACCATTAATATTGTATACGAAAGACATGCAAGACACACATAATCAAGATTATGATAGTTACACATTAGTTAAGTCAATATTATCTTTCCTACTATACAAAAGTAAACAAGATTATTTAAATTATTTTACCTTTTTTGAACTAGTATGATTCCATTTAACTGTTCAGTGTTTCTACCTATGTACATCCTTGTACTGTACTTACTGGATCTCATGTATAAATACTAATTATGAGTCTTGATACTAGCCAGCCTGTAGTCTATCCTCAAGCACCATGATGTTTACAAGTACTGTACACTACATTGGCCACAGCCTTCTCCAACATGTCCTGGGCAAATATTTGGGTTTGGAGATTTTGGCATTCTAACAGGGTTCTGGCAGCCCAGTATTTGGTTAACGTTCCTGGTCCCAGTCACCTGTGTGTGTTGCCTTGGGGTCATGTCATCCAGCTTGGATTATCATCATCATCATCCTTGAGCATGGCAGCTCTCCTCCTCTCTGGTAAACCCCATTTTTGTTCTCTGTTGTTAGTTAGCTCCAGGGAGTCACTTGGGGCTTCCCCAGAAACTTAGCACCGAATGTAATGAAATGCCTCTCTGGATGAGCCCCGGTGGCTCTCTGCCTCCCAGCAAGATAGCTTCAGGGAGCCACTGGGATGCATCCAGAAAGAGGTGTTTCATCAAGTTCACTATTTTATATAAAATCATCTTGCAAACAAGTATCAATAAGTTGGAAAGGACACAGTTATAGAATATAAATATAAAAATACATACTGTAACTGGATAAAAACCCAAAACACTGGATTTTTATCCAATTACAGTATGTATTTTTATATTTATATTCAATAACTGTGTCCTTTCCAACTTATTGATACTTGTTTGCAAGATGATTTTATATAAAATATAATGATTCAAACATGCTACTGGTGCTCAACATACACACATGATTTGCTAAACCCAAGGGGCCCAGAATCAATATGAGATGTTATTCCAAAATAACAAGTTTAGTTTACTTTAAATAAAGTACTTATTTCAACAATTATATGAATTATAAAGGTTTGAAATTCTGTCATTGTGCCATACAATTACTTTTTTTTATATATTACTTTTTCTGTATTTACTGTAATTAATTTATATTTTATAAAAAATCAATACAGTACAATACTGTATAACCCCATTTTATCTTCCCATTACAATACATGATAACTTGTATATCATACCCTAAGGGCCTTAGCTTGATTGGCAAGAGAAAGAGCGACACGAATCACAAGACGTCGTTCTTTTGTTCCTGATCCCGAGAGCATCTGCTCCACCAATGTTAGTGCCATTAATATATCCAACCTCTGGCCATCTAGACGTGCACTGGATACTCGTGTCTGTAAAAATATAAAGCACAGGTACAATAAGCTTGTAATTCCAAAAAGATTAATAATGCCTGTGCATGCACAATCCTATTTCCAGTTAGCAACTAATCTTGAAACTTTTAGTATAGACAGATACTCGTTAGGTTATAAGTGTCAGACGAGAGTGCAGGGGGAAAGGGTCACCTTGCCGAGCCTCCAGTGGTTAACGTTGCCATCGAGTGGTAGCAAGGCGATGCTTCAATTATTCAGTCTTATTTGGTAATTATAAATAAACAAATTTCTGAGTATTTTGAGTTTATTGACTCCCTTTAGGGTTTTCAAACGGTTTTCCTCAATAGCGAGTTGATATTCGAATCCCACATACATGCTTCCCTGCCTCTTTGAGGAAGGAAAATTCTGCTCCTTTCTTCATGTAGGTAAAGATGATCATATGTGCCAAGCAAGTCAAATTTAGCTCTGAAGGGCAGTGCTTCAGCTCTGGGGCTAAAGAGAACATTTGGAGGGAACATTTCCTGGAGTAAAGCTGCTCAAATAATGATGAATTGCTGCTTGGACCCAGAATTGAGGAAAGGACAAGAATTCAAGGGTGAAATTCAGGAACCCAGCAAGCTATAAGGTAGGGCAAGCATAGAACAGCAGAGGAAGAATTATCGACTGAACAAATCAAGTGTACGGACTGAATATGAGAAACTCTCGAGAGGCACGGTTATACCTAAAACCCAAGAAGAGACGATCAGAAAGTATCAACAGTTATGAAGAAATAGTATTGGGTTTGAAAATACAGTATACAAAAAGAAATTGAATGAAAAAAATGAGCAACAACAGAGCAACAGATATGAAAAGACCTTGTGAAAAGCAGGGCTGGATTAAGACCTTTAGACACCCCAAGCACTGTAAAGATTATGTACTCACATATACTGTACATGTAATTCAAAATGAAAACAATAGTAAACCATAAACTACTATATATATACAGTATATTCAAATGAATAAACATCATAATTTATATGAAACAAAACTCCTATTATTACACTGCTTTCTTTGAAAATACATAGCATACTATAATTATACACAGAGAAATCACATTATCTTGCAATTCTTTTACCATGTTGTGGCATAGTCGTTTAGAGCGTGCACCTGGGAATACCCAGCGCATAGGCTCGAATCCTCATCACAGCTCTAGTGGATTTTCTTTTACTATAATTATATTAATATTAATATTTTCATTTATTATGGGGCTGCCATTTTATGAGCTGTGGTTCAGCTGCAACACTGCACCATGGTCCATTGTAAATCTGGCACTGCAAATACTTTATGAGGAGGGCCCTCTTTACTTGAGTTCCTCTGTATATGCTTATTGTGCTTAATGGTTTATCCAGGGCTAGTGCATAGACAGGAACAAAGTACAGTACAATAATTTATACTGATGGCATGTCGACTCTTACATATACAACTTTTAACTCCTAATAATTTAAAAAGCATTAAAATATCACAGGTGTATATTCTATCCATATATATTGCATGAATTTATATATTGGAGAAGTGACAGGGAGGCTTCTAATATGGATGAAATTTTCTCTTACAGAAAAATGATGGCAGTAATTTAGAGGCAAATGTAACCATTGGAGTACCACAGGGTTCAGTTCTTGCACCAGTGATGTTCACTGTCTACATAAATGATCTACCAGAAGGAATACAGAATTTTATGAATTTGTTTGCTGATGATGCCAAGATACTAGGAAAGATAAGAAACCTAGACAATTGTCATGCCCTTCAAGAAGACCTGGACAAAATAAGTGTATGGAGCAACACATGGAAAATGAAACTTATTGTGAATAAAATGTCACATTATGGAATGTGGAATAGAAGGATATAGCCCACACGCAAGCTACAATTTATGTAAAAAAGTTTTAGAGAATTCTGGTAAAGAAAGCCATCTAGGGATGGTTCCAGATAGAAAACTGTCATCTGAGAACCACAAAAAACATTGTGTGAAGAAGCTATGCTATACTTTCCAATTTCAAAATTGATTTTAAATATATGGATGAAGAAATCACTCACAGCCTCTGTGAGACCAGTTGGAATATGCAGTGGTTGTATGGTGCCCATATCACATCAACTGAAAAAGGTGCAAAGACACGCAATTAAATAGCTTCCCAAAGTGAAAGACAAGAGCCATGAGGAGAGGTTAGAGGCATTAATATGTCAAAGCTAGAAGATAGAAGAAAAATAGGTGAATAATCACTACATATAAAATAGTAATAGGAATCATCAAAATTTATAAAACAAATTCATGAGAACTTCAAGAACAAGAGGTCATAGAGTTAACTAACCAAAGCTATTGAAAAATATTAGAAAATTCCCTTTCACAAACAGTATGGTAGAAGGTTGGAACAAGTTAAGTGAGACGGTGGTGGAGGCCAAAACTGTCTGTAGTCTCAAAGCATTATACGAGTGCTGGTAAGATGGGATATCATGAACGTGACTCATCCTGTAACTACACTTAGGTAATTACGTACAAGTGCTATTCCATACACAAGTTTTGTTGACTGCTACAACATAACCTTAACTAAGAAGTTACAGTTTGAATTGAGTTAGTAATACAAACCTTGGCAGCGTTGACAATGGAGAGCACCTGACATGTAAGATACTGCATCACATGAGGCAGGGACTCCGCAAGCAGAGTGCTATGGCGATGATAGGTGTTCTCTATGGCTTTCAGAGACTCTATGAGACGGCACACACTTAAAGCGCAAGCCTTTCCCATGGGGCGACCAAGCATAGTATGCAGGTTGAGAACAGTCTCGATCGTATACTTGATTGTGTGTGCCAAAATCATGCCCTGGTAAAAATTTGTCATTTTAATGAAAATAGTGATATGTATAAGCTAATATTAAATTCATTGCAGTATTTCTGCTGTCATCAACAGCAATCTATTTAACAATTCTCTATTATTCTGATAAAAATTTAATTTAAAAGAATGTGTAATATCTAAAATATATATATTTTTATGGGGTGAGGAGGCACAAACCCAGATAAAATATGGGAGCAACATTCTGTAGTCAAAAAAATACACCGTTGCATGTAATGAAATGCCTCGTTCTGGAAAGACCTTGGTGGCTCCCCTCTATGCTGCATTGTACAGCTCCATGCCTATCAAGTGATACACCAGATCCTTGTGAGTCAATAAAAGCTTTCTAGAGACCAGAGGCCAAACCTTGCCCACTCAAGAGGTACAGAGAGCAGGGCATCAGCAGATCACTCCTCATTAAGAAACTAACTTTCAGAAAGGGTATCTTGAGTTATCCTGGGATGATTTCGGGGCTTAGCGCCCCACGGCCCAGTACTTGACCAGGCCTCCTTTATGTTACACACCCCCAGGAAGCAGCCCGTAGCAGCTGTCTAACTACCAAGTACCTATTTACTGCTAGATAACAGGAGCATCAGGGTGAAAAACTCTGCCCATTTGTTTCCGCCTCCACCGGGAATCGAACCCGGAACTTTAGGACTACGAATCCGAAGTGCTGTCCAATCAGCTGTCAGGCTCCCTAGGTAGAGCAAATCACAACAAAGGCAACCACTCCTGCAGTACAGGAGGCAACTAGTAAAGCTGCAACTAGAGGGTCGTTTACCCTCTAGTTGCAGCTTTTCATCATCAGCTGATAGCACTGAGAAGCTCCAACTTCAACCAACAAACTGCCTCAGTCTAGAACCAGCAGAAAGCAAACCGACACACCAGAAAGGGAAAGGGAGGATCCAGAGAGCCATCAAGGATCGCAGGCGATGAGTCACAATAACGTGGCTGAAGTATGTTGACCAGACCACACTAGAAGTTGAAGGGACGACGACGTTTCGGTCTGTCCTGGACCATTCTCAAGACGATTGTGAGGATCAAGGATCCTCTAGAATGATTCAGTTTATTAAAATCAATGCTGATTTTCTGAAAGGGACCACTCAGTGGCTCTTTACAGCAAAATCACAGCAGAGAACAAAGAAATTAGGGAAACCCACCAGGGGCGAAGAGACATCCAAATTCTCAGGAGAGGATCAGGAATAGGTAACACAGCCCAAAACCACACAAGATCAATGGGGCCCCCCAGCACTTTAATTAGCTAACAAGTTGCCAAAAGCCTGTCAGATCTTCAAAATCCCCAAACCCAAATGTCATTTGAGAAAATGGTGGACAAAGTCGCAAACTGACATACTTCATGAACCTCATAGTAGATCACAGGTTGGCAAGAATGACACTGTAGACAGCGTGAGATGAATGAGCCCTGGAGCAAGGTCCCAAGGACACCGGGCCAACAAAGTATGCGGCACCCGAGGCAACCCGGGTGGCACGCAGAGAACAACAGATAGTCATTATCAGACACAATAAAGAAAACACCCCCAGCTGAACAAACTATGAATCAATAACCAACACACCCTTCTAGGAGCCAACCATCTTACATGAAGCCAGAAAAGAACAAGGCCGCAGACAAAATAACTTCCAGAACAAAGGTCAAAAGGATAAAACCTACACTTGCTAAGAAAAGCATGAAACTCACCAATCTGACAACTTGAAGCAAAAGCTAACAAAAACAAAGCCATAGGAAGAAAATCATACATCAAAGGGGCAACAGGAAAATGAGGAGTGGAGAGAAAAACCAAAACCTGATCAGATGTTCTCCTCCAGAACTTATCTAGACCAAAAAAGTTCCGGAGGAGGAAAGAGAATGCCAGAAGTCCCAAAACGAGAAAAGTGTGACTAAAATAAAAATGTTCGTTCATAACAATATATTTATAATTGTCAAACACATACCTGTAGCAACAGGGAGGCTTTCTGGCCATGTTCATATCTATCTAAACACATGCTATGTTCATATCTATCAAAACACATACCTGTAGCAATAGGGCAGCTTTCTGGCTATGTTCATATCTACCAAAACACATACCTGTAGCAACAGGGAGGCTCTCTGGCTAAGGTCTTGATTTTTCATTTGACTTGAATGCTTTTTTGATGCAGCATCTAAGTTCACAGCCCAGCCACATATCTGTCATTAAATCAGTATACTGTATAAGACATTGATATAATAAAAATAATAGTTTATAGGATAAAAACTCACACTTATGTATTTATTTTATTAGCCATTTTGTTATTTAATTTTTTTCCTTTCCTTTTGGGTTACAATGCTAAAACTTGAGTTCGAGATTCATATAGGTTAAGACTTTGTAAATAAAGTTTCATAAAATCAAAAGTTTTAAATGTTATTTGGAAAAATTGAAAGCTCATGAGTGAACATTCTATTGGCTGAACTGAACTTTTCTTGTGTGCCTCCCTAACACCAGTGTGACCTTACAGACATCCTAATTCATCCATGCTGCCTAGGTGCAGAATGACACTACAGTACTCTGATAGTCGTGATCTATGCCAATGAGACCATCAGTGATCTTCCCTTAGGGAGCATCCAAGTGGAATAGCTCAGAAAAAACATAAAACACAAAGTATATCTACTGTACATAATGTAAAAAAAAAAAAAAATGCAGATTATGCAACAAATGCAGATTATGTTGATAAACATATTTAAGATTTTTCACCTGCAAATTCACTGTCTGAGCTTCCTTGGCAATAGTTTGAGTCTTGTTTGCCAAATATGTGGACCTGTTGTTAAGCAGTGCATCTTGAGTTTTGCGATCATAAAGGCTACTTAATGTAGGAGCTACAGATGGAATGTATCGCTCACCAAGCCACACGACTGAGCCCACCAATGTAATACATGGGATCTGTAAAGGCAAAATATGACATTTACTTTCTAATGCTAAATGATTTTAGGTACAATTTTGTCATTTTTATCTGAATATATCTTCAAATCTTTCGTATTGTTGCCATCTCACAGTACAGTACAGTGGTATAGCTTCTGCCTCACGGTCATGAGGCTGGACTTCAGTCTCCTAGTGCCCAGGTGAATGAAATGAAATAATATACTGTATACTCACATTTGAATGAAAAGTAGACCATCAATTTGCACAAAGGATATATTCTTGAAAAACTTGTGCAAAGCAAATTGAATCATAAGTTACATGATAAAAATAGGGAAAGTTTCTACAGATTTTATAACAGCAGGTTATTTTTCATTCTTATATTGCCAAAAATTAACACAGTACTAGAAAAGGGTGAAGTGAATGTATGACAGGCGAGTTCCCAGAGTGTGTTCACCAGTACCCTGGGTTCAAGTCTGTTGGCAGTTGCCATTATCTGGGCTTTTGTTCAAGGTGTTTTTCGAACCACCCAGGAGAGTTTGCTAATTCACGGTCCAGGGGCCACCTTGGTTTTCCAGATTCCATTTCAGGGATGTTTTACAGGCTACCTAGAAAATCCTGTTTATTCCCATGAATTTTAACAAGTGCCTTCTGTTTCAGTCCTGCCCCTCTGACCAGATGACCCAAATGACACAGGTGTGGGTCCTCATTCTGCAGGTTGCCTGGGATGTGTTTTCAGGCTGCTACAGATTTGGGATTTACTAAGCTTCATGGGTAGTGTGTCCAAACTGTCGTGACGGTTACTCTCTATCTCAGGTTCCTGGGTTGGGTTCCCCAAGCCCTTGTGAGGTTCCCAGAATTTTTCCATGAACATTTCTCAGTTTCTCAGGGAGCATCCTCTGTTTATTTCCAGGTACTGTATATACACTGCAATTTCTCTCAAGCTTTTTGAGTATTTGTACTTGGGTCCCTGCATGAATGCCCTTGTTCCTTGGTCAGTCATTTGGTTGGTGTTCTCTCGTCTTCCTCACTTCATTTCGTCAGTTTATCCGACTACTTGAAGGTACTTCCCAGGCTTTCCGAGGAGATCTCGGGTCCCAAAGTCTCTGATTTTTCTGGGTCCATCTTATTGTTTTTACGTGGATATGTCTTTGTTTCCTAGGGAAAGTTTTCACATTTTCTGGGCATTTTCTCTTGCCCAAAGTTCATCTTTTCTGCCCAGTTTCCTAGATCCCTCTCTAAGTTTTCCAGAGATGCAGTATAATATATTAATATTATTGGGGTATAATTCTCCTGTTCAATAATTGATTTTACCCCAGATTTCTTAGCTGGATTTCTTGGCGCTCTGTTTCTACTCCTCACACACATGCACCTTCCCTTCTGTATGTGATAGCTCAGAAAAAAAATAGCCCAGGAGTTCCTAATGGGATATACTGCCCTGTAAAAAACAGCTTTAAATTTTCAGTCAGCAAGGAAACACATCCTCATAATACTTCATGGGAACCTGGACAACAAAGTTAAATAACAACTCATAAAATATCTCAAAAAACGGAACTTAATAATGGGTTACAAATATGTTACTTGTACAGTTTACCTTCTTGAAGATGTTCACTAAAGTCCTGCCTAGTTTCTTGTCCTGAGTATTGAAGATCACCTGATGAAGAATAGCTAGAGCAGTTACCCCAACCACCTGAGGCTGACAGTCACACCACCAACCTTCACTACCACCCTCTTCTAGCTGCAATAAAACCAATTTCATACAAGATCACACTCAAATACAGTTTGTATTAATAAACAAATATATTTTTTTATTTCATGCAAAGAATATGGTTAATCTGTCCATTATATGATTGATACAAAAATGCAGACGAGATGTCCTATAAGAATAGCAATGGTACCAGGAGTAATGGCATTCCAAATTTACAAGGCACTAACCAGTACTGTATATACATAAAAATTTATTAACTCGAATACAGATTGTGGATATACATAAAGAACATAAACATTATTTATAACTGTGAATCTAACAAGTATTTTATCTCAGAATACGTACCTGACTACACCAACCCAATATAACATTCATCATTTCCTCTCGTAATATTCCATTCCTGGTCACTGTTAATCCATCGCAGTCATAAGTTTGTCGTACCACAGACTGCAGAAAAATATTAGGATAATAGGGTTATAAAAGCAGCAAGAATTACATACAAATTAAACATTATTGTCTTCATACATAATGAAATACAGAACAGTACTGAACATTTAAAACATATAATGTTTTCCGTTACATTACAAGTATCTGAATGTTTTTGGGTTTATAATGGTCTTGTCTGCATATCAGCTTAAAAAACCTTACATTCATTAAATGTAATGAAACGCAATTTTCTGGGTGAGCCCCAGAGCCTCCCTGGAGCTATCGAACTAATATGCAATATATTAGTCTGGGGCATTACTCAATAGAGTTCCGCATACCAGAGACCATGAGCCAGAACCTGGCCTTCTCAGAGAGGCACAGGGCACAATGTCCTCTAGTAAACCCCCATGTGGTTGGGGGTATTCCTTGTCTGCCATCTTCCAGGGATAGGTACCCAGAAATGTAGGCATAAGAAAACAAACCGCATTTGGTAAGAAAATTGCAACTGAAGATCAAACTGGAGGCAGAATCCCATTCCCCCCAATCACCCAAGGAAACAAAGCAAACTTCACGCACAGCTGCTGCACCACTCGTCCGTGCAGCTCTTCCCTCCCTGGGAGTGGGAACTGGGAGCCCCGGACTTCCACGCCGGCTACTCACACCTCAGTTCGTTGGTTGATGCAATCTGAGGCGGTCTTCAACTCTGGCCTCGATTTCCGTGGCATTGTTTTGCCTTACTGGTGTTCTCTGCCATTTTGTGGTGTGGTGACCAGGTGTAACTAGTGTACTGGGGAATGCATACGCTTAGGGTTGCTTTCCCTAAGTGCCCTATAAGTACTAACCCTGAGTGCTAGGGTTCCCTTCCATATTGTCTTCGGGATCCACTTCTGTAGGGGTTCCTGCTGCTCAGGATTTACCCCACCCATGAGGTCAACTGGAGTTTCGTTGCCTTGGGTAGGAAGTGGTATTGTAGTTGATAAGGGCGCAAGGTGCTACACAGCTTGCTTACCAATGCAGGGGCCGTGTTCCTGTACCTTCTGGAAACGTACTTTTGCGAGGCTTTCTTTTATTTTTGTTTTCTTTGCCTGGAGGGGATCGCCTTGTTTGGCTATTGTTCCACTTACAATACTTTGGTGGCCCTCCTCTAGGCCCCTGTGATTGTACATGTCACAGGGGTTCAGTATCTTAGCTCATTCCCTTCTGTTAGTTCTTGGGTTCTTCCTGTAGCAGTCAGCCTATGGGCCCTGGAAAACCCCGTCGGGGCTCGGTAGACCGATGGATACGTCTTCCGAGTTCCAGCTCACTTCGTGCGAGTTTGAAGGTTGCTGTGCCCTTATTTAAGGGTAACAGTCACCAGTTTTGCCTCCATCATGTTGCCAGTTGGGTCAATGACGCCTTTGACCTGGTGTCTTGTGAGATGTATTCTCTGCTCGTGCTCCAATTTACCCATTCTGTAAACAGTGAGATTCAGGTACAGGCGGCATCTGTGTTGCATGCTTGGCTTAAGTTGCTGCAATGCGCTAGGTTGGTTGCCCACTCAGATGCCCCGTTTTCGTTATAGGGACCCCGAACTTGGGGGCATAAGTCGTCAGCCACAGAAAATATATTATCTAATGAGACCTTATAAAAAAAAATTTGTAAATACATAATGCAATTTGCAATACCACACATTCTTACATCAATATTTAATGTTGCTGTAGTATTGAAAAAATTTGTATTATAATTTTTTTAAACCATAATTTGAGTTGCTACTGTGAAAGAAATCAGGAACTATTTCCAAAATTAATAAATCAATAAATCAAGATTACATACCAAAAACATTGTTCCTTGCATCACCAGATTTTCTACATCACTCAGCATCTTCTCAAGGGGTTCTAAACTAGCCTTATCGTGGCCAAACCTCTGTTGATCAGACCCTGCAGAGCGTACTAAACGACGATATGCTCCCCAATGTTCATGAAGCAGTGAATTGCTAATTATAATTTCATCCAGTGTGATAAGGGTTCCAAGTAGAAAGCCAAAATGCTCATATATAACCTGTAAATAAAAAAGTAACTGAATGTCAACAATAAGTTCGAAGACCTATTTGTGTTAAACATGTAAGTGGTAGCACTACCCAACAGCATAATCTAGTGTGACTATATTCTGTAAGAAATAAGGCCTTAGCAGTAATAGGTGTAGGGAACCGGACAACTGCCTTTCTGAAAAAATGCCTTTCCAGATAACAGGGATCAAAATACTGTAATTAGGAGCCCACTCCATATGCAGTACATGTAATGTAAGCTGTACAAATAGATCAAAGAACCAACCTGAAAGTGAACTTCAGTTACATCAATAAAGCCATTAGCTTTTCTCTCTGATGAATACAGTGATGTCATCTGGTGCAACATATTACGAGACACTTTTTGGACACGTCGCACGTAGCATTCAACTTGATGTAGAGTTGGCAGGATACGTGACAATGAAATCTGCGATTCCCCGGTTGTTTCTCCTCCTTCTCCAACTGCAAATAAATATCTTCTTCACTAGAGAGCCAGAAATTATTAGCGAGTTGTCGCAGATATGATGTTCTTACGATACTCAGTATTGCTCTAATTTTCTATTGTTGGGAACAAGGTTTATTATGCTTATCAGGGTTTCCCTAGGTCAGCTACTGACCTTTCCAAGGATGCAGCCTACAACAGTTAACTAATTCTTGGGTACCTATTTACTGCTAGGTGAATGAAGGCATCAAGTGAAAGAAATCATGCCAAAATGTCTGTCCAGCCATGGGGCTCAAAAATCAGGACCAAAAGATCCTGAACAAGGAGAAGGCCCATAACCATAATTCTCAAATTATGGTTATGAACTGAATGCTTATTCCTGCACTAAAACAGCACAGAAATCTAACGGTTAAGAATTTTATTTCATCACCTAAGTGCTTCCAAGAAAAGCCAGAGCCATATTTTGCAATTGATATATCATTTACTACATTGATAAATGTACTCTACTCTACTCACCTCCACTGCCATATAACACAAGGGGTGGGTAGAGCTGACTGCGTGCCTCGTCCACCAACTCAGATGCTTCTAAGGAAAGCGCACTAAGGGCTAACACCACTTTATTCACTAGCTTGTTGTCAGATTGAATAAGCTGAACCAGAGATGGCTGCTCAAAAGGTGTCATCTGTAACAATAGAGAAAAATAATCAAACATATGCAAATTTGACACTAAATACTGTAACGTACTTTTAAATGCTTTTTAAAACGGATTTTCAAGTGAACATATTTATTATCCATAATTATAAAATGGTTAACAATTAACATTTATGTTTGTGATAAATATAATTCAGTATACAAACAATTCTTATAATCAAGGTAAAAATGAACAAAAGATGCATTTCAAATGTTTGGTTACAAATGATGTAGTATGGATCTGGACACACAGTATAGTACTTTGACAAAGAACCAAAATCCCATGGATAAAAGTCAATTTTCAACACATGCACAATTCTCTCCAAAGCCATAGAGGATCCTCCTTATAAACAACAAAATCTGATAACTCAGAAAAAGGATGATATCAATGGCATCAATCAATTGCTTGGAGTGCATTTTTTAAGATTTTGTGAAAGGCGAGATTGTGTGCTTAGGAGCACAATTCTTTTGCTGTTAAAATGGAATCATTCTGGCCAATCATGAAGTGGTGGTCTATGGCTGGTTTATGGAACGTCAAGCCTGACCCCGGGCTGGGCTTGGGGAGTAGAAAAACTCCCTGAACAATGTGTGTGACCCATATAGGAAGAAAACTTTGACTGCCCCCCATTCTCAAAGCCTCACAGAGGAGTCAAAAACCTGTGCACAGTAAAGAGCAAGGCTCTCTCCACAGGAAGATAGCTACTTACAGGCACAGCCACCCAAACCTACCGGGGAAGATAACTCTGGCTAGACAGAGGCAACACCAGTGAGCACCTATAGAAGTCAACTCTAGGCACATGTAGCTCAAGGTGAACAGTTAACAACAGTCTACATAAGAAGTGCAGCACACACACATACACAAGAAGCAAATATTAAAATATAGAATGAGTATACATGCAAATAGCTTGTGCATACAGCCATCCTTGCAGGACAAGGTCCAAGGATGGCTGTCACTTATTTGAATAACTGGGGCTCAAAGAGCACTTGTGGAAATGAAGAGCATAACAATGAGGTGTCAATATGTTGCACCAGGATAAATTATTGTCGTGTCAGCTAGGGAGGATCTAATAGCTAGGTGCATGGCCACCTGGTGGTATGCAGTTGTTACCAGCGAGTGAACCATCCATCACGTGAAAGTGATTCACATCCGGGTCTCATTTTCTTTTTTGAGTTTATCTTGCTGCAGTCTATTGTCTCGCTCTACTTTCCTGGTGGCCTTTTCTTGGCCTGGGTGATCTTGTATCCTCAGCTCCCTACACCTCTAAAGAGAGGAGGCCAGGTTTTGGCCTCTGGTCCCCAGTTATGTTACAATGACTCACAGGGGCCTGATGTGGATCATATTGGGTGGAGCTAACCAGGTTCCTAGCAACAGGGAGCCTCTTTAGAACCCCCCTCCCAGAAAACATAATAAAATGGAATACTGTGCACTGAATACAGTACTCAAAATGAATCTGGTCCTAATTACTACTACTAGTTCATTTTATAAAAATTCCATGGTCAAGACATGTACTTCAAACATTACCATAGGAAACCATATTTACAATACATCCTGTATATATTTAACACAGCACTTTGGGTAGTTTTTAATAGGCCTACCTCACCTTGAGCCTCACTGGATCAAGAACACTGTCCCATGGTGGCAATGGGTGGGGCCCCAAAGCCTCGATAATTTCTTCCAACTGGTCTCCATGCTGTTCAACAATGCTGCCATATCTACGAAGTTCATGTTCAGCCACAATCTCTGTAAATATAAACCAAATACCTGTACTTTCAGACATGACCAATACCTAATTATCATACAAATTATTAATCTTACCATTATAATGCATTGTGTCAGGGGACAGGCAGCCAGTTTATACATATGCTAAACATAATCTCACTCCACAAATTCTCTTGTGTCAACTACATTTACAAAACCCTGTTCTTAAATGCAAATCCTGCTCTGAAACTCTCCGTGGACAGATGTAATAGGACCCATTATCACCACACCAGAAATAAATATATCTTTGATATCCCAAGAGTCAAACTTAATCTGTATAAACACTCTATGCAAATAAAGGGACCTAGTCTATGGAACTCACTCCCTAATGAATTGAAAAGCTGTCCAACTTTTGCATCATTCAAAAACAAAACTAAAAAGTACCTAATTTCATCTTCATAGTTTTTTACCTTGTTGCTTTAAAATTGCACTGTATCATTTGCTACCCAATCTCCCAATCTTTATGTACCCAATCTGAACATCTTTACCATCGTGATCATTGCTGTCTTATATGTGCTATCAATCTGCTGTATGGTGCCTATTAATCTTCTTTAAATTACCAATCAAGCTGTCAATGTAATCAATCAGAGCTTTAATATACCAACGTGCTTTAATATACTTACTAATCTCTCTCGTCTCATTTTTTTCTTGCAATGTATCTGTTATCATTTTGTTAATTCTGCTAGAATTTACCTACTGAAAATTATCTGTTAGATTAAGGACCTGCTCGAAACGCTGCGCGTACTAGTGGCTTTACAAGATTGTAAATACTATGCTATGTATTCTCACAAACCCAATGTGCCTTCTTGTATATAAATAAATAAATAAATACAGTACATGTTAGGCTTATATTGAAGTCCTCCCCAGGATTGAATTACTGACCCTACCAGGATGCAATAGGTAATAATGCACAAGAATGAGTTGCCCATAGGGAATGGGAGAGGATGTTGTTGTTGTTATAGATTCAGCTACTTGGAACAAGTTCCATATAAGATCAGCAATGAACAAGTTCCAAGTAGCACGGGCTATGCTTGGGGATAGCCCAAGCTTAGCCAAGGGATAAGCCTGTAGCTTACCTGGCACAGGAGAGGGGCAAGTAGCATGGGCTATGGAGAGCCTGCAGGAGAGGAGGGAACGGGTCAATAACTATGTGAGAGGAAGGAACGGGTCAATATATATGAAAAGAGGGTGAGGAGAGGAGCAGGTAAGAGAAGGTAATTTCTAAAAGGGTGGAAGATGTATGGTGTGTGTGTGTGAGGGGGTTGAGGTGTACGGTGTGTGTGTGTGTGTGTGTGTGAGGGGGTTGAGATGTATGGTGTGTGTATGTGTGAGGGGGTTGAGGTGTATGGTGTGTGTGATTGTGGGTATTGTGTGTGTGTGAGGGGTTGAGATGTATGGTGTGTGTGTGTGTGAGGGGGGTAGAGATGTATGGTGTGTGTATGAGGGGTTGAGGTGTATGGTGTGTGTGTGAGGGGTTGAGGTGTATGGTGTGTGTGTGAGGGGTTGAGGTGTATGGTGTGTGTGTGTGTGAGGTATGAGGGGATTGAGGTGCACGCAAACACAAGGATAACTTACTGTGACTGTTCTCATCATAGTCAACATCAGCCGTCATGACGCCCACCACAAGCACCGCCCCTCACCACCACCACAACAACAACACTCCCTCACTTTCACGGTCTAACACCTTACAAAAGTTTCATTACTTCACGTCATCGCTAATATTTAAGGAAACCTAACGCAACCTAATCCGCTTCAACTTATCCCTACCAACTCTACCCAAACCTAACCAAAATATTAGATAAAATATTGCGTTTAATTTTTGGAACATAAAAGGTATGTGACATCACTGACGTCATTATGTGGTCTTGCTTGGGTTATACTGTTTCTATCTAAGCTCGAATTATTGAACATAATCATAAAAAATAGTAACGTAATGATTAGGGTACAATATATTATTAGAGTAGCCATATTTTTAGAAAAAAAACAAGTTTTCGGAAGTAGTAGTCTAGTTAATTTATTATGCACCCCATACCCATCTTTTGGGGGTAGAGGAAAGTGTTACAGAGGAACATAATGGTCTCGGGGAGTGAACCTCCTCCTCCTCCTCTTCTTTGCGATACATGCAGTTTGCATGAATGTTTTTCCTCCAGATGACTGCACGAGTGATGATGTTGATAGATGCGGCGCTCACAGTGGCTCATCAATGTTCAAAATTTAGCAGCGGCTGGAAGTTATCGGTCTTCTATTTGTGTGAAGATAATGAGAAAAATAAACATACGAGTAGAAATGGACTTCGGATGGCAAAGATATGGTGGTATCCCAGAGTTGCTATTTTATGAAAAGTGTGGTGTTTAGTCAGGAGACTCGGTCAGGAGATTCAGAGTGTGTATAGGGGCCAACCCGTCCTCCACTCAAGTCCATTACATCCAGCGGTCGACCCCACAAACGGGACTCCACTGATTACGTTCGACGTTTGGGTCAAATAGATTGGAAAGTCTTGGGCATATGGGGTGGGCCGGTCTTGGAACAAGACGTGAACCCAGCGATGTGTGATGTAAAGGAAGATTTCGATTTGGATTCAAAATATAACTTATTTACAAATATTTTAAGCAAAGCACAGTTAAGTAGTATATCTTACAAATTGAATGGATCAAATACAAATGACCCGAAATGGATAACAAGGGATCTGAAAAATCTTATAGGTAGAGCGCGCGCTTGGTACAAAAGGATTAAGAATGGGGAAGTTAGTTTAGAATAAGAATTCGCACAACTGGTTAGAAATGTTAAAAAAAAAGATTATGAGAGCAAAAAGAATCTATGAAGTTCGTATAGCAGGCCAAGCAAAAGCAAATCCTAAAAGTTTCTTCAGTTATATCAAACAAAGGTTAGGGAAAGGGTAAGTCCATTAAAAACCGAGACAGGTCAGATAACGGATAATGGCGAAGTTCAGTCGAACAAGACTATGTGGGTGGGGATGAGGACAGGTTGACTAGTCTAACAGGGATATTAAACTAATAGTACAACTCAAACCAAACAAATTCTCAGGGCCGGATGAAGTGTTTGCCAGGATGCTTAAAGAATGCAAAGAGCAGCTTTGCGAGCCATTGTATACCATATTTAATAAATCATTAGTCAGGCAGAGTGCCAGAGTCGTGGAAGGTTGCTAATGTGGTACCAATTTTTAAGAAAGATGATAGATCACTTGCGTCAAACTTATGACCAATTAGCGATTAGCCTAACGTCTATTGTGGTAAAGTTATTTTAATCGATAACTGCAAATACAATTCGTCTTCATCTTGAAAAACAAATTAATAAACGAGTCGCAACATGGTTTTACAAATGGCCGTTCATGGTTAACAAATTTGCTATCTTTTTATTCCAACATAGTTGATAGGGGTAAGGATTGTGATGTGTACCTTGACTTTAGCAAAGCTTTTGATACAGTGCCACTTGAAAGATTTAAAAAAAAAAAAAAAAAAAGGTTCATGGTATTGGGGGTGCTATATAAAGTTGGATTAGGGCATGGCTATTCCAAAGGAAACAAAGTAAGTATAAATGGGGTTAAGTCAGAGCGGGATAATGTTAGTGGAGTGCCTCAAGGCTCTGTCCTGGGACTTCTTGTTTATAATATATATAAATGATTTAGATTCAGGTTTGAGTAGCAACATCTGCAAATTTGCAGATACAAAAATCGGTAGGGAAATTAACACGGAAGACGCCTCACTATCACTTCAAGTTGATCTAAATAGGGTTTTGAAATGGTCAAGATTGGCAGATGCAGTTTAATGCTGATAAATGTAAAGTTCTGAGGCTAGCTAATAATGATAGTTACAAGATGCGAGCTAGATGGTGTTGATATTGCAAAAGGGATCTGGACGTTATTAGTAAGAATTTAAAACAAAAAAGTTTCAATGCACGAATGTTCGTAATAAGGCAAATAGGACACTGGGATTTATTAATCGAAGCGTTAGTAACAAGACACCTGGTGTGGTTCTTCAGCTGTATCTTGCTCTGGTTAGGCCTCATTTAGATTATGCAGTTCAGTTTTGGTCGCCGTACTATAGAATGGATATAAATTCACTTGAACGTGTCCAGCGTAGGATGACTAAGTTAATTCCCCAAATTAGAAATCTTTCATATGAAGAAAGATTAACAAAGCTTAAATTGCATTCACTGGAAAGGCAAAGAGTTAGGTGTGACATGATAGAGGTTTACAAGTGGATGAATGGACATAAAGGGGATATTAATAGGGTATTAAAAGTATCAGCACAAGACAACACAAAACAATGGGTATAAATGGGATAACCTTAGATTTATGAAAGACTTGAGTAAATACTGGTTCGGTAACAGGGTTGTCGATTTGTGGAACAAGTTACTGCGTAACGTGGGGGGAAGGGGGGGCCCTCGATTGTTTCAAGCGTTGGTTGGACATGTATACGAGTGGGATTGGGTGGTTGTGGATAGGAGCCGCTTCGTATGGGCCAATAGGCCTTCTGCAGTTACCTTTATTCTTACGTTCTTAAAGATAGAAGGATCCTACCATCAAGTGATCTTAACTACCCAAAGGGGTTGACAACTGACACAAAGGGGTCCAGTGAAAGTATCCGTAGGACAAACCTGGGCCTCTAACATGTATTTAATATCCTCTTGGCAGCCTTTGAATTCACTTTCTACAGTTGAAATATGGTATTGGAGAATGACTGCCAATGCTGGCATTCAACTGGGCATATTTTGAGACCAGAACCCATCGAAATATCACCGATTACATTTGATTCATTTCACATACAACTGCAGCTGGGGCAGAGACAACCTCACATAAACCATAGTTTGTTCATCCTCACTATGAAATGCTAAAATTCTTTAGCGGGAATCGGTGCACAAGGTACTTACCTGCCTCCTTGAACAAGCAACACACAGGTCACTTCAAAATCAATAACGCATAAAAACAAAATTCGGTAATTTCTTAAATATGCTAAATTTCCATTAACAAATTTGGGGCATAAAAAACTATTTCAATTATACATTTTATTCAGGTACAGACAAACATGGGGAATGTTTAATGAAAAAATACTGGTGTACCTCAATTAAAAGCCAGAACTACTTAAAGATATAGGTGATTAAACTCCATACAACTTACACATCACTCATCACATATACAGTCAGAGGAAAGTGAGTTTGTTCTGACCAGGAAGCCACTTGTGACTTAAGCAGCTGTGCATGTCATTATCCCTTACACATGAATTTGAATGGTAAAACAAAAAATGCAAGTTGTTAAACAAGGTTCCTATGCAGCAAAACTAGCAGCATCTTACAGGTATATGACAAGACTAATGATACTGAAAGTTGAATGATAAATGACAAAACCGGTGTGCATATCAGAACACAATTTCGATGAATAAATTATATCATCACGTACACTGAAAAGTCATAATGCCCACACTTGTGTTGCGTATTATCTTTTAATTGTTTATTTTCATTAGACATTCTAATGAAATGACTTCAAGGAAAAAGTGTGCTTAACATCCAAGAGATGTAGAAGGCCAATGACAAATTTAATATACATATATATATATAAAAAAAACAGCATGTCAAGTGGGTAAAAATCTTAATCTATGTATTTGCCAAATACAACACTTAGTTTTGTCTCTTACTAGAATTACTGGTATTTACGAAAATTAGACATGGGAAATCTTTCGTTCTGTGACATCATTGGCATAGACATCGAGCTCATGCCAGGCTGGTTAACATGATTAAGCTCCGAACGTAGAATATCAGACATACCCATGCCTCCCATATTTCCACCACTGCCACGTCCACCCATATTGGGACCACTGCCACCACCCCACCTGAAAATGTTTAATAATTAAATATCTATACATATTAGATAAACATCAATATAAACATTAAGAGGAATAAAAATAAGGCAAAGTACTATATCTAAAGTAGAGTACAACCCAATATGCAATGAGAAAATTTCGAATAGGAATCATTGAAAAGTTAAAATCAATCTGTGCAAAATAAAAATCAACAAATTATTAGTCATTAAGGAGAAAGTCAAAACATAAATGGTAAGGTAAAATAAACACTCCATGGCAAAGCTTGTGAATTACTATATTGTCAATGTCTTTGCCAAAACACAAGATACCTATTATGAAAAACAAGATTTTTGTACTTAAAACTTTCAAGTACACATGTACAACAAACATTTAAAAAGAGTATAGGGTCAGAATAATGCCAAGGCTATCAGTGGTTGTGTCCATAAATAAAATGTAAAAGGAGCCAAATAACTAAATTTACATTGCAGCAAAGTGCTAAAATACTGGACTGATGCACTAAGGAAATAAACCTCTATGACACCTTGGCGTTTATATAGAGTTCCAGAGTTTCAATGGGAGCATAGATTTTCTTCACAAACGAAGACGTGACCTACTGTAATGCCCTTTCTAATCACTTTAGGTGTGGCACAAAATATCTGACTTTTGCAGGCAAGGCAAACTTATGCTTTATAGAAATACACTAAGAACATAGTACTTTGCATTTCAGATTTCCATGAAGTTATGTTTCAACTTATCCTTGAATATGGAAAAATTTAACAGATGGCTATACTATATATGCGAGGAGAGGCGGCATCGAGGTAATGCGAGACTGCCGTCATCTCTGGCAGGGAGGGAGCATGAGAGCAGGTGACACGAGGATGGTCGGGTGGAGTGTGGACATTGGCCTAGATGCCAGGAGGGTCAACAAACAGGGAAAGAAAAATGAGAAGATGGGATCGAGTCAGATGGCCCCACAGTAGATAAAGAGCGAAGAGGTGACATGAAAATAACAGGTAGGGAAAGACTGGGAAGGTGGGACAAAAATGGAGACTGACAACAAAGGTACACCAATGGACTCAGACTATGGGGAAAGGAGGAAAGGGGAGCTTGTGGATGTGTAGGTGGTTCAAGGTTTCAAAACCTGTGTACCCAAGGTGGGTTAGGATGGGGGAGGGGGGGGGGGGGGGAGTACAACAGTGCACGAGCCAGCCAAGGTGGAGGATGGTCTGTTCAAATTTATACTGTAGACAAGAATGTGTACAAAAAGGTTGTCATCACTGCAGTCGGTGCGGTGAGCAGCTAGAACATTCCATCCTAGAATGATCCGAGGAGTCGCACAAAATAAATGTGGGTGGGGGGGGGGGGGGAAGGAACCTACAAAATTTTGATAATCCATGCTCAAATTTCCAATAACTTTCAGAGATGTGGAGACGGGGCTTTTTCTCAACGGAGCATCTCGCATCAACAAGAATTATTTATAATACTTATAAATATCAGTGATCCACTGTTGTTCAACATCCACCCTATCAACTGGGTGCCAAGTCATGTGGGAATAAATAGGAAATGACATTGCAGATGAAGCTGCAAAACTTGCAACTAAGAAGAAATGTGGACATTTACATACCAAGAGTCTAACACAGATTAAGAAAGTAATTAGAAACGGAGCAATGCAAAAGATGTAGTGACCACAACAGCAGTTGCAACATCAGGATCTGTGGGTTGGTTGGTACAATAATTCAACCAACAACGAACCACTTAGTTTGATGAAAGGGAGCAGAACAACAGAAGTACACTTTATTGTATCAGGCTTGGATACCCATGTGCATGGGAAATAGGCTTACAGGTTCCGGAAGATAAGAGGAAATGTCAGCACTGTGGAGAAATGCCCGACAGACCACTGGAATATTATCTAACACAGTGCAGTTACAAACCCATGAAGATTTTAACGTAGATTCAGAGCAGAAGTTGTTAAAACCACATAGGACAATCTTACTGAAGCGACCATACAAGTCATAAATACTCATACTTCGCCCAAGTAAAACGGAAATAAGCAATACTTAGTAGGCCAGTGCAAGAATATACCTGTAAAACAAAACAAAAAAAACAGGGAGCACAAGACATATTGCCAGAACAAAAGTGGACATGTTCTAGAGAAACTTGGATAGTTTTCTTCAAGAAGTACTGTAAATTTTCTTCAAGAAGTACTGGACCAACTGGACTGTAATGGATATGTGGGCCCCAGGCTAGGCCAGGCTTGGAGAGTAAAACTACGATTAGAATCCCATCCAGGTACAATCCAGGTTAGTAAACCAATGAATTTAAACGTGTTGTGAATTGTGAAATTGATGAAGTTATTCAACACATTCTCAAGAAACAATTGATAAACAATCTGTGAAACATTCAAGGGTAATGCAAGTCGTGTCTCGCATGCCTCACTGTCAGTAAAGTTGAACATTGTGTGTTATCAGATGCCAGACCACATAGCCTGTGTGCAACCTTTCAAAGAGTGCCTCCACCCAGTAATATTATAAATATTCACACATGTTCATGATTTTCTTAGTTTGTATACAAATTAATAATTTTGTAATGAAAAGTATTTTTAAATATGTTTTCTTGTGCATGGGTAGGAATGACCATTTTGTTATAGCCATTGTCCAGGGGTTAATAGCCTTATGGCAGTCCTTAGGATCTCAATATCCCCCATCTCAGCATAGGGCAGGAGGAGGATTATGCTGAGGATAGTATTCAATGAGAAATTCTTTTTGATCCAAACTGGGGCCTCACCAGAGCGAGATATGGCAGCTAAGAACGTAGCTGTCTCCTTGGAAGGGGTTTCAATGATGCAGGTGCTAGTCAGGGCAGGACTGAACCTCTGAGCATCCACAGAATCTGAATGGTTTTTAAATACAAATTGTCAGAGCAAGTATGGCCATCATGGCAGACGTCAAAATATTTAGGCCATGTAGCAAGTCGACCAAACATCTTGGAATGTAGCAGTGGTACAGGAAATGTGGGCATATGATGGCGAGGACATCACCTCACACCTCCCAAAAGGGGCAAAAAGTGCTGTAATATCCATCAAAGATAGTCACCACAGTGTCATGATAGTCAACTACCACTGGGGACCCTTGGGTTGTCACAGCCAAGGAAGGCTTGGGAAGGGAGAGGATCAGAAAGCCCAATCTGGCCCAACCCCACAATGCCCATATAACTAGCTAAACAAGCAACAGATGAACATATGTTCAGGTGGCCACACTGAAATTCCCATTTCACCCATCCTCCCAGTAAAGAAGTGTTGCCTTCCCAAGAGGATGCAGCTGCCAGGGGTCAGGGGGAAGGTGCACACATGAGAATGAATGGGTCTCTACACTGAACACACACAATAGTGTCTTGGTGTGCACTGTCGGCAGGCAGAAGAGGGAAGCTGGCACCATCCCCCTCCTAAATCAAGGCAGCACTAACCAACTGATGCCATCTTTCAGGAAATAATTTATATGAACCGGTCGGCCGAGCGGACAGCACGCTGGACTTGTGATCCTGTGGTCCTGGGTTCGATCCCAGGCGCCGGCGAGAAACAATGGGCAAAGTTTCTTTCACCCTATGCCCCCGTTACCTAGCAGTAAAATAGGTACCTGGGTGTTAGTCAGCTGTCACGGGCTGCTTCCTGGGGGTGGAGGCCTGGTCGAGGACAGAGCCGCGGGGACACTAAAAAGCCCCGAAATCACCTCAAGATAACCACATTTTTTAGGCTATCATGTCACATCAAATGCCTTTGCAACATCTATATACATAACCTGCATCTTTGTTTACTTCTAAGGCTTCACACTCACACACAAACACTCCCTCCCACTGTCTTCTGATTGGTGTTATGTATCCTGAACTGCTTTCTAAAACAATTTTTTTTTTTTTTTTTTTTTTTGCAAGTACAAGTGCTCATGTATATATACAATGCAGTTTACATGAGTGAACATGTTTTTATCTTAAAACTTTGTGCTAAAATTAAAGACCAAAAGATCTATTATAAAAATTGTTGTTGTGTAAAGCACATGAATTCATAACAAGACTGCTTATAATTTACTATGGTGTGCTTTGTTCGGCGAGTTTAATAAAAAAAATATATAAAATTTATATTATATTTTTTATTTATATTTATATATATGTATATGCATATACATATGCATATACATATATAATTATACCATTATAATCTTTCAAAGGCCCTTTCCCACAATAATAGCAGGGTAGCAGAGGTAAACATTAACAAATGCATCAATTACTGTTTGCTGAATAACTTAAGTTAAAGAAAGAACTGTAGGCAATAATAGCTGACCTATCACTGTTGTTCATTCCACTTGACGTTCTCCAGCCCTGCGAGTCCCCCCCACGTACAGAGAGCCCCGAGGTGCCCATATTGCCCCCCATCATCGCCGAGCTGCTCCCATAGCTGCCCTTACTATCGTTCATCCCCCCGCCAGTCCTCCATGCATCACCGCCGCTGCCGCCCAGACCACTACCACTGTACCTGCAGAGACACCGCCATCACTCATAACCCATGTATTCCATACACTACTACTACTACCGAAGCTATTACCCAAGCATTACAAAAATTAACTAATTACCTTATTTTTTGAGCTATTTTAATAAGTCACTTATCACAAGCTACAAAAATTAACTGACAATACTTCCACATCAATGATGATTCAAAACTGACAACGCACAAAATTTGTGTTTTCAAATTAGTTTAAAGTAAATCAAAGAATGGTGATAGCAAACAATTTTAACTATACTCAAATACTTTATAAGCATTTACATTACTTTAAAACATCTTTACTTAAATATAAATTAAACGATATTAAATGATTAAGTTTGTATATTACAAATACTTTACAAAAAATTAAACACACCTGAAGCCAAAATCTGGTCCTTAAACTGTTTAGAATCTAAACACACCAATTAGAGACCCTTTGCATGTGACAACACCCAGCCACTCATTACATGTAAACATGAAGCTGTGGGAGTGAATAATGGCTACCTTTGTGTATAGTCAGCAGTGTCAGTTTTGAATGATGCACTGTCCTGATGGTTTTAGCATCGCAAATAACTATGAACATTTTAGACATCTATGTGGCACCTTAGCCACACCCCCCTGTGTGGTGGTTAAGTCCTCCAATTAGAAATTGTCAAAACTTGTCAGTTTTGACTTTTTTATTATAAAATGAGCACCCAGGAATATTTTGTTGCAACTGTTAAACTATTAATGTATTTAATGGAGTATGGTAATTTACTCGTTAGCTAAAGCCGAGCTACTTCTCTAGAAAAGCTTGTTTTATTTATGTTCCCCATACCCAGCTTACGATGTAGTGAAAAGAAAACCAAGGCACATGTTCAATTGAACCCCACCATTCTCAAAGGTAAATAGCAGTACAGTACAGTACCAAGCTATTAAACACGGACAGGTTATATAGCAAAACGAAATGCTAACCTGATATGCACTATTTACAGTAAATAGTAAACCATTTACAATCCTACCAACTTGTTAAAATGACATCTGGACAGTCAATAGTTCATTAATACACAGGTTTGTATATTAATAGTACATTAATATACAAGAAACTTCACCAACGACACATTGCGAAGAATGCATGTGGGGGGGTGCAGGTTTTGTGAACTAGCACATCGTGGTGAATTTGCCGCTTCATACAATAAAAAAAGCTGCCTAGGCTCAGTGACCTTTTTAATAAATTCCTTAATGTACATATTTATTGCTTACACTATTTGTATTACTACACGCATGGTGCACGTCTGAGTAAAGAACCCTTTGGGTAGGGCACTGCCAACCCATGATCTTTCCCTGGGGTAAGCACATCATTGTCCAATTTTTATGCAATGTTCAACAATAACCATACCAAGATATGGTGTTGGTTCTCCGGCACTAAAGTTATCACGAACAAAAGAACCTCAGCCTTGACTAATAAAATGGAACTGGTGGTCGTATACAAAGGCAGTGCCTAACCCTCGCCCCTCCTCCAACCCGCCAGCCACATGTTTACAAATAAAGATGAGGTTGCATGTGCAATAGGTCTAAACCTACCCACCAGGTTCAACACTATTCAGAAAGATGCAACAGGAAGTCTCCCAACATTATCTTCTACAAGCACTCATGGCTTTACATATGAAGTAAAAATAAATAACGTACACTTCAGCATTTACAGGAAATTATGTAATATCCAACAATTTATCAACGAAGATTATTTAATATAACTTTAGAAAAATTGGAAGGGAATAAATTAGTAAAGCATTTGATAACTATAATAACTAGCTACAGTAAATCATGCTAGTTCTTGCCAAGTTTATTTACCTTTCCCTCGGTCTGTCTCGTGAGGCCTGAGGGGGTAGAGGTCCTCTATGATCACGATCATCACGAGGGCCAGATCTATCAACTGGACGTCTGTCTTCTCGTTCCCTAATATCTCTTCTGTCCTCATAACGATTAGCACCACCACCAACACCAGCTGGCCCACGTAGATCTTCACGACCCCCACCACCACCATGACTACCATGACTAGTGTGACTGCCATGGTTACCATGACCACCCCGCTCAAAACGTGCAGGTTCATTTCCTCTGTCATAGCTCCGATCTTCATTGTATCTGCTTAAAGTAAATCATTATTATTAATACATAGAATATATTGTCATAATATGTTGCCACCTCCAGTACCTGTAATATTGCACAGTATTGTTCTTAAGGGCCAAATACAAATTATACCTTAATCAAAACAAGTCTTTCACCCGCACGTTCTTATACCTGTATTTTAATATTCACAGAACTAGTTTCACTGCCTGGTGCAAGAAATTCAGCCATATGACAAGTACACAAGAAATGCTTTCTACAAAAACTTGTATGCCATTAGTCACATTCCACACTTCAGTGACACTTCCCCCTGATACTAAAAGACCCTATACCGCTTTACTTTTGGTTTTGGATTCCATATCCAGTGACCTTGTGAATGGGATACAGAGGCCAATTCCCTTCAAGGGTGCCATAAGGGCAGATTCCAACCACCAAATGAGAAGGCTCCATAAAACCATTATTACCATGCAAAGTTGTGCAAGGCTAGTTCCAAGAATCTGGCTTTCAACCTTGGATAGGCTAAACACACTAATATATAGATTGGGTACTTGGCTTTAGTGCTGGGATTATATGTTCTCTTATTGTATCTTATTATCTCCCTTTTATATCTTGTGACTTGATATGAGTCTAGGATACTCTTCACTTATTTCCTATGTTGGTTGAGTTACACATTTTAACCATATTGTGGCAAGTCACTCCTTATTTCACACTAATTTGGGTTTACTTCTAATTCACAATTCACATGGCCACTCGTCAAGTCAATAAGTCCTCCGAAGCCTTCAAATATATAGTTGTAATTTGTTAGCCGTGTATCAGTTGCAAACACTTTACTACATTAACACTGGTCACTAACACACACTGCTACTTTTCTGTCACAGATTATTGAACCATTAAACCTTCTCCAGGAGAAGCTGTATACAGTGTATTTTGTGTACTGTATTTTACTGTATAAAATAATTAAAACACTAGCACAAAATAATTGTATTTAAAAGTATTGTTTGAGTATCAAACTACAGAATTCCTAAAACCATACCGTCTCTGAGGTGCTGGAGCATCATCAAAACGTGAGCGATTATCTGGAGCAGGTCTTTTACGATCCTCAAAGAACTCTCTTCTTTCACGATCTTCCGCTGGACGCTTGATGCTCCGTCTTGTTTCCTCGTACCTGTAAATAAAGTAGACTCCGGCTCATGCTAACGGCTCTGCAAGCCCAATAGTGAGAACATTTATTTTTTCCTTAAATATTAGTACCACAAGCTTCATGCATTAATTTATCAAGTCTGTGGAGTTTTTATTATGACAGCACCTAGCAACTTTTACGTAAGATTATATACTATAAGAAACAATACTCATTACAAGAACCAGAGATGACACTGACCGGAGTCTACTGTTAGGGAAACATGGTTAAATAACTTTCACAATCGGTTAATTAAACATTCACAAAAGCAGTTTAAAGCATTGAAACACTGGAATAAAAACATTAAATACAAATAATTCTCTACCCACAAAGAAATACATTTAATTCCTTTAGTCCTTTGGTTTAAGTTACATCATTAGATGTTTACAAACATGAAGTTTATGCAGTTGACATTAGTGGACGTTTTAAATGTGGGTTACAGTAATGAAGTCTTCTGACATGCCAAAATCAACAAATTTTTACGTTTTTGGAAGCCATTTTTTTGGCATAGCTTTGCACGCTTTCCAGATCATTAATGTACTTTGTTAAAATGTGTGTTCCATACAACTGCAGCACATTCCAATTTTGGTCTCAAAAGTTGAATATGTATATCATATGTCCTTTATATAGTTCTGGTGACAGTCAAACAACCAAAAACACACTGTTCTTTAATGCCTTTCCACAATTTGTGGGTTCTGTTGGGCCTATTTTTTTCCACTCCATATACCATACCATTGAATTCTCTTTGCCAAGTACTGCTCTAAATTATTTTGTCCAGGTTATCTTGAAGGGCATGACAAACTTTTAAGTCTCGTATAGGTCAAACACATTCATGTACTTCTGCATGCCTATTGGTATAGTTTTATTTAGACAAACATTACTAGTGCAAGAACTGAACCATGTGATACTCTTGCTAGTAACACCTCAAATCTGATACAATGCCCGATTACCAACCATTCTTTGTCAGTTTGTCAATTTTAACCAATGTCAGCAATCTGCCTATCACCCCTCCAGCATGTTATTTCCAGAATAGCCTCTTATAATCAAGATAGTCAGTGAACCCAACCATCTTATTCATCAATATAATGAAAGTATCTTTTGGAATTTTTGTTTTGGAGGGCATGACTTTTTCCATAGCCGCTGTCCAAGAGTTAACACAGATACACGAATGCCTCCAGGATAAAGTTTAGAAATCTACCAGTCTAAATGTCCTCCATTCTTGCTTCATAAGCCACCTAGTCTATGCAGGCGACGAGTCACAATAACGTGGCTGAAGTATGTTCTAGTGTGTGGTCTGGCTACCTAGTCTATTTCAAGTTGAAGTTACCAAGTACCAACAATCGTTTTCTCTTGCTATACATCTCGGTTTCCTCTATTTCCTCTTACTATAATGTCTCATGATCATTATGAGACCCTATTATGTGTCATCCAGTTGGTCCTTTCTCCATGTTACTTTCTGGGGACTTGTGATCAGTCTTATTCTGTTTCCAAACCTGCATTGCCATTGCCAACTACTTTTGTGTTGATTAAGTTTCTTAAGGTTTTTTTCGCCAACATGGTAACAGTGGTAGATGGTTCGAACAAGCTGAGTGAGGTGGCGGTGGAGGCAGAAACCATCGGCTTCAAAGCGTTGTATGATAGAGTACCGGGAAGATGGGACACCACAAGCATAGCTCATCCATTAATTACTTTGGTAATTACACTAATTAGCTTTCCAAATTAGTGCAACAATGCAGCCCATCATCCTTGTTTTGGTAGTACTTTTAATAATGATGAAAACCATAACACATACCGATGTACAATGCAATTATAAAGTAGAAAGCAATACTTTTGAATTTGGACATACCAGAAAAGATTTTCCAATTATGTTGCGAAGCTCATAATTGGAAATGAAGACGCCCCCCCTTTCACTCATCTCATTTTCTTTCACTAGTTCCTTAGTTTCTACCACCTGTGTGTCTACTTTCTCAGTCAAGCTGGTAATTTCCTTGTCCCGCTACAAAATATTTTTAAATTATCAAATTCCGCCTTGAAACCTTAATTTTCTCGTACCAATTAAAGAAATTTTCCTTTGTGTGTCCACCAAATAATCACTAATCTACCAAGAAATCCACCTTCCATTATTTCATCCACAGTGAAACCCTTGAAATTTGTATCTTTGTGTTGTCCTTCCTCATGGTGGCAGCCATCTTTGTTGATGCTGATTTTGTTTCAAATATAACCTATCCTGATTTTTCACTCGCTTTTGCATTTCTCAGATTATTTTTCTTCCTATACCTTCTTTATTCCTTGGCTACTACTAACAGTTCTCAACCTGTTCAACGAAACTTCGACAACTGGATTTTCCCGGCACTCCTTTATGTAGCAACTGGCTTGCTGCTTTCACGTGTGTATTCAGCCAGTACTCCCCAACCCAGATAGTGAAACCCTGTATGTATATATGAAGTAGGCAATATATCTAATTTCTGAAGGCTATTATTGATAAACGGTAACTCTTTGACGGCATGTTTGCCAACTGACTGCCTGTGAGCATGTGCCTGTGTTTGACTACTTAAAACTAATAAACACCATTGAGGAATGGCTACATAAACTGCCAGTGACCTTGGTGCAGCAATTGGAGGCATCCCTCCCACACACTTATCACATTCCAGGACGATATTCTTAAATTATGGAGAGCTGTAATTGGCCAGCTGACCAATACTTTGCAAGTCCCAGTTAAATCAATCTACCCCTCACTCAAAACACCTATCTAATCTGTTCTTAAAACCTGTTACTACACTGCTAATTGCTACCCCATTTAACAAATCCAAAAACTTATTTCCAAACCAATACTTTTTTATACCCCTATACATGTTCTTTATTTTAAAAACTATTAGCTCATCTAATACCTTTAGTGTATAACACGGTGATTTTAGGATAAAACAATTGTTATTAAGCTGTAAGACTATGAAAATATCGAAAACTATCAACATAATTGACGGGAATCTGCCTCATTATCCAAATCAGAGTGGTTGTAATACTTAAAACTAATGAAATTTTTAATACTTTCAATGAAATGGAGCCGAGGAAACAATTTCAACTGAGCCCCACCTAAAATAAGGGGGGCATAACTGGCTGGCCTATCACAATGTTCAAGATAGGACTTTAAATTCCTCCAAAGCATACCTGATCAATTAGACCAATTCATACATCAGGCTACGAGCAGCCACATCCAATAGCCTGATTGACCAGATCACCATCCACGAGGTCTGGTCAGAGGCCGGGATGTTGATCCTTTGAATTGCCACAAGGTAGGTAATGGTTATAAAAAAAATGGATTAAGTAATGTTCAAGCAAAAACATGCAAGACAAAACTTTATTACTAGACGTGAACCTCACACTAAAGAATCTGTTAAAACACATACCTCATTTGCTGACGTCGAAGTTCTTCTCTCTCCCTCTCTAGCTTTTCTCTTTCCAGCCTCTGATGTTCTCTTTCCAACCTCAGCAATTCATGCTTTTGTCTTTCTATTTTTTCACGTTCCATGCGCAACTTTTCCCTCTCCCTGTTGGAACAATATGTATAATTAAGACAATGGGTCACCCTGGTCAGCATCAATGATATTAAAGCATACCATATACAGTCTATCTGTTTAATGCACAACCTATCCACGCCATTTTATCCTAAATAACATGTTCCAAAACATCGGGGTAAATAAAATAATGCTGGAGTGTGTTGGTTCGATACTGGGAGATGAATGAATAGTAGACCTCACCAGATGTGAGTATACGACCTCTAGCCAAAACCTCTATTCAAGCTTTGTTGCTTTGAACCTTAGAACCTCTCCCATCCTTCCACTGGCTTCTAATTAATAAGCACTAAAGTAATATATTCCTCAGTTGCCAGATACATTAGGCATCCTTTAAATGTCACGAATCTCCAATCCTATCCTATAATGTGCCTTTTGGCCTTTTCCACTTGCTACCACTGATAATCTTTCCTGTATATTTACAGTTTGGAACAATGGAGTTTTTACAAGTTTGGGGGAACTAAGGATTCCATTACTCTAGTCCATAGGGTATCAAAACCTCCATTGCAACCAGCATTCTGCAGAATTGTCATGTTTGACCCCATAGTGCAGCATCTACTGCTCCTTTCGGTCTTATGCTCGCACATGGGATTACGAGAAAAAAATTAAAATATAACCAGCTTGATATGAAAAATGTTTAGAATTTAAAGTTTTCTAACGTGTTTGTTGGGTTATAACAAATTTGATGTCAAAATGTTTGCAAATGAATTCTCTAAAGAATATATGCAAGAACAACATTGTACTCAATAGATTATACACGACAGTGATGAATATATGAATGTTAAAGTAATAACTTGCCTCTGGAGTCTTTCTGCCTCTTCCCGCTGGCGTCTCTCAATGTTGCGTTGCCTTGCTTCATCCTCTCTTCTCCTTCGTTCCTCTTCTCGCATTACTCTTTCCCGTGCACGCAAGCGCTGGCGTTCTCGCTCCTCCATGATCTGTAATATCAAACGTGCTTATTCTAACAAATTGATCCATGAAATACAAAAAAGTTTATATCTCTGGATACTGATCATGGTGGAATTTGGAAAGCACTGACACAGGGGCCCTATTTATCAAGTACCTTGACTATCAAGATCAAACCAAAGTTCTGCAAATAAAACTAGTTATACATCATTCAGAACTGATTACTGCAAAAGCTTCTTTCAAAATTAACAGTAAAGCTCTTTCACATTGTTTAATGCCTAAAATCTCATTTATCTACCTGTCAAACTCTGTTTAAAACCCTCATATTAGCTCAAGCTGCTTCACATTATATACCCCCCTCCCCGTGACACGTAATTAATGTACTGTAGTCGTTTTGCACATTTTCCACAGTTAAAACATACTACCATCTACGAGTAAATTTGGACCAATTGTGTTAATTTATTTAGTAACTTTTGAACAGAATGTAAAACCCAACATCAAGATACAGGTATTAGGGTGAGGGGTCTATTGGTTTCTAGTTAATGGTTAAATATCCCCCAAAACAAAAAAAATTTTTTTTATAAGATGGTGTAATTCATTTTATTTCTAGCAATTCCAAATCGGTGCAAGAAGCTTTATTTTTAGCTTAATCAAAGCAACCTATTCTTTCACTTATTAAAAAGACATTGGATAAGGAAAACCTTAATTAGGCTTTGTTCCATTTTCCATGCTAGTTTCCACGACAAACCCAAGGTTTCATACTTTTGTACATTTCAGTAAAAGCTGTAAGTATGCAGTTCTACCGATTAGAAAAATATCCCAAACACACACAATATTCAAGAACACATACAAAGGCGATAGTTCAAGAAAGGAAAGGCTAGTGGCAACTTTCAAAATGAATGCAATAATACATTGATGACCAAACCACACATTAGAAAGTGAAGGGACGATGACGTTTCAGTCCGTCCTGGACCATTAAGTCGATTGTGAGAATAGTCCAGGATGAACTAGATGAGAATAGTCGTCGTCTCTTCATTTTCTAGTGTGTGGTTTGGTCAATATATTTCAGTCACGTTACTGTGACTCCTCGTCTGCAGTAATAAATTATATACAAGACCACAGCAAAATGTGTATACATTATATTGTTTCAGTCTTCTAAGGTTGGGCATCACATTAAGAATTGAATCAAGGATCATGCCTAGAACATTTAACAACTTTATGGTGCTTCACAACCTCGCTCCACTAATCACATTGTTGTAAACAATCCCTACACAGAGGAGTATTATTTTGAGGTAGGAAATAAAAATGAGGCAACTTTCTCACATGCCAAAAAATGAAAAAATATTTTAAATATGCAAATACAAAAAAATTATTTGCACAATCTGTTAATTTAGGAAAACCCACCACAATGCTCAAATGATCAAGACCATTTGATAATCCCTTGTCACTACAGACTAATACATTTCTACATACACAACCACAATAGATTAATGCAATTGGGTAGGCTCAAACCCAATAAACAAATTAAGATAGTCAAGCCTGACAATTAAGAATCCAAATTTGCCAAGAAAAAATTAACAGACTAATATGAACCCATTAGACATGTAATCAAGTTTCCTTAGGTTCCACTAACATACTGAAAACAAAACAGCTTTCAAATAAATCCAAAATGCCAAATTGCAAAAAGAGCATGCACCATGACCGCAAAGCAACATGACAATACACGAACTAACTGGAAGAGGTATTTAGTTGAGAAAAGCATCTCGTCCCCTGAACCAGTGACTACTAATAGCGAAATTCTTAAAAGTACGATGCATACTAATTGCCACCTTCACGCCTCTCAAATAAAGATCTACCCTGTCTTTATAAGCACCGATATGATTTATTAGAAGGCATACTCTGCATCAACTTTATAAGTTTCTTTCAATAATACTAACGTTTAAAATCCCCAGAATGAGATGGTCACTTAAAACGTTTCCACTTATTTCAAGAGGAAGATACACTAAAGTTCTTCCTCAGAAACCAACACAAAATTAAAGTTTTTTCTAAAAATGGTCACCAGCGTTTGTAAACTTATTTAATGGGAAGCTACCTTCAGCTATAGCTTTCAAGTACAAATGTAAGCAAAATTTTACAACCATTTTAGAGATAATTACAAAAAACAATCTCCCATAGATCATAATTTGTCCTTAAAACTGTCACTAGAGAAATACAAGGCTAAAAATTTATACAGTATATGACATTACTCTGGCATACATGTACAAATTTTAAAGCACTGTGAGAGTTTTAATTTCAAATAACCATAATCGGATTTTACCTGTTTTAAACTAAGTACCTCATTTCTTCCTCCACGCTGGTGTCCCTTAAAATTGTGTTGATCCTGCCGCCTATCAAATGGCCTGTTGTTTCTCGGTCCCCTACGCTCACGATCTTTACTACTTCTACTTGCATCCTTGGAATGTGACCGCCTATCATCTTTCTTTTCCCCATCTTTACCAGTCTTATCATCAAGACCTTCCTTCTTGTCCCCATTTACATCTTTTTTGTCACCATCCTTCTTGTCCCCTTCTTTCTTCTTCTCACTACTCGAGTCCTTCTTCGAGTCTGACGGTTTGCGGTTGGAAGACGAAGCTTTGTTTCTCGTTGGACCGCCAGGTTCTCCTTTAGCCTATGAAAAAGAAAATTTAATGGTGACAAGTTAATAAATCTAAAATCAGTAATTCTAGAGATTTTGTATCAGAGTTGCATAAAATGAATATATTGAATATAAAATGTTAAGTACTGTATGACTATTTTCAGCCCCCAACAAATTTGTCATTTCATTAACTAGCCTCCTATGCATCACTCACTAAAATGCAAATGCTAAAAAGAATTCCTTATGAAAGTACAAGGGTAGAAAGGGAGATTCTGGCTGAGCAGCTGCTTGTTTGAGGAAGTGGATTGTGTTTAACCACTGTACTGCGCAGAGGGTTCTAAGGCACTGCTTTTTTTTGTTTCATTTTTAATTGGGTTATATTTTAATGTTTTTTAATGTTTATCAGTTTTGAGGTGAAAATGGTTGAGTTTGGAAACATTAACTTTACCTGAAGATTTATAAAAACAAAAATATGTGCTTGACAATGGCATCATGAAGTTTTTGCCGAAACCAGGTGCACAGCGAGGTGGTTACGTGTGTACTCTATTTCTTCCTTTTTTTTTTTTGTGCTATAACATTTTATGATAAAAAAATTAATGCATGAATGTATTTTCTATTAAAAATTCTCTTAAGTGGAGGAACTATCAATTTGAGAGGCAACTGAAGAACACATTATAGTAACAGTCTTGGGTTCAGACATTTGTATATTGTACACAATATATGTGCACAAATTGTTTATCTGTATTGCAGATTTTTTTGTTTAATATTGAATCCCTGAAGTGCAGCACTGCCATCTTCATTGTCAGTTTAATGATGTTATATGAAGATATGTCAATGTTTGAATGCCTATGTTGCTCATATGGTTCAATGTCATCTATCTACAGGAGATTATGGGAGATTAACAAAGATTTTATGGGAGGCTGTAACAAAATTGACTTCAGCTTCTGGTCTCCCACTATGATCATAGTACTTGCCTACACCGGAGATCTTCAATGTATATATTTTGGTATTTTTATTTTTGCATAATTCTTTTTTAATTCACCTCAAAAAAAAAAAAGTATTCAGTTTGGTATTGTCTACCATCATAATGACAAGTTTGCATGCCAGAAGACCCTGACCCAAGGCAAAATAATGGTACCCATCTGCCTACCTACTGTCTACCTGATACCTAACAGGTATCAATGTCACCTAGTGACATTCCCTTTTTGATTGTGGCCAACAAATTAGAATTATCTTTTGGCACCCTGTTCCCTTATTGTTGAAGTATATACAATAGAGGCAAACTATAACATACCTTTTCCACCTGGATCATTCGACCATGAAGTTCTGTATGGTTGAGCTGAGAAATGCATTTAGCAGCATCGTCACTACTCATCATGGTAACGAAGCCGTAACACTTTGCTCCGGGAGTCTTGGCATTAGTCACAATTTTTGCACTCATAACCTATAAAAGATGTTTAATTAGTAGTATGCAAACTGGAAATTTAATGTACAACAGTGGAACCTCAGTCAAAGAATGAGAATTTTTAAAGTGTACAAAAAAAATCTATTTTCAGTACAAAAAAATTTGGTTTTCGTACTGTGAAACCTTTGAGTACGTACATACAGTGGTGCCACAGACAACAAATGTTTCGGTTTATGAAGTCAATTTCATAAAAATTTGACTGTACAAATTTACCTCCGAGTACGAATTTCTTTTCAGTATCAACTCAAATTAACAACCTGTGAGGCTACATCCAAGTCATTAAATTCTGGGCCCTGCTATTATGTGGAGGGTTGAAAATGTCACTAGCTTTTTAGCCATAATTGGGAGCGAAACAGGATAGATGGCAGTTTTAGGGGGAGGGTGACAGTGGGTAAATGGAATTTTTTTTTTTTTTTTTGGGGGGGGGGGGGGGGGGGGGGGGGGGGAATTGGATAAATGGATGATGGGGGACCTCCCAATAGTTTTGTACATGGAAAAGATGAATAGTATTCTGTATAAAATGGATTGTAGTTAATATTTTTGGGGGTGTGGAACGGATTAATTCAATTTTCCTCATTTCTTATTGGAAAATTCGTTTCAGTGTAAAAGCCATCTCTTGGAACGGATTAAAAATTCGTAGACTGTGGTTCCACTATATGAATATACATCTTCACAGCCAGACATTTAAGTCATGTTTATTAAAGTCCAGTATATCCAATCAAATAATATTTTATAATGTACTTCTCGTACAGTATCTTGGTATTTGGTTTAGAGGGTTAACCCTTTCTTTTCAGTCGAAATGTCTAAAAACCCTTTTATGTCTACTGAATAAAAAGGTGCAAAAAATGAATATTTGAACAAACAAATATTTGCATTATATACAAAAATCTGATTGCAAGAGGATGATTTAAGAATTCATCTCTAGGCATGCACATATCTTAATACTGAAAGGATGCAATAACTAATGCTGATAAGATCCTGTACCTATTTTCATTGACCTGTTTGTTATGTATTACTGTACAGTACTTTAAATTATCACTAATTAATATAATTTTATATTACCCAGTGGAAGACGATGCTGAGGGGAAACTGAAGATAAGAATTCAATCCTCCCTACTTGTCTCATGCTTTAGCATTGTGCATTTGGCTTCCTTACATTGTCTCAAATCATAAAAATCTTGCTATTTTCTTCTACATTTGGTAACTTATTTTTCTCAATGACCTATCAATGTCCTGACATTCTCACATTCCATAATGCATGAAGTCAGTCGTGTGTGTAATCTACCCACCTGTTTCCCTTCCTAGAAGGTCTATCAATCCAGTTTGATTGCTTCACAGCCACAATGTGGTTGAATACAATGAAGAACTGCCTACCTCCTAGTGCTGCCTCACTATCTGGGTGAAGACTAGTTCTGGGTAAAACGTTCCCTCATCTGTAATGACCTATTTAGCCCAATGGTACTTTGCAAGTGTTTTTCCCTACATTCAGATGCTCTGTTGTTCAACCCATGTCTTATCAAAGATGGTGTTTACATCTAGTCATATATAAATGACTAATTTCTTTCCTCCCATATTTTGCCAATACCTACAATATCCAATGTGTTGGCTACTTTATCTTGCCTATAATTCATTGCATCTATCAGCAGCACTCACCAGTGATGCTTCTCTTAAAACTAGTGGGTCAGTTTAAAGACCTGGAGAGGGCATACCTGGGAGAGGGTTCTGGGAGTTGTTCTACTCCAAGCCCAGCCTGAGGCAAAGCATGAGGCAATGTTAATTACATAGTTACCACATTGGCCTACATCTTCAGACCAGCGTATTCGTTTGACACATTTTTTGAAGATTAATAGCCCCAGTCAAAAATTTTCATTTAAATTACACTATAGAGTATTGCAGTCAAAAGGACAAACGTGAAGACCCCCAATAAGTTAAGACAATCATACAAAACTCACCTTGCCATACTTGGAGAAAACGGACTTCAGATCCTGAGCACGAGTTGATGACGCCAACCCACTGACCCACAAGTTTCTGCCACTGCCACTGCTTCCACTGCTCTTGTTCTTGTGGTCTGACAAAATTTTTGCATTAACTTCAAGAATATTTATACACCAGCATTAATTCAAATGTCAATACACAAGTGATACAGAAGAATTAAAAGTTTAAGTACTGAACCTCCAATATTAAGGTAACAAATTAAAACTGACTACACATTACCCATTATCAAAACAATGTATACATTTTACTAAGAATAAATTTCAAGCAATTTCCCTTCCAAAATTATTTTAAATCAAATATAAAAAAATTCAATAGTATATAGTGCATTAACAGTGATAGCACCATACATCTTATAAACAGGACACTGCTTCTAATGCTCAGCCATTTGCCTCGCATTCAGGCAAGGCACGGGGGACCTCAGACCTGCAACATTTATCTGCAGCCACACACCGATTCTCTCCTTTTTTGCAGAGAGCTCTTATGTACGACATCAATTAAAGCTTTTTCAAGTATCTTAACATTTTCAATTACACAGGGCAAGACCAATTGTTGCATTGTATCAGTTTAAAAGATTACCATCACTTCATATATTTACAAGCAGCCTGCAACTTTCTTCTAAATCCAGTTTTCAAGCTTTTGCATGCAGGGACCATCACTGCAGAGTCAGTTTACTTTATATGCAAACTTTAAAAATTTAAATAGCAAGTGTCATGACTAATGAAGTGGATACAAGAGTCACTCAAATTGCAAAGCAGTTCCATCTACTTCCATGGCATAAACTACACACAATTTAGTTGTGAAGTACTTACACTGTTTCCACAAGCAGCTGCCTGCTTCAGTATATTTATTCACACAGCTCTGCACATACCGCTTCCAGGTTAATTTACACAAGACTTTAGCTTTATTTACTTCTCTATTTTCTGTCAATGCATTCTCTTGGGATTTCTTGTTTCTGCATTTTAAGCCACATGGTGCATGGATTTTCATAAATTTTGCCAATGTTGCAAGGATATCACAGGAATGATCGACTCCATCATGCACACACATCTAGACCTGCGTTTGTCACATGGACACTAGGAATTATGTAGTACCTAGGGCAGCCACAACTCTCCTAGAGATACCTATACCTCCAGGGGATAAGACGAGGTGGTATGCAAGGAACTCTATAACATATCTCTGGAGATCTTCATATCAGAACCAGCATGAATCCAAAGTTGCAAGATGAAAGGCCAGAAGAAATACCAAATGGGATTCAAATCATGATGCAAGGCAAAAAAAATCCAGAGAAAATAGACATGACAACTGGACCTCACCTTGGCTGCTGAGGGAGACTGCAACGTACCATTGCAAGTACGTTGCCACACGATTCTACAATTTCTAAATAAAATCCTCGAGACAAGAATTCTCCCAGATGTCTAGAGAAAGGCAAATGAAATCCCAGTATTTAAAAAAGGAGATAGAAAGGAGGCACTAAACTACAGACCAGTGTCATGGACAAATCCTTGTAAAGTGCTGGAGAAAGTAATCAGGTCGAGAATGATGGAGCATCTTTAGACAATCAACTTATTACAAAAAAATTCATGGATTTAGAAATGGGAAAATCGTGTCTGAATCTCATTTGAGTTTTATAAGGTTACTAAAATAAGACGGGGAAAAGGATGGCTGGGTTGACTCTTTCTAGACTGTCAAAACGGATTTGACACTGTTCCCCCATGAAAGACAGTTGTACAAGATGGAGAGCCAGGCTGGGATAACTGGATAAAACACTGAAATGGCTAAGAGTATCTGAAGGATAAAGCAAAGAGTCAAGAATTGGTTTCAAGCTTGAGGAATGCATCAAGTAGGAGTCCCAAAAGGCTCCATCCCGGGACCACTGCTATTCCCAATTTATGTGAACGACCTACCTGAGAGAGAGCTCATGCATGTCAATGTTTGCAGATGGTGCAAAGCTGATGAGGAATGTGAAAAAAAGGACTGCAGAAAGTTACAGGACCTTGACATAATGTCACTTTATTTGGACCTCCTCTAAGAGCAGCTGGGATTTCTGGATAAGCTTTGCCTAGAAGGCAGGTCTTTCTAATTTCCATAAATGAAATCTGACAGTTCAAATGCATACAATATGCACATACGCTTTCATAAAGCAATTTGAGGTGTACAAAATCTAGCACACCACTATGAATGCATTTAATATTTATTTAGCATTTTTCTTAAGAAGCGAGCTGTAACCCAATTCCCTGCCCGACACCTATTCCCTTTAACAAGCCTCCCTCTATTTTTTGAGCCACATCCCTGGTTTTGTTCTTACTGCACAATCGTCCCATTACACTTAAATAAATGATTTGATACTAATGGCAGGAGCAATATGCATCCTGTGTAATAGGGAGCGAAGGGATGGCTCTAAGTGGTATCTTCATATTACTAAAATACCTACCATCCCTATCCAATCATATTTACTACATTCCTACCCAATTATGCTGTAATAAGCATCAGATGCTCTGCAAAGTAAAACATTGTACTAAAAAAAAGCACAACTATCCACCCTTCATGCTTAATCAAAGATCCTCCTCTTAATCCTACGACGTTACACTGAATATCTTCGTCAGCACTGGGAAAGGAGTGTGAACTTTCCCCAAGTTACACAATAAGAAAATTCTATTTTGCATTTAAATTACCATATAAGTTGAATTCAATCTATAATCTTTAAAACAGAATTTGCTATAATTAACAAGGTAGCAACCTGCCTTTAAAAAAATTATTATTAGTAATTAATGTTAAATGTTTAATTTTTGTATACTGTGTTTTCTGCAATCCTATTGGACTTTTTTATACTTTATAATAGTCCATGGTGAAACAAATATATAAATTTCCTTCAGCATAGTATCAAGATTCAACATTACATTTTGGCATTTTTATTTGCATATATCCATGAGAATAAAGTGGGAAAGAAATATAATGAAGACAATGATCAAAACAAGACATGCTATGCATGGCTTACCTTTGTCATCCTTGGGCTTGTCATCTTTCCCCTTTTCTTCCCCGGAGCTGCAGAAAACACAGGAAAAATACAAAATGAGAATATATTTGACAAAATAATTGCTGCTTGTTGCAATCAAAATGAAAGCTTTAAATTTAAATTTAGTGAAAAAACTTCATAATCTTCAACTTACTACCATGATATTCTCCAATATAATGCAAAGATCTTACTTCCATGGCTATCTCCAATATAAAAGCAAAGATCTAAGTATTCTAGAAACTTTATTTATATATAAAAAAAAAGTCAAATGCTATGTCAAGAGGCTAGTTTATTTCCAACATATCCTCCAAGCCACTGCATAATCACATGCACATTTTGCAGACTACCTGCAATTTGACAGATCCACCCACTGTCCAGATCTTACAATTCACTTTTTGCAAAAGTGATAAATGCCCTCTTCAAAATTTGGCTTTCTGCACATCATGTTAATTTGTTTTTACGGAAAACGCTCCAAAACTTTTCAGATTAATTTACCACGACTAGAACAATACTGACCCAAAAAAAAATTATACCAGCTTGGGTGGCATCAACTATGATTTAACCTCTTCCCCCCTCTGGTCCAGTGAAGAATACAAGCACCTTCCAACAAAAACTTATTGTCAAAACTACCCATCCCTCCATACACTACAAACAGGTCCTAAATTTCTGGCTTTTGTACAAAAGGTTTATCCCATGTACAATCCCATTAAGTACTCAATTCCACGCATTAAATAGCTATGCAATTGAACTGGTGTCCAAATTTTAACTAACTCCTTAACAAAAACGTAGAGAAAGGAGGAAAATGCAACTCAATTAAAAACTTCACAAGGGAAAAATAAGCCATACTGGCTTATATCAACTGCTTCCCAAATCCATAGGTCTTGGGATGTTGGCAAGCCCATGTGACAAGAACAGACTAGTGTGTTTAACAACTGGTCTAGCAGATGTGTACAGCAAAGGGAGATTCATGCCCCATGTTTCAGTAGCAGCTTAGGACTGACTGCTGATGATGATACAAACCCAGTATGAGGAACCAACCTCTTGGGCTTATCGCATTCTTTCTTATCCTGTGAATCGTTGTCGGAGATGTCCTTCTTCCCCGTGGTGGAGTCTGCGCTGGCGTGGGTTGTGGATCTGCCCTCCTTGGTGTGTGATCGCTCTGTGGGTCGAGTCAGTCATCAGGACGGGCCGTGGCTCCCCTCTGGCAGATGGTGGTATCCAGCGCCAGAAGCGAGTCACGCTGTGAAGCTGGTTCATGTCAAATCAGGTAGGAATGGACGCACCCCCACATCGCCGCCGCTGCTGCCGCCGCCCCTCGACTGCCGCGTTGTCATCCATATGGGAGGGTGGGGGGACCACAGGGGAAATGGGAACCTCACCCTGCTCTCAGTTCAGCTGCACACACTGCTGCTGTACCTAATATTGATGGACTGCTCTGCTGGTTGTTCATTCACATTTTGTATTACATACAGACAAGACTGCATGCTGAAAAATTACTACTGAGAAGCTACAAGATGTCTTGTAAGGCGAGTGAGTGCAACTCGCAGGCAATCAAGCTGGTGCTTCTGTCAGTGCTCCCACCACATCTGCTCCTGCTGTCGCTGAAGTACCTGGTGCATCTTCAGAGCCTGGGTCCCCCACACCCCCTCTCCTTCTCATTCTGGCTAAAATATACTCAGAGTATCCTAGAGAAAAACGCTATTGGAATATGATGTTCATTCCTTATGTAGACGGAGATTTCTTTGCAAAAAAAAAGATAAAAAAACTAGTAAGATGTGCAATGGATGCCTACTCAAGGCACTAATTAGTAAACTTCCTAACTATGGGCAACAAACTTTAGACTCACACAAATTTATAACCTATCATCATCTTCTATCTTCTCAAAGAGAAAAAACCAGTAATCACTGAAATGCACAACAATCTTGAAACGTGCTTAGGTCCATGATATTCATGTATTAAGGATAGAGTTCAGCCACTTTTATCATAACACTTGCAGTTCTTGCATACGAAGGGGATTCCAAATTTCTTCACAGATGTCGAGCTCTCGTAATCATTGTTCTTGAGACCTTGCACATACCTGATGGATCCAACTTCATCTGCTGTCAGCACAACCATCAAACCGTCGTCTGCATTGCAGGCCTCTAAATTTCCGATGAGTCAGCAAGACAGTGTGAGCCTTCAGTTTGTGCCCAGTATAAATTGATCCTAATATATTAAAACAAAACAATTCAAAAATATGCAGTACACCCAATATGGGGCTTACCTTTACCATCTGCATTTGATGAATCATCCTAAAATAAAAGAAACCACCTTTAAAGAAAACTGTAAATGCACATGTGATAAATACACCAATCTTTCACTAAAATTTAAGACAAAAGTTATAAAGATGAAATTTTATGAAAGAGGAGGAATTAAGTATGCAATTAAAAACATATGTGCAAAATTCTAGTTTACAAGGGAAAAGATGGTGGATTATATATAACAATACAAGCATCAAATTTATTTTTCCTGGTATGAATTAAGAGCTTGCAGCAACTATGTCTGCATCTTTGCAATTGTGATGGCGGCAATTTTTAAATGAACAAATAGAAATGACAATATGAATAATGCAATGTTAAAATATCTCTCAAATAATTTAACACAGCTTAAAACTACAAAGTGCAATTGGAAGCATTTTGAATGCTGAGGAAAAAAGTGCACAATTTCATGAAAATGGTGAAAGTGGTAATACTGTTATGAAAGTTAGTAACTAGGCTCAATTATTAGTTTTGACACTTTAAAGGCATCCACATTTTGTCACTGATCGTACAATGATACTTCGCATCACAACCAGCATATATTTAGGTCAAGTTTTAAAACTCTCATTGGTACAATAGGCTCACATCCACTTCCTCAGACCTCTAGCAAACAGATACCATCTTAGAAAAGATAATGGGCACATCCTGAATATTGGTGTAGAATATCATGCAACAGGATCTCTTGTTCATTTGGAAAACTGTTAGTGTTAACGTGTGTATAGCGATACTAGGCAGCATTTTGGCTCGTCAGGTGGTGTGGAGCTAGATTTAGCTTTGACAATGGTAACAAGATTATCATACCCACCACTACTTAGTGGTTCATAACTATGCATTAACGGTTTATATATATAATGTGGTAATAATACAATGTGGTAATAGCAAAAATATTAAGTTTTATTGTTATACGAGTATAACATGATGTGGATAGAAGCGACATGAATCCATTTGTGCATAGCTATGTTCCCAATGTTGTGATAACTTCCATTCACAGCTCAATCGACGATTGCAATAAAAATTTATACTTAGAATAATGAGACTAAAATGTGCATGTTAACTCCATCCCCCCCCCCCATTTCCCTCACTCACCCTAAAGTTTTTCTTGTACGCATAGGGAATAAATGTTTCTATACGCTTACGTAAAACTATATTCGCTGCAACTCCTGCCCGATGGCTGGCTCGGGATGACCACCCATTCCGATTACCCTGAGCGCATACGACTTGTGACCACCAGATTTTTCAGGATTCCCCCACACGCAAAATCATACATTTTTTTGTATTTTTTCCCCAGGATCGGGGAATGCATTAACAATATAAGGAAAAAATGTTTAGAATTTTTATATTTTATGCACACCTGGGTGTGATCCAAGGGGTTAGAGCTATAATATAGGTAGAAAAAAGCAAGAACATGAGAAAAGGAGCTTTAAAGAAGTTCAGGGAATTGAATGCTTAAAAGAATAAACTACACTTTAAAATTTTATTCGTGAATGTTTACCTGGTCCAAGCGTTCCGAGTCATTGAAAGTCATTTCATCTTCCAGCATTTTATCTTCATCTTCCAACATTAGATTGATAGAGTCATCCTCTATCTGACGAACATCATCTTCATCACCATGTCCAACTACTTCACTCTTCTGACCTAAAAATTCAATAAATCTAATTTACATCATTCAAAAACTTAAACTTTTATAATACTATTGTATCTTAAACAGTTTATCTGTACAATTCTTTACATTACCCTAATTGTATCTCCAAAAATATAAATTACTGCTATTTGAAAAAATATTGAACAGAATAATTGACAACTAAAGCAAAAGCTAGTGTAACCTACTTTAGCAGTCCTCAAGAGACACCCACTTCAATATACCAGTATGTGGGGCCAGGAAAACCTTTTAGACAAATTTTCTATCTGCTAAAAATGCATACACATATTGCATATAAATGCATATGTAGTGTAATAACAGCAAAAACACTTGCTTAAAGAATTAATATACGTCACTAATATACACCATATTTTTTAAATATACTGTATCAATATTCCACATAATTACAGTATATAAATTTCTCAAATTATATACAGCTACTCCCCCCCCCCCCCCCAAAAAAAAAAAAATATTCAAGGACACTTTAATGTAAAACATTTGCAGCAACCTTTCCTCCCCCCCTCCCCTGACAGGGGCCAGGGCAAGCCCCACAGGGCAACTACTCTCAACGCCTGCAAATTGTAAAACTTCGTTACACCACAGATCAAGTTTTAACCTTTTTCTTTTTAAAGCTACCCGTGATCAGGGAATGGCATTTTAGCAATATTAGTAAGAAAAAATCTTTAAATAAATTTTTTTACTTGCCACATTAAATTGAAAATTTTTATTTTCTTGTTTTTTCAAGGTACGTTGGTGATCATTTAGACAAACTTGGAACATTTGCTTAATAGATTACGAACAATTTTTTTTTAAAGCATTTGAGCAAGTTGAAAAAATGAGTTCTCGGCCCCCTTTAAGTTCTTAACTGTACTGTGTAGCAGTTCAATGCTTTTGTTACCCGATCACTCATATTTCGTCATAAAACAAATATAAGCAGAGTGCAGGATGACATTGCATCAATAATTTAAAACTAAAAATTTTATTATTGTCCAATTACTATGGGACTTTTAATTACAATATCAAGAACATTAAGTTGGGATACTAATAAAAGGCTGGAAATAATATCTCGTCTTAACTTCCTCCTCAGCATCTCTCCAAGGCTCTACTTATAAGTATTTTCCTCACCTTTGGCTTCCACTGTAGATTTCTTTTCTTCCTCCTTGCTCTCCTGCTGCTCCTCTTGTTCTTGTTCTTCCTCTTGCTCCTCCTCCTCCTCCTCTTCTTCCTCCTCCTCTTCCTCCTCCTCTTCCTCCTCCTCACCCTTGCCTTCTTCCTTCGTATCAGCTACTTCCTGAGATTCCTCTTGATCTTGGGTCTCTTCCTGATCATCCTCCTCCTCCTCCTCCTCTTCTTCCTCATCCTTTGCATTTCCAGAATCCCCATTGATGTGATTTGTCATATCCTCCTCATCTCCAGACTCTGTAATGCCAAAAGTGAATTAATATTTGTAAACTTAACATTTTGATTGAGCAAGATATCCCCCCCCCAGGTTGGCATTTTTTAATATGAATAGGGTGAAAATGCATATTGGCTAGGAAATTGGATTAAAATCAAGTCAGCATATGATTTGATTATTATTATGGGGATAGTGCTTGTGGTGATTCTGGTGATGTTTGTCAAATATCTGTAGTTGATTATTTATGGATTCTGTAGTAAACAGGCAAGTGCAAGGAACAAAGATGCATATCATTGGCACTTAATTGACCCTTTGGTATATACTGCACAAACTGCAAACTACAGGGTATATTAAAAAAATAATGTATCTGCTAGGGACACCTAATTACTTACTGCGATTCGGCTTTGCTGGAGTATTCGGAAAAGTGTTCTCAAATTCATGCTCTTCAGGGTTTAGTCCATCATCTTCTAGGGCCTACAATATGAATTTAAATTCATTTAATTTTATGTTGAATCATTATTAAGAGGCAAAATTACAAGATATATGAACAAAGTATAATTGAAGTCAACTTGATTACTACATTTTAAGTAATCTCAAAATTAAATCAAATTTACTCCAGACAATAGCCAGGTTTCAAAATGTATGCAATTCATAAAATTTGTAATTTTGCAAATTAAGGAGGGCATGTCAAAACTGAAAATTTGACATTTAAAATTAAACCACCAGCAACTAATGAATTTAGTGATGCAATTTGTTATATTATCACATTCATCCACAATTATCTCTAATCTTATTTGCCTTGTTAGCAGTTTAACCCTTAAACTGTGCAGCACAACCACGGTTTTTTTGGGCCTATCATAAAATTTTAAACTCCCATGGAGGCTCACATTTGCTTCCTCAGGCCTCTAGTATCCATCCTCCATTTTTGACAAAAATCCAGAGACCCCTCACTTTCCTTCCAAGGCATTTGTAGGAAGGAGGACCATAATTGCAGCCACGGTGCAGTCCCCCATAGCAAAGTGGAAAAATACTCCCTGGCACTTTAAAAGAGCTTTGGCCTGTGTTTATATCCTTGCCGGGGAGGATTTACTGGGCGCCAATCCTTAACTGTAGCCTCTGTTTACCCAACAGTAAAATGGGTACCTTGTTGTCAAAAGATTTAGCAATTTGAACTTGCCAATCCAAATTGCCTGTTCTTGCTTTGTAGGCTTCTCAGGCATAGTACTATGTAAAATTGGTCACCAAGTACCAACAATCATTTTTTAGCTCCTCTTGCTACTCTCAGGAATACAAGGCCCTGATTTGTCATCTAGTTCTTCCTTGGTCCGTGTTTTGCTCATGGACTGTAGGCATTGATGATTATCAACTTATCCTCATTATAGATTCCCAGTGCCATAATGAGATGTCAAGTGTTCTCATACCTTCAAATCTCTTTACCACGATGGAAATTCTTCAACTTTTTAAATTTGTCACACTTGCACTAAGTAGCCAATTCAAAATGTCATATTTTAAATTTTATCTTCATGTTTTATCTGCTAGTGGAACAATACCTGGCATCTTAAAACTTTTATATATATACCTGTACAGTATATAAAGAATCTGTACACCAGTCATTTGATAGCTGAGGCGGGACCAAAGAGCCAAAGCTCAACTCCTGCAAACAACTAAGAGCATAGTGCATAATATATAAATTATGCTGACAATCGAGTTGAATAATCTTTCCAGGAAGAAGTAAGGTTGACAGTCGACACCAATAGCAAGCGAGTCATACCCTCTCCAACTACTCCCAGTAAGACCACCACTGCATACCAATACTGTACACAAAACTGACTATAGTCAAGCCAAAATAATGCTACTGACCTGCTACAGAACACGGCTACACATGCTTACTAAATGTCAAAAGATCCATGTCATGGTGACTTTCAAACATTCCTAGCCTAGTTTAAAGCCACCTATCCTGGGGCTCGAGACAGGGGAGGCTGGTCACCAACATTTAACTTCTGTAAACTAATCTACCGTATATTTACCTTAACCTTGCCCCCGGGGAGGGCCTGGGATACTACCCCTCCTGCACGTGGCTGGTGACCTCACTTGGGCACCTGGTTACCATCACACAGCAGCCAGACCAGGCCTGCACGCGGGTGGGGGGGGGGGGGGGGGCGGCTTTAGGCCTAGGGACACGGCCTACACCGGCTTGCGACCTCACACACCACCTCCACGGACTTAGTGTCCACCTCTCTAACACGGCGCCGGCGTGAAACCATGCCCCCGTGACTGTCCTGTCCAGCAAGAGGCGTAGTAGCCACGCCGCCCCCACCACCTCCCCCTCCAGCCTTGCTCCACCATCTTGGTCCGCCCTGCCCCCTCTTCTCCCGCCCTCGAGCGCCGCTTCACCCTTCAAAGCACACTACACCCCTCCCTAAATAAGTAACAATGCGGTCCTCAGCGATTGCGCCACAGGAGAATGGCGGCCACCATCTTGCAGGCCCCGGACACCCACCCACCCCTCTCAAACACCACCAAAACATCCTCCACTCCTACCTTCCTCAGCCGATCTATAAGCACTGCCTTGATCCCTGTTTTGTCGAGTCCTCTCTTCTCTAGCTCAGCTTTCAGATCCACCACCCGGAGATCGTCAATCTTCTTGGCCTTGGACTCAGTAGACATGGTTGCTGAGGAAGGTGCGGGACGCCACTCTCCGCCTCGCGCTCCCTGAACACTGGGACGCCACCGCGCATGCGCACCCACCAGCACTCCCCTTATTATACACATTCTATGCCTTATTACCCGAAACTTTGCAGAATAGTAACCTCTTTTGTAATAATGCCGCTTTATAAGGCTATAGATAAGTTTGTGTATAGTAAGAGCAAAAATAAGCTATTCATCTGGTTTTGTAAAGTCTTTGGAATAGTCTTCTTGGATGTAAAAATATATATCATTGGAATCTTTTCTCATCCAGTACTGGTTGTGTTTTAAATTTTAACATTAATAACTATAATTAGTGAAATTATTCTATGCTATAAGTTTCCCGCGAATATATGTAACCTACAATGACTATGATCCTGTTGTAATTAACGTTGGCTATCATTTTAATTCCGATTACAGAATTCAAGCTTTGTAATGAATGCCGTACTTGTCATTCAGTCAAGTTAATCATCGTTGTGTCTGGCCAGCAACTGGATGGTCCACACCGCAGGCTACCGCGTCCTTAGTGGGAACGCGATAGACTTCCTATTTCTAGCAGTGACATCCCTCTATGACATCATTCAAGATGACAATTCACATTTGGCATACAAAACAGTTTAAAACTGTTAAGGGTTTACAATCGATTATTATTTGCGCATTAAACATATTATAATAAAAGCACTCCGAGCACCTCATGTGGTCGAGTGCTCAACACCTCACAATGTACTGTGAAGTGTCATCGTGACACCTCACAGTACACAATATAATGTACTGTGAGATGTAACAATGTAGCTCTCTATAACCCTGTCTATGTAGTGCAGACGAGAATGTATCTCAATTTACCTAAGGGACTCTAGTGGTAGTATCAATGTTGGTTAGCACTCTAGTATCAATGTTGTTAGCACTCTAGTATCAATGTTGTTAGCACTCTAGTATCAATGCTTGTTAGCATTCTAGTAGCAATGCTGGTAAACATTCTAGTATCAATGTTGTTTAGCACTCTAGTATCAATGCTAGTTAGCACTCTAGTATCAATGCTGGTAAGCATTCTAGTATCAATTTTGGTTAGCACTCTAGTATCATTGCTAGTTAGCACTCTAGTATCATTGCTAGTTAGCACTCTGGTATCAATGTTGGTTAGCATTCTAGTATCAATGTTGTTTAGCACTCTAGTATCAATGCTGGTTAGCATTCTAGTATCAATGTTGGTTAGCATTCTAGTATCATTGCTAGTTAGCACTCTAGTATCAATGCTGGTAAGCATTCTAGTATCAATGTTGGTTAGCACTCTAGTACCAATGTTGGTTAGCACTCTAGTACCAATGTTGGTTAGCATTCTAGTATCAATGTTGTTTAGCACTCTAGTATCAATGCTGGTTAGCATTCTAGTATCAATGTTGATTAGCATTCTAGTATCATTGCTAGTTAGCACTCTAGTATCAACGCTGGTTAGCATTCTAGTATCAATGTTGGTTAGCACTCTAGTACCAATGTTGGTTAGCATTCTAGTATCAATGTTGTTTAGCATTCTAGTATCAATGCTGGTTAGCACTCTAGTATCAATGTTGGTTAGCACTCTAGTACCAATGTTGGTTAGCACTCTAGTACCAATGTTGGTTAGCACTCTAGTACCAATGTTGGTTAGCACTCTAGTGCCAATGTTGGTTAGCACTCTAGTACCAATGTTGGTTAGCACTCAAGTACCAATGCTGGTTAACACTCAAGTATCAATGCTGGTTAGCACTCTAGTATCAATGCTAGTTACCACTCTAGTACCAATGCTGGTTAGCACTCTAATATCAATACTGGTTAGCACTCTAGTATCATTGATTGAGAACAGGAGATGTTTGTTCCCCCACAGGGTTATAAACCCATGGAACTGCCTACCCGCCGAAACCGTAAATGCCAAAATTCTGTTAAATTTTAAAATCCGACTGGGAAAAGATCAAGACAAATGGGGGGGGGGGAAAGGCCCTATTCGAAAAGCCGCTGGCTTCCTGTCCTCGTCGAGGCCACTAGTGTTATTGGCCCTCAGGTAAATTCAGGTACAAAAATAAAACCAGATGCAAGGAGAGATGTTATGTTAGTCCATATGTGGTCCAAGATACTTAGTGATATAAGGTAACATTCTAGGAAAATAGAATAAGGTCTTTGCTCTCATATAAGTCTTAAAGACACCATGTCAAATGTGATACAGGGCTCATGCTGTTAAAGATGTAGTTGACTTGGGGGCTAATTTGTTGACAAAGGTTAATGTTGAAGTCACCTTATAAAATGACGTTAGTTTTTTTTTAATTTGTTGCTTATAATTAAATTCCTTAAATTGCTTGAGAATGCAGTTATACTGGTATTGGGAAATCTATGAACAGTTCTAATAGTTATAGGGGGATTTAATTAAGAAAGCCAAATACTGTCTGGGGCTTGAGTTTGTTATTGTTATAATTTCTGATTTGTGATGCGTAATTTGTGGTCGAAGATAATTTTGGGTAGTAGAACCCCAGGCACAGATACCATAGGTGAGATAAAGTTAGTTAAGCGAGTAATAAAGCATTACCAGAGCAGGGTGAGGTATATAGAATTTGATTTGAGAAAGAATGCCAACTGTTTTAGATTGTTTTGTTGCTATATTAAGTATATGACACTGGCAATTCAACTTATCAATGAGAACACCAAGGAATTTTCATCTACTCTTACTTATTTGGATATTGGTAATTTTTAGATTAGTTAACTTGATCAATGGATATAGTACCAAGCAAAATCTAGGTTTTATCAGTGTTAAATGCGAGTTTGTTAGCAGTTAACCAAAGATGAATTTTTTTAGTTCAGTATTCACTGTGTCATTCAGAATAAGAGGGTTTGGACTGGAGAAAATGAAGGTTGTGTCATCGGCAAATAGAATTGGTTTCAGGTGTTGAGTGCTATTTGGGCGGTCATTAATGTAAATGAGAATGAGGAAAGGTACGTGTAACACCCATGACCTCCCCCCTAGACCACCCATGACCACCCCCCCCCCCTAGAGCTCACACCCAGGGAACCCTTCTCCAAGAGGTCAGCCCAGATGACATGTCGATCGTCTTGCAAAGTTGATTAAAAATTCATGGACTAGTCTTAGCCAGCTAGTTTCAAGTAGGTGATATTTCTTGATCATCTTATCAAACATTGTAATGTAATTCGACCCCCAGATCCTTATGTGTAAAATCTACCCCTTGATGTTATTGGGAGTGTTGACTGTGTAAACATTCTGGTGAGGAAAATATTCCTTCCCTCTTGCACCCCCCGTAATTAATAATTCCCATCCTTGAAGAGGTGTATGGTGGCTGTCAAACATCTTCATTGAAAATTCTCGAGTGTTTGTGCACGTGTGGGCAGCCTCAATGTAGGTTAGCAACAGCAAATCTCCCCCCCCCCTTCTCTAAGCTGATAGAGGGGTGTGACAGTTTTGGGGGCGTGTGTGTGTATATATATGCCCTGTAGGGAAGTTAGAGAGAGAGAGAGTACTGGATACCAGGGTCGAGAGCAGGTCTGTGAAGAACATCACACAGCCAGGGAGAGACAGAGTGAATCCACCAGGGCGAGAGGCAGTGGCCTTAGGTAATGTGTGATCTCTGATGGTATTGTTCCATGTCTAAATTACTTAACATTTGCCCATGGTGTCTTTAAGACCTACATGAGAGCAAAGACCTCATTCTATTTTCCTAGGATGTTATCTTATATCACTAAGTATGTTAAATCTTGTCCCAATTGTCAAAGAATGAAAGGTATCCCTAAGGAACAGGCCCCACTACAAGAGTTTCCTGAAAATTTTGAGCCTTTAGATAGAGTAAGAGCCGATTTAATTGATTTGCATAGTAGTCATTCGGGTAACCGCTGTTTGTTGGTACTAGTGGACCATCTGTCCCGGTACACTACCTTGGTTGCGCTTCCTCGTAAGGACTCGCAGACCGTTGCAGACGCTTTCTTAAGTAGATTTGTCACTGTGTTTGGACCACCTAAAGTATTAGTATCTGACAGAGGTCAAGAGTTCGTTGGTAACACTTTTAAGGAAGTTTGTGAAATTTAAGAGACGACCACAGCCCTCACGACGGCTTACCATCCACAGGCAAACGGTATGACTGAACGAACCAATCGTACAATTAAGGATATGCTAGCAATTCTTGCAGAGAAAGATACTGCAACCTGAAACGAACAACTCCCCTATGTTCAACTGGCCTTAAACACTACCATACATCAGTCAATTAATACACAACCACTGCTGCTTTTCACGGGGCGCTCCTGTAATTTCCCATCAGGTCTGCATAATTATTAACACACACGAGGTTGTGTACGGTGAGGATTATCCTTCAGAAATCCTCTCTAAAATAAAAAATGCTTGGAGGATTGTAGCTGAGGAGTCTAAGACAGCACGGAACCGATATGCACAGAAGATATAAATATGCATTGTAAGAAAGTATAAAAAAATAAGAAATTTGACAGAAGCTTATACTGATCAACCATTAAAATATGCTTTACTCCTGAACACAGGTTAGAACTAAAGTAATATCTCAGTGTATCTACACCGATAACTAGAGTACACTGCACACTACACACATAGTGTACAGCCACCCTGTACACTGGAATACAGAGTGAATTCTTACACGAGTGGGTGTAAGGGTTGACAGTTGGGGAACGCGACAATAGCCCCAGAGTGTACGATAGTACGGGGTTGAGGGTGGGAGTGTTGGAGAGTGTTGTTGGCGAGGAGTGAGTGTTGGCGAGAGTGTTGGTGCGGGGCCGCCGCCTCCACACACCCACAGTACCCACACTGGTGAATGGAAGTCCAACAAGATGACGCTAGTGAGATATTTATCCCCGGACCAGCTTGTAGGCTTCGAAAACTATAAGGTAATGACATGCCTTCTCCCCCTCACCCCTCCCTTCCCTGCCCGGCCTCATGGGGGAGGGAGGCAGGCGGCCTGGGTCTTATTTCTTGAGAAGTTTTCCCCTTTTCTTGAGGTAGCCACAAGGAGAGCATCTCCCCTCGTGGAGTTATGAGGTCTGTTTGTTCATGAGGGCGACAGAGTGGTCTGTACTGATGCCAAACACGAGTGTGGTCTCGTGTCTGTGTTCCTTTCGCGCTCATAGTATCTTCCGATACAGTAATGTGGCATTCCAGGAACTAATTGTGGTGTGGCACTGTGGGACCTTGGTAACTGTGGTGTGGCACTGTAGGACCTTGGTAACTGGTGGTGTGGCACTGTAGGACCTTGGTAACTTGTGGTGTGGCACTGTAGGACCTTGGTAACTGTGGTGTGGCACTGTGGGACCTCGGTAACTGTGGTGTGGCACTGTAGGACCTTGGTAACTGTGGTGTGGCACTGTAGGACCTTGGTAACTGTGGTGTGGCACTGTAGGACCTTGGTAACTGTGGTGTGGCACTGTAGGACCTTGGTAACTGTGGTGTGGCACTGTAGGACCTCGGTAACTGTGGTGTGACTCTGTAGGACCTCGGTAACTGGTGTGTGTGTCACTGTGGGACCTCGGTAACTGTGGTGTGGCACTGTGGGACCTCGGTAACTGTGGTGTGGCACTGTGGGACCTCGGTAACTGTGGTGTGGCACTGTGGGACCTCGGTAACTGTGGTGTGTCACTGTGGGACCTCAGTAACTGGTGTGTGTGTCACTGTAGGACTTTGGTAACTGTGGTGTGGCACTGTAGGACCTCGGTAACTGTGGTGTGGCGCTGTAGGACCTCGGTAACTGTGGTGTGGCACTGTGGGACCTCGGTAACTGTGGTGTGTCACTGTGGGACCTCGGTAACTGTGGTGTGGCACTGTGGGACCTCGGTAACTGTGGTGTGGCACTGTGGGACCTCGGTAACTGTGGTGTGGCACTGTGGGACCTCGGTAACTGTGGTGTGGCACTGTGGGACCTCGGTAACTGTGGTGTGGCACTGTGGGACCTCGGTAACTGTGGCGTGGCACTGTGGGACCTCGGTAACTGTGGCGTGGCACTGTGGGACCTCGGTAACTGTGGCGTGGCACTGTGGGACCTCGGTAACTGTGGCGTGGCACTGTGGGACCTCGGTAACTGTGGCGTGGCACTGTGGGACCTCGGTAACTGTGGCGTGGCACTGTGGGACCTCGGTAACTGTGGCGTGGCACTGTGGGACCTCGGTAACTGTGGCGTGGCACTGTGGGACCTCGGTAACTGTGGCGTGGCACTGTGGGACCTCTATTACTGTGGAGTGGCACTGTGGGACATCGGTAACTGTGGCGTGGCACTGTGGGACCTCGGTAACTGTTGTGTGGCACTGTGGGACCTCGGAAACTGTGGTGGGGCCCTCCGGGACCTCGGAAACTGTGGTGGGGCCCTCCGGGACCTCGGTAACTGTGGTGGGGCCCTCCGGGACCTCGGTAACTGTGGTGGGGCCCTCCGGGACCTCGGAAACTGTGGTGGGGCCCTCCGGGACCTCGGTAACTGTGGTGGGGCCCTCCGGGACCTCGGAAACTGTGGTGGGGCCCTCCGGGACCTCGGAAACTGTGGTGGGGCCCTCCGGGACCTCGGAAACTGTGGTGGGGCCCTCCGGGTGGTGGGGCCCTCCGGGACCTCGGTAACTGTGGTGGGGCCCTCCGGGACCTCGGTAACTGTGGTGGGGCCCTCCGGGACCTCGGTAACTGTGGTGGGGCCCTCCGGGACCTCGGTAACTGTGGTGGGGCCCTCCGGGACCTCGGTAACTGTGGTGGGGCCCTCCGGGACCTCGGTAACTGTGGTGGGGCCCTCCGGGACCTCGGTAACTGTGGTGGGGCCCTCCGGGACCTCGGTAACTGTGGTGGGGCCCTCCGGGACCTCGGTAACTGTGGTGGGGCCCTCCGGGACCTCGGTAACTGTGGTGGGGCCCTCCGGGACCTCGGTAACTGTGGTGGGGCCCTCCGGGACCTCGGTAACTGTGGTGGGGCCCTCCGGGACCTCGGTAACTGTGGTGGGGCCCTCCGGGACCTCGGTAACTGTGGTGGGGCCCTCCGGGACCTCGGAAACTGTGGTGGGGCCCTCCGGGACCTCGGAAACTGTGGTGGGGCCCTCCGGGACCTCGGAAACTGTGGTGGGGCCCTCCGGGACCTCGGAAACTGTGGTGGGGCCCTCCGGGACCTCGGAAACTGTGGTGGGGCCCTCCGGGACCTCGGAAACTGTGGTGGGGCCCTCCGGGACCTCGGAAACTGTGGTGGGGCCCTCCGGGACCTCGGAAACTGTGGTGGGGCCCTCCGGGACCTCGGAAACTGTGGTGGGGCCCTCCGGGACCTCGGAAACTGTGGTGGGGCCCTCCGGGACCTCGGAAACTGTGGTGGGGCCCTCCGGGACCTCGGAAACTGTGGTGGGGCCCTCCGGGACCTCGGAAACTGTGGTGGGGCCCTGCGGGACCTCGGAAACTGTGGTGGGGCCCTGCGGGACCTCGGAAACTGTGGTGGGGCCCTGCGGGACCTCGGAAACTGTGGTGGGGCCCTGCGGGACCTCGGAAACTGTGGTGGGGCCCTGCGGGACCTCGGAAACTGTGGTGGGGCCCTGCGGGACCTCGGAAACTGTGGTGGGGCCCTGCGGGACCTCGGAAACTGTGGTGGGGCCCTGCGGGACCTCGGAAACTGTGGTGGGGCCCTGCGGGACCTCGGAAACTGTGGTGGGGCCCTGCGGGACCTCGGAAACTGTGGTGGGGCCCTGCGGGACCTCGGAAACTGTGGTGGGGCCCTGCGGGACCTCGGAAACTGTGGTGGGGCCCTGCGGGACCTCGGAAACTGTGGTGGGGCCCTGCGGGACCTCGGAAACTGTGGTGGGGCCCTGCGGGACCTCGGAAACTGTGGTGGGGCCCTGCGGGACCTCGGAAACTGTGGTGGGGCCCTGCGGGACCTCGGAAACTGTGGTGGGGCCCTGCGGGACCTCGGAAACTGTGGTGGGGCCCTGCGGGACCTCGGAAACTGTGGTGGGGCCCTGCGGGACCTCGGAAACTGTGGTGGGGCCCTGCGGGACCTCGGAAACTGTGGTGGGGCCCTGCGGGACCTCGGAAACTGTGGTGGGGCCCTGCGGGACCTCGGAAACTGTGGTGGGGCCCTGCGGGACCTCGGAAACTGTGGTGGGGCCCTGCGGGACCTCGGAAACTGTGGTGGGGCCCAGCGGGACCTCGGAAACTGTGGTGGGGCCCTGCGGGACCTCGGAAACTGTGGTGGGGCCCTAACAATTTTCTGTACATTGTTATGGGAGAATCCTCATTTAAATAAATTCAATATCTACAACATTAAATTTTAATTGGTGCAGTTGACTGCTGTCTTGATCACTCATCAGTTGCCCCTAGCAACGACTGGGTTAAATAAATTCGATTTTGAGCTAACAAGCAGTGTATTGTATAAAATATTTGCTAATAATGAGTATGATAACATTTTCCATAATACAGTACACATAGGAAAAATTCATGACATTGTTATAATACCGTAATTACTGATGTACGATTTTTATTTTTGATGGCGCTCATCATCCAGGATGGGTTAGGTGGGATGGTAGCTGTGGACTAAAACTCTTACCTGGCTTATTAGTTACCACTTAAAATATTTTAGATCTCGAGATTAATTTAACAATATGTTACATTGCTGAAAATTCTTAAAGTAATCTTTGTAATATGCTGTCTTAAATTTAATATTTTGCTAAATAGGCTTATCTAAACCCCCCAATTTTTTTTTAAATATAACAATCATGATTGAGACAACGTCTACTTGAAGGTTGGGTCACTAGCATATTAAATAACACACTGGTGTGAAAAACACGATTGGTGTAAGATAAACCCAATAAAAAGTTGGATGTGACCAGCCTAGAAAGTATGTTTTAGGTATGAAACACAGTACAGTATATACTATAGAAAATATCCACATATTATTTAATAACAATTGTTGCAGTTTCCCCTAAACATCATGTACTATATACATTATCAAATTCTTCTCTTTACAGTACAGCGCACAAGACACAAGCCCCCTCAGCAATTATGTTATGCATCCATTTTGGAATGCTGTTGTAAAGGTAAGGCAATACTCTACTGTGCTGTGCACTATATTGATTTTTTGCCACCTTTGGGTGCCGACTGAAAAACAGTTGTCTGAAACTGTCACTTTAAATACGGTAGATTTATTTTATTCATCGGTACAGTATTTACTTGGGTACTACTTATTGTAATTATTGTAGTTGTATAGAGGCTACATACACCTCTCAAGAAACTCCCCTTAATGATCTACATTTGTCTTAATGCTTTGTTACTTGTGAACTTCTGTGTTTTGTTACACATGAGGGTACAGAAGCAGAGGACTTCAGATTATTGTTAGCAGGCTGATAGTTTTCCATCCTATGAATCCTTTTAGCCTTACTCTGGGACTATTAGTTTTCCCTGGAACATGATCTAAAGGGCATACACAAAAGTGGAAGAGTACAGTAACCATGATCCTAATGTGTCTTAGGCCTAAATAAGCAATTCTTGACCAATATATGCAGTCTTAAACCTAATTTAGTACATATTTGTTCTGTACTAGGCCTAAGAAAAGTCACGCTTGGTTTCTTCCTTCTTTCTTAGACCTTCAAGAAAATTAATAATATGAAACAAGAATTTTTGGGGGATCCATATTTTGTAGTTCCATCTGTAGTAATAATCGTTACTGTACAGTATTGTCATTTTTGGTTTAGAGGTTGGAATTTCCAGTGATAATTCACAAGGTTATTATTTTTTTTTTGCTTCTATAATCTTTGTTGTGCAAGCAGAATTTGACTGCTGCCTTGATATGTTATTGCTTAGTAAGGAAATAAGTGGTGCTCATCCTTAAGGTTGGGGCAATTTGTAGAACCTTGTTTTAATATAAAATGGAATAGTCCTAGTATTTTGCAACCATTTTAAAAGGCTCTACACTTGTTCTTTCAGGAGATAGTTATATAATTCTACTATATTCCTAGTTAGGCTACGCTGTTCTGAAAGGCCAGTTGAGCAAGTACAGTACACAATAAATTTGAAAACGTGTATCACACAGGAAAAAATCAAGATAGTCGAGTTGGAAAAGTCTATCATTAATGGGCATGATGTTAAGCTCATTTTACTTGGCTTCTTGCCTAATTCCTGGGTACCTATTTATTTGCAGGTGAACAAATGTATCGGGTGTATGATCTTTCTAAGTCAGCAACTAACATTTCTCAGGCAGCATCCCACAATAGTTGCTAACTTCTAGGTGTCTCTTTAATGCCAGGTGAACAGAGGCATCAGCTAGAAGGAAATGTGCCCATAGGTTTTTCTTGTGGCTGGAATGGGATCCAGGACATTTCGGTTGTGATATGACTTCATTCATCACTAAAGTGAGAGATTAGAGAATTGATGCATTTCTTGTCTGATCAGACCGGACCGTGGGGACGCTGATCCTCATACTCAACAGGTATACAGTACATGTATTTATGGTATATGTATTTACAGTACATGTATTTATACAGTACATGGTATATAGTACATGTATTTATGGGACGCTAAGCCCTGGAAGCACCTCAAGGTATGGTATACTTAGGGCCACATGGCCCTTTTGAATCATTAGTGGTTCATCTGTATGGGTGGTGAATTGGGTTTTAAATTGAAATACTGTACAGTATTTCACACCCAAGCTGAGCCACAGTTATGTAAGAATGTGTCATCATGTGCCACTTATACAAAGAAGTGTATCATTGTCATGTGTAAGTCCTTTACTGTGTCTTTATTTTCCCAGCGCTTATCCTTCGTGTGTGCTTAAAGCAAACGATTTAAGTATACAGTAATACTTACTGGTACTTCCCTTGAAGAATGTCCTAGTATGCCTTGAAGAACATAATCCTTTATCCATACTAGAATTTTTTTTTTAAATCTAGGTACTGTATGAGCTTGGTTATCTAAAACCCACTGAACCGAATATTTGGGTTAGCTAGCTTAAGTCGCATCTGGATGTTTTTGTGCCAAAATTTATCATATCTGGAGAGAGATCCAAATTTTCGGAGATGGTTGCATAAATTTTCAACAACTACACATTTCAATACTTAAAGTATCAAAGAAGAAGAAGAAGAATTATAACAAGGTAAACTGTAGTGTGTGTTTTAAATTATATTTTTGATTTATAGCATGTGTGGAAATTCAACTTTTGTGGTAACAAAATTGTGAATGTTAAATTTTGGTCTTTCCTGGTAAAAATTTCTGCTTGTCCGGTGAGGGGGTCCTTCCTATCTGGTCTGGATAAGTGAGCTTAGACTGCACAGTAAAGTACAGAGTGGGGGCATGAGTGTATGGGGGGGGGCATGAGTGTAGGGGGTGGTATGAGTGTCGAGGGGGGATGGCATGAGTGTCGGGGGGGGAGGGGGTGGCATGAGTGTCAGGGGGGGGGGGTGGCATGAGTGTGGGAGGGTGACATGTGTGGGGGGGGGGTGGCATGAGTGGGGGGTGGACAAGATGTAGGGGGGTGGCATATGTGGGTGGGGGTGGCATGAGTGGGGGGACAAGATGTAGGGGCGGGTGCTATGAGAGATGTAGGGGGGTGGCACGAGAGATGTGGGGGGGAGGGTGGCATGGGAGTGTGTTGGAGCATGAGATGTATGGGGGGCACAAGATGTAGGGGAAGGCATGAAAGAGTGTGAGGGGGATGAGAGTGGGTGGAGCATGGGTATATGTGGGGGGGCAAAAGATGTAAGGGGGGTTGATAGTAAGGGGGGAGGGGGGGATTGATAGTGTGAGTGGGGGTGCGAGAGTTGGGGGGTAAGAGTGAAGTGTGAGCCTCACCTGACCCACTTGCTATCTTATCATGTACTTTAGTTCATATTTATCTTGAAGATTAATTTACAGTTTTGTGGAGGACAAATGAATTGTAATTTCATGATCATCTTATTATCAGTGTTGTGTGGGTATGTTTTATAGTAATTTTTTTGTATCTGCTATCCCCCTTCCTCTTCCTCCCTTGCCTGATCTTTACATTTAATCTCTTTTTTTTTTTTGGCCATAATTTGCATTATCTTGCACTTCCTCGTTATTCATAATACACAATATTTTACTCTTGGGTCTGCACATCGTGTAGTTTCAATGGATTTAGTTTTAAGATTTATTTCTGAGCTGTTCTAGAGACTTGTTGCTACCTGAAACAAGGTTGTGAGTGTGTGTCATGGACATTATACCAGGATAGGCAGGGCAGGTTAACATCTTGCACCAGTTCTGTGCTGTTCTTTTTAGATGTCCCAGCTGGGTCCCAGCTGGAGTCAAGATGATGCAGGAGAATCTTCAATCTAACTCAGATAACCTCTAAGGCAGCATCTGGGATCCTCTCGGACGTCGGGGGGGGGGGGGGGAGTTTAGTCACAATAACGTGGCTAAAGTATGTTGACCAGACCACACACTAAAAGGTGAAGGGACGACAACGTTTTGGTTCGTCCTGGACCTTGACGGACCGAAACGTCGTCGTCCCTTCACCTTCTAGTGTGTGGTCTGGTCAACAACAAACCAAATGTTTTTCCTGGAGAAAGAGCTTCTCATATACACTCAAAGCTTTATTTTACCAACTTAAATCTTAATGTTTTGCCTTACTCATGATGATGATGGATTGGAGAATGTGTTAGTGATCATGGGCATTACAAAGGTTATGGGCAGGATATGTATTAGTTTTTCTCAACTTGGTACTTGGTCCATTTATTTAAGAATTTTTAGATTTAATGTCTGAATTAACAGCAATTATCTGGATATATATATCTCCAAGTAATTTTTACTGTTTCTCTGTTATAGATATGTCCACGTTGGATAGCTCCCAATGTTCTCACATTTGTGGGGTTCCTTTTTACTGTTGGAAACTTTGTTCTCCTGGCCATCTATGATTATAGTTACTATGCCTCCAGCACTGCACCTCCAGGTGATGAGTATCCACCCATTCCGAAGTGGGTGTGGCTAGTCTGTGCATTTGATCACTTCATGGCACACACGCTAGGTAAGTTTATTTCTCTTTATTAATTTATCCATTCTTGCTCTCTTGAGCAGGGGTTCTCAATCTGGGTTATGCATATCTCTTGTGGTCTCTAGTGTTTTATGTTCGATGGTGACTCTAGTGCATGTATATTCCAAGGTTGTTCTATTGACTAGAGTATCCTTGGAATATTATATGCATGCTAGAGCAAAGTTGGAACATTATCGAGGTCTCGAGGTTATCATTATCGAGGTTAGGGGCGCCTGACAGTTGGGTGGACAGCGCTTCGGATTCGTAGTCCAGAGATTCCGGGTTCGATCCCTGGTGGAGGCGGAGACAAATGGGCAAAATATTTCTTTCACCCAGATGCCCCTGTTACTCTGTTACCTAGCAGTAAATAGGTACCTGGGAGTTAGACAGCTGCTACAAGCTGCTTCCTGGGGGTGGAGGCCTGGCCGAGGACTGGGCCGCGGGGACACTAAAACCCCGAAATCATTTCAAGATAACCTCAAGATAACCCCCTTACATTTGCCCTGATTTTTTTTCCAGCTTGACTTTATAATTGAACATAGTTTTGGCATTTACGGCTGTGGCAGGTAGGAAGTTTCATGGGTATTTGCATGCTAGAGCAACCATGGGACCAGACAGAATTAGGGGTATGCAACTATACATTCCACAGTTTGAGAACCCCTGCCTTAAAGGGTTCTGTTCCTGTATGAATGGATATAGACATATGTTTGCTACAAGCTCTTAGAGCATGGCAGTGATGCAGTTGCATTGGAGCAAGGCATATTGCTATAAATACATCAAACAAGGTAGTACAGTATTGGAATTGTTTTGAACAATGCAGTTATATTTGCTCGGAGCAAGGCACAAAGTTGCAGTTTATTGGACAAAGGCACATTGGTGCAATTGCTTGGAGAAAGGCATATTGTTACAGTTGCTTGGATGAAGGTTCATTGTTGCATTCATATGGAGCTAGGAACATTTGTTGGAATTGCTAGGAGCAATCCACAGTGGTGCAGTTGCTTGGTGAAAAGCATAGTTGCTTCATGATAGTTGCTTTGATCGTTAGTCAAATTGTGTGTATTCTCAGAGATACTTTGGTGGGAGGCTTGAGATACCTCATATGGTCGTTGTAATGTAGCTGAACCATAATAGTGCTTTAAGATAAAAACATTTACATTCTTCAGCATTACAAACTGTTGGCGTCCTGTGTTTCAGATGGAATAGATGGTAAACAAGCTCGGAGGACTGGGACAAGTGGGCCATTAGGAGAGCTCTTTGACCACGGACTAGACTCTTGGACAACCTTTTTTATACCGGCGTGTGTCTGGTCTGTATTTGGACGAGTAGACTACAGTATTTCCCCGCTTAGGTTTTATTTTGTTTTATGGAATGTTATTACCTGTTTCTACACGTCTCACTGGGAAAAATATCTTACCAAGATTTTGTTCCTACCTTGGGGATATGATATATCACAAGTGGTAAGTACAGTAATACTGATCAGTTATTTTAGCTAAGGTGTGTATATTTATTTATATGTATATATATACAGTATATATATTTATATACTGTATTGAGACTAATATTTTTACTCAATTTTTTAAGGATGCTCTTCACTTCAATTAATGTAACTGTCCATTTTTTTTTCAGCTCATATTTTGTATTTATTTATCAACGGGAATTTGGGGGCAGCAGATCTGGAAGTTTCAGATTTTTCTGGGAATTTCATCAGGAGCCATGTTTGAATTCATGATGTATGCTGGATCTCTGGGCACTTCTCTCCCTATGTCCTTTTGGAATATTTACAAGTAAGTTATTGGGAGATATAATTAAGATTCATCTGAATGCAAAAATAAACCATTAACCTTTGTACCATACTTTGTAATATATAAGAAAATGTTTCATAAGATTAAACAAATGAAAAATCTAGGGGTATTAAATATATTATTAATTGAATTGTACTGTATATCTACAGCTTCTGTTCTCAAAGCCTTCATTGTAATAGCGAAAATATTGGCAGAAAAGCACTGTCTAGCGTCATTTATGGTTTACACAGTATCTGCTTGCTGCTTCAACAGGTTACCTTCACATTTATGACCTGCACTGTGCACCACAACCAGAGGTTGTTTTTAGGCCAATCATAAAATTTAAAACTCCCATGCATACAGGGGGCTCATATTTGCTTCCTTCGGCCTCGGATAGCCATCCCCCTATCTTAAAACAAAAAAATACCGCGTCCCTAACTTTTTTTCTAGGGCCCTGGTGAAAAGATGAGGACTGTGTGTGTGTCTGACACATCGCCGTGCAGTGTGGGCATACAAGGAGCCATTTAACTTTTAACAGAAGCAAATGAATGATTACCATACATATATTTATAGACAAAATTTGTGCTATGTGCAATTATAAGATTTAGGCTTGTATATTTTTGTATGAATAAATACATGGTGTGTGTGTACAGTTATTCGCGTACATATATCTAACCATACGTATATTTTCAAAGGTATACATAATTAACACCACCTTTGACAAACGATGCAACTTGTTAGAATAAAAACTAAATAAAGTGAGATAGTGAAAATAAATTGACAAAAGTTATTCCTATGCAGCACCTAACCTCATTTCTATAAAAAATCTTATTATTTATTTATTTATTTATTTTATTTATTATTATTTTCACCACAGGCTTGTCACATTTAAGAGATGCGCAGTGCAAGGGTTAACGTGACTTTGCTTAACCATTATACAGTGTGACGCAGATTTACTGTGATTTTTACCTCCTGTTATTATACCTGCAGACAGGCTCGTGCAATGTCATTGTTTACCAATTTAATCGACTGGGGAAGCACTTGGCTCGGAAGAGTTGGTTAATATTGTTAGGAAAGAGTTAAAGATAATGCAAACAATTTAATAACTTCAGTTTAAAAAGTAAATCATTAATTTATTCAAGTTAATGTAGTGTAAATCCTCTTGGTAATTTTTTTACCATGTGCTCGTTAGTATGATACTATTACTAAAGCTACTGAGGGCACTTCCCCCAAAAAAGTTTGCATGCTCAAATTTCAACCAGTTGGTATTTTAATGTTATTTGTTGCCTTAACTGATTTGCACTGATAATAAATATGTGTGTTTTTTAAATTGTAGTTTGCCAACAGTACTAATTATTTCCCTGGGGTGGACATCATAAATGTTTTCTTGTTTTTCATTTTATTTTCTCCCTCTTTCCCCCACATATCTCTTACCTGTTTTGTCATGTTGAGTTGAGCACTTCCTGATTGGCTTTTCTGCTAGTGTCAACATGCATGCATATAGGACAAAAATAAGCAACAAAATCATGAGACAAAACTCATTGGTTGATAACGATTCCAGACGATTTGTGCGCTTCTAAAATGTAATTTGGCAAGTGTTAATTTTGTTTATCCTTTATTTGATATTTGTGTTTAGTACAATCTTTTATTGTGATTGTGTGATATAAATGAAAGCTTCATGCTTTAACAAGAGTTTGGTGCAAAGGTTACTGGTAGTATAACAGCATTCCAATAAAATTTATAAGAAAAAAGGAAACTTCTGGCAAAATTGTTCTTAATTTCAAGTTGCAAGTACTTACTGCAATTGCTATGGAAAAGGGAAATGTGAATGCAATAACCCAAAGTAGTGATGGGTGGTGGGCTTTCCTTTGGATATACAGTATCTGCCTTTCCTATAGATTTCACTAACTACTATGGATCCCAGGATACAGTAGCTTAAAAAAAACATGAAAAAACAAAAAACAAACAGGACCTTGCTTCTCCTCTCTTGCTATAGAAATTCAAATGATGTAAATAAGTGATTAAAGGGAAAATTGGAAAAAATAATGGTATTGTTTGGAGCAGCTTTATCTGCTCTCCAGAATCATTCACCTTCTTGACTTTGAAGCTTATGGCACTGATGCTGTGTGGTGGCAGCACCATTGTTATTAGAGAATGCTGTTCATGGTGTATTCACTTTGTACATACAGTATACCAAGACTGGAATTATTGCCGAATATGGTTCATTGGTTAATTAATAATACTGTATCTGTAACTTGTTCAGTTCTTTATTCATATACTGAATTTATACCATATAATATACTTAATTTGTGAATTGTCAGATAATTTTGGTTATTTTAATGCCTTTATAATGTGTGAAGTCAGGGATATCTTAAGGTATGGGCGCACACCACACTTGCCCAGGAACACCTTATTCTCGGAGCCCCATGTGGAAATATTGTTCCAAGAGATTTCTTGGCGTTGTAATATGATTATGAACACCACTAATCAGAACACACCACTGTTATAATATGTAGTGAAATTTATTAGATACACTGGATATTCAACCCGTTCTCGCAAATTTAATAAGTCAATATTGACTTATTAAATATGTGCATAGGTGACATACTTAACATAATAGATACCCTTAAAAAGATTCATAGAAAACACCGACCTTACCTAACCTTCTTAGTATCTTAAGATAAGCATCTTATTGCTTCGTAATTACAATTATTACCTAACCTATAATAGGTATAGGTTAAGTAATAATTGTAATTACGAAGCAATAAGATGCTTATCTTAAGATACTAACAAGGTTAGGTAAGGTCGGTGTTTTCTATGAATCTTTTTAAGGGTATCTATTATGTTTAGTATATCACCTATGCACGTAGTTAATAAGTCAATATTGACTTTACGAATTTGCGAGAACGGGTTGGGATATTTGATGTAACTTTAGGCCTTTTCCCACAATCTATAAAATTCATCTCTACACCTGACACAGCTTGAGGTGGTCACGCCAGCAGTGAATTGCTTCAGCAGATCGAGTCGGAGGCGAGAGGACCAAATGTCAAGGGAACTTTGGTGATAGAAATTAAGACTGAATAATCACATAGGCCTAAACAATTAAGAGTTAATGCTGCCTCCACCACGCCTTAAACTTTAATAATTAGGCTAATTAACTTGGCACTCGACTGGCACTCGACTAGCATTAACTTGGCGTCAACTAGCACTCAAGATAACCGGGGGGGAACTAGCCTTAGATAAACACAGTAGGTAGGTGAATGAAGCTTAATTTAGCCTTTACTTTTGATAATTACTGAATATTAATTAATTTTGGGTCAGTGTGCACACTATCGGCTTGATGGGGTTCTGAGAGTTCTTCTAGATTTAATTTTTCTATATAAAGGGATATAAAGGGGTGACTGCTGAGATGTTGCAAAGCATTGACTTTTTTGTAGAAAAAAGAAATGAATTTTTTTGAAATACAACAAATGTCAAAAAGGTTCGTTCGGTGTTCGGCAGGTAGGCTGCTCTGTTTCTTTAAAAAAAAAAATAAAAAAAAAATGAAAATTTTTGAAAAACAACAAATGTCAAAAAGGTTCGTTTGATGGTCGGCAGGTAGGCTGCTAGATGTTTCTGAAATAAAAAAAAAACGAAAAAAAAGTTGAAACAATTTGATAAACGGACAAATGTCATAAAGGTTCGTTCAGTGTTTATCGGATAGGCTGCTCCATTATTGAGACGTAAATGAAAAATACAAAACAAATGGAACACATTTGAAACAATGTGTTACGGCCCTCTCGGGTCGCAACTGGGTTCTTTCTCTGATGTTAGTAGAGTTTGGGTATCCGGCCCCAAGCTAGCAGTGGCTTTCAAGGGGTGTGCTCCGTAACGCAAGTAAATTAAAGGGGAAGGGAGACAAAGGCAAAAACTTAATAATATAATTATCACCGTCACCATAAATATAAATAAATGATCACACGGGGGGGGGGGGGGGGGGGGTATAAACACAAGAATATACAATGTGGTCTTCCTCTGAAGACGCGGAGTGTTCCACGGTGCTCAACGATGTTAAGCTCTTGGTCCTCTTGTGGCCTCACGATGAATCCTTCGATTCTCTTGAGTCTACCCTGGCCACAGGCCAGCCAAATCACAGTTCCACTGGGGGCACCGTCGTGGAGGCCGTCAACCACAAATCCAGCCTGTAGCTGGCAGGTTCCAATCAGCAACGCTGCGTAGGCCACTCCACGACCGATACTAGGGTTGCGAGCCCTAGTCAGGAGCCTCATGTGATCCCACAGATCACTCTCCTCACCACAACACCCCAGTGGTTAAGCGTCTCCACCAGTCAGCCCCGGGTACGACAATCCCTCAACTGCCATGTCACAGGCAGGCTAACACCACAGTGTTCATCCGGGGGGGGGGGGGGGTGACTCACAGCTGCTGCAGCAAACACGTGGAGACTCTTCGACTGCCTTGGGTAGACTGATCCACTGTCCGATTCAGCAGTCCCAGGTCGACTCTGTAATCACACACGTCATCAGTAATAGGGACACTCTAGGGCACCTCACTTACAGGCTTAGACACAAACGCCCACCTATCCACTCCATAGATGGCGTTGCTGTCTAAGCGTCACCTCACCAGAGGTCAGCAGCGGCTGTGTTATGAGCCGATTAGGACGGGAAACTAGCCCTTGTGGCCAGTATATCTAGTCCTCACTAGATGGCGTCGTCCATTTGGAGGGGGTTTCGGGAGCTGACCCACAGATGGCGTGGTCGTCACTGCTCCGTGCTCGGATGCTGGGCTCGTGTCCGTAACACAATGAAAGATTGCTATAATGGAGCAGCCTACCCGACAAACACTGAACGAACCTTTTTGACATTTGTTGTTTTTCAAACTTTGATTTTTTTTTTTCATTTTTAAATTTAAGAAACATAAAGCAGCCTAACTGCCGAACACTGAATAAACCTTTTGTTATAAGACAAGTGAAAAAAAATATTGAACAAATTTGAAGAAAGAAAAATATCATAATGGTTTGTTCAGTATATGTAAGGTAGGCTGCTCCATTATTTAAAACATCTCGTATCATATTGATGTTTTACGGTGGTAGAACGGATTAATTTGATTTCCATTACTGTATTGTCAGTGGGGACATTCATTTTGTATGACGACCGTTTCACATGACGATCACGGCGCCAGAACAGATTAAAGACGTTATTCGAGGTTCCATTGTATTTATAATAGATCCTATTGAAGGTACTGTATAACGTATGTTTATGTGTACGTGTTTTGGGTGATATTACAAAAGAGTTTAGTGGTTTTTTATATTTAGTATAGTCTTTGTTACAACATTCTGTTTATTGGCAATGTAGTAAAGTGCCGTAGTAGTCGAGACGAACCTGGAGCAGGGCAGGGAGCTTGAGCGAGACTGTGGGTAGAGAGCTCGGAAGCAGGTGAGTGTAAAGCGTGGCGCTCTGAATACAGGCGGGGTCAAAGAGCTCGAATGCGGGACGAGTATGGAAACTCAATGCGGCTGGAATCTGGCTGTCTGCTCTGTGTCGAGGCTGCAGCATCTTGAGAAACGAGAAACTACTCGTCGACTGTTACGTTGTTGCTGGTGTACATCAATGGTGCTGAACATCTAAAGAATTGAGTGTGAGTTAGACTGAGACAATGATTCGTTGAAGAGGGCTTGTATTACAAGCTTTTCCTCAGCCAGGCCAAACGGACCAGCATCTGGTTGGTTACCCATTGCCTGGCCTGATTGATCCTGTACCCTTGGGAAGAGATTAATTGTAAATAGTTGTACATTTGAGAATTGTAATTGATAGACCAAGAATTAGTGTAGGACTTGTAGGAATGTGGAACACTTGGCGATGGGTTATTCAGAATTAAGACCCGTCTCGTTATGTCATGAACCTAATGGAAATATAGAGCAAGGACATTACTTCCTAATGTAGTTGCTACAAAGGCATCAGTTTTCCCACTAGAGCAGATCATCAAAGAAAATATCTTAGCTAGCATGACAAGTTCTGTGACTTGTACTGTACTTTGTATCTAGCTTATTGGTACAACTTATCTAACTTTATTATCTAGCTTACTGCTTTCAGCAACTGGTAAGTATTAGGTATTCCCAGGAGGGACTAGATTAAGCTTTTTTTCCAGTGGGTAATTAATGGATTTTGTTCTTTTAATTTGTTGGGGAAACTGATACACTTCTGTGTTGTACATTGAGAGCATTTCTATTTGGTGCAAATTGACCACTCTGCTACATACACAAATTTATACTATGGTACAGTACAGAACCATGTTTCATTGCTGAAGTATGGTACATTGGTCAATTCTGGTATTATCTGGAAAGCGGTGCAATTATTTTGTTAATGTGTGTTTAAAATGGAGATGTACATACATTGTATGTAACCATAATACTGTATTTCCAAATTTCGTTTTATTCTGCAAGCTTAGGTCATAAGCTCATGTCAAATGAGTTTATGACATGATATAAAATTTTAATTAACTTAGGGCTAGTGCTAACAATGTGTTTCTTTAGGTCATACAGAGACAAAACAGGAAAGATGCTTGGTGTGTGGGAGTCTATTCGACCCCTGTTCACGCCTATTATATTCTTCGCCATCTCCACTGCCTGGGTGTATTGGTCATCGAAAGACATTGTCAACAAGGATCCCAGACTGTTTCTCTTCATGGTCGGCACAATTTTTGCCAATATAAATGTAAGAATGATACCTTTTTTTTTTTTATTTTAGTCTTGTATGAAGAAATGTCAAGCTTCCATGTCTTATAGAAAAAGCAGTGATGATCCATATGCTATTGTTAAACCAACTTTTGGCTTGTGCTCTTAGCATGCAAATTAATATTACATTATAGCATGTAAATTAACTATAATAAAAAACCAAAGTTGAATGTGATGAAATGCATCTTTCTGGGTGAGCCCTGTTGGTTTCCTGAAGCCTTCTCACTGAGGTCGATCCCAACTCCTAGGTCACATCAGCCATGGAATTCTGTTTGGTCTACCAGAGATCAGAGTCAGAACCTCAGAATCTGACCCCCTTGCAGAGGCACAGAGAGCAGGTGACATTCCTCCACCCCACCAGGAAAGAATCGAGAAAAGTCAGCGAACCAATAGAGACTACTGCTGGGTCCAAAGAGACCAAAGCCTCAAAACCACTAAAGGAACTTCCCCTCCCAATGTACTGTAAACAAATGAGGTGGGGTGGTGCAAACTTGTTAGCACCACCCCCACCAGCTGTTTGGGGGTAGGGGGGGATTGTGGGCCTGGAGACCCTGGTCTCCCTTAGCCTTCCTTACCAGTTCTAGAGCAGATGTGCAGATGACATCAACCAACCGCTGACCTGGAAGGAAGGGTGGGAGGGAATTGGGGAGCCACCAGGGCTCATCCAGAAAGAGGCATTTCATTACATTAAAGTCTGTTTTCTGGGGTAAAGCCCCTTGTGGCTCCCTGGAGCTAACTTTGATAGAGAAAGGAAACCCAGGGGCTCACCGAGGAGGAGAGACCACAGGCAATCAAAACAAAGGAGATACAGAAGGACGATAGATGATCCAAGGCAACACGGGCATAATGAGGGCAGGGACACCCAGCTGCCAAGACCCTGTCAAACCACCAACATCCCCTGTGCCCAAATATTGGCCCCGGACACGTTAACAAAGACTGCTATAAGAGCAGCATATTTGTGAACATCCATGCACAAGGGTAGACAACAGACTGGCTAGATTTAGCAGCACTGCAGATGACCTGAGAAACATGAGACTTGGAACATGGAACCAAGGTAATAAGTAACCGATAAAACACCCGTCGAGGTAGAATTGGTGGCACGAAGGTAGCGGAGAAGAACTGCCATTGGGCGCACAACATTATGCATCCCTGGCCAAACTCACCAGGCAAAAAACAAAAGGACCTCTCTGGGAACCTGCCGACTCATTCATCGCCATAAAAGGAGGAGCCGGCTGCAAATAAACAATGTCTGCCAGGGCCAAAAGAACAAAAACCCTGCCCGCAGAGAAGAGCATGAAGCTCCCTAACTCAATGCTACAACCAGGCACAAGTGCTAACAGGAAAACCGCTTTAGAAATGGATTGAAGGGGAACCGTAAACTGAGGGGACATTAACAGACATCCACATCAGCTTCAGAACTGGTGTGGAAGGCTGGAAATGCTGGGCTCCCACCCAATTAGTGGGAGTGGTGTTAATGAGCTTGCTCTAGTTTTAAGATATTAGATCATTTATTAACATTGTTTGGGGAAATTTGTTAGGCAGTTTTGTGGCTTTACTCTATATGAGCACAGCAGTGGTCTGTATAGGATTACTGATTTTCTAGATGCTGTCCTAGTGGGGTGGCAGGGTATCACCTGCTCTCTGCACCTCTGTGAGGAGAGGGGGGCCTGGTTCTAGCTCTGGTCCCTGGTAGTCCAAACTGAACTCTACAGCTAATGTGACCTAGCAGTTGGAAGCCATCTCAGCGAGATAGCTTCAGGGAGCCAAGGGGGGGCTTCCCCAGAAAAGCTGCTTTCTCAGTATACAGTACTGCTGTCATAAATAATCTGTTATTAAAAGCATTTTATATGTAGCATGGATTATGTAACTGAAAATAATCTGTATTGCAGTGCCGATTGATTGTGTCACAGATGAGTAGCACACGATGTGAATTCATCAATTGGTTGATGCTACCTCTTGCCTTGTCTGTGGTGATAGTGGTGGTGTTCCCTAGTCTAGAGACAGCTACCCTACTTCTTATGAGTAGTGTGGCAACTGTTGCTCACATTCATTATGGTGTTTATGTGGTAAGTCATTAAAGTTTTTTTATTTTTTCCCTAAAGGGGTTGAATTAAGAGATATTCAAGAAATTTCAGATCATTCTAGTTAGTACTTATACCCAATTGTCTTGAAAATTATAAATTCAAATCTTGGGAAGGGTGGGATAACTGGGCTCCATTCCTCTACACTTTGTCTACGTTCACTCGGCAGTAATCGAGGACATGGTTATGAAGCATTTAGCAGATTGTGTTATGGGCAAACAAGTAGGTTATAGCTAAAAATGAACTGTGTGGCAGGGATGGGGAGGGGGGACTTCTGAAGAGTATCGGAAAACAATTAATTTTGAAATAATTTAGTTTTTAAACAGCTCGCACAAACATACAACACTACCCAATTTTTATGATTTTTTTTTATCACAAAAGAATAGGAAAATTAAGATGTGCAGCAGGTGTGTTGGCCCATACTAGATGGGTCTCATTTATATCCACTCCATGTTAATGTATTACAGTATATGAAGCATGTGGAACAACACTATCTAGTTCCTAACTAGAACTGCTTTGCAGCTAATTTAGAGTTGAATTTCCTTCAAATAACTTCCTTCAAATAATTTTTAAAATATTATATTGATCATTTCCACCTATTAAAATACCATTTTTCTCTGGTAGGGAGAATGCTTGCTTTAAGAGCCCAGAGAATAGTTAATCCTTAAGTGCAGTTATCGTTGTATGTTGATTAGCAGAGTAACGTGGCTACCGTCATTAGTTCAGCTATCGCCCACTTTTTATGCAATTGATGTATATATAATTATAATATATATATATATATATATATGCTTTATATGGATGTAATGGAATTAAATTAACCTGGTCCTAGACTTGCGAAAAAAATCTGCCAAAATGTCTATGTACTTGCTTACTATCAATGAGGTTTATTTTGTTCCATAAGTAATGTGGCTACAGCATTATTAGTTCACGAGTTGGTGTTTACCATCAGTATTTGGTTCTGTTTTTCAACGACATTACTAGACATAATCACAGCAAAGGAGTAGTTTGCTTTAGTTAATCAAATTAACACATCAAAACATCAAACAAATGTTTCATCAAAACACACTCCTTCACTTGACTTGCCAGCAAATCACCACAGTTCATGAACTAAATGATCATCTTGCCCAATAACCCAATGTACACCAAACACGTAAAGGCTTGGATACGGTTTTTCACACACAGGGGAACTTTTGATCACAGCCACATTTTAGGGGTTAAATATTCCTTGTAACTCCCACTTTGCTGGTCTAAGGATAGATGACACTGTTTCATCTTCAAGTGATTGGCAATGTGGTTCTGTTGGGCCATAGTCCTACTCCTTCTAGTTTTCTTGTTGGGCTGTCAATTAGGGAACCAAACCCAAAAGTTGGATGAATATTGTGTTCATAGTCCCCCTAATGATATAATGCTTGTATCCTCGGAAATTCTTATAATACAATATTATAATTGGAGGAGTAGAACTTGTATATCTGGTTTACAGCGGAAAAATTTTTTTCCTCCAGGTCCGTCAGATGTGCGAGCACTTTCACATTAAGTGTTTCAGCATTAAGGATCGGGCCGATTGACTACTCGCCGACAGTGCATGAGTGTTTTGTAGATGGCTGCCCTTGGAACCATTATGAAATTGAAAGCTTTTGTCTTTGAAGTTATCACTGCTGTTGATGGTGCTGGTAATGTTGACAAAGTTTGTATGGCATACAATGAATCTGTTCATATCATGTGATTATCTTGTAAGGCAGGGTATTAATAATGGACACGGAACAAATAATTAGTAACCAGAATTGCCTTATCTTTGCACGTTAAGGATTATAATCAACTCTCCATTGTCACTCATGATGGATGTAACCAATATTTTAGTTTTACACCAAATTTGGCTGTAGCCAATCAATATTTACATTAGTTCCATTCTACTATGGCTACAACAAAAGCATAACAATCAACCCACTTGTATTAGTGAACCAGATGAAGTTGGTTAAAGTAAAATGTACAAGATCTGATATACATAATAGATGGGAGCAAGCCAAATATTTGCCATGCTTTATGATTCCCTTCCCCTCCCCCCTTTTTTTTTTTAAATGTATGTGAAGTCTGTTCTGACTGGTTAATATTAACGTTGTTTCATAGGACATGTACCTGATATTTAACAAGGTTGGATATGGGAAATGTTAAATTTTGTTTACATTCACAAAGTGTAGAGAGAAGTGATTAAGGTCTTTTGCTAGCAAAGTTGAGATTTTTAGGCTTTTAAGATGTATCAGTTTTATTCATATTAATATACCGGCTTAAATGACAATACAGTTTTTAAAAATTCAAGGAGTGGTTAAATTTAAGAAGAACAAATTAGATTGTTGAATATAGTTGAGAGATGGACATTTTTTATTCCACAGCAATTTAAAATTTTAGTTTTTGTTCTTGAAATTAGGTGACTGAATAGTGTACAACATACCTGATGAACAAGACAATAAGATTTTAGTTAGCGTGTTTGAATAACACCGCGTTGTTTGAATTGCAATGAAATTAGCCGTTGCGTGTAGGCAAGGTTTAATGCAGTACTATAACAGGCTGGCTTGCTTACTAATGTGCACTAGTGACAAATGCTCTTTACTCTGTGCTGCTTCCTTACTGCTGTTTTTTACCTTCATTTTCACATGGTGATAACCCTTAAAGACTGTTACATAGTAATGCTAGGTCACATTGTACTTGCTGTGATGAGTGGGCCTTGGTACCCTGGTTTGATTTGTTGCTTTGTGCCTTGAGTTGTGTCTTGCAGGTTAATTGGATAATTTAAGGTGTAATAATGTTGAACTTTTTCTCTTAACACTCTTTTCTCACGTTGAATAATCTGATTCTTGTGCATGCAAGAAATCGTGTAAAAGAATAACCATATTAGTGCTCATTAATATGAACAAATTAATGAACTTGATATCCAGATTCATTTCAAATATCTTTAATGTACAAAGACTGAAGACTCCTTTATCTGTAATTTTTAACGAGTAATTACTGTAGTTAAAATGTCTGGAATAGCTTATTTTAGCAATGTAGCTTAAGTATATTGTTAAAACTTGTATTTATTTGGTTTCTATTTTCAGTATGACAGGTTATTTAGCAATTTAATAGGAACACACAAGGTTAATAATTTTGGCAGTTAAATTGTGATAGCAACATTTTAACAATTAATTCTAGGATATGCTTATACTAACGATTATGCTAATGATTAGCAAATGCTCTTTGTTAAGAGTTTCTACTGTTAACACAGCTCAAGGAATATATTATGTGTATTGATACCATCTCACATGAAACTAGGAAGTCTTAAAAAGTACAATCAATAGTTGTACCTCTTTAGAGGCAACGTTGCTAAGGTGTTACTGTTGTTTGTGTTACGGAACCAAGAATCCATTGTTATTTACGCATTGCATTGTTTAAACGGGAAAGATTTTTGACATCCTAGATAACCAGCTTTAATATCTTGAGACTTTTGCTGTGATATCTTATTCGCAGCTGTAGAAGTTAATTACATTTTCGAGTTTTTGTAAATTTTACATAAGCATTAGCCATCACTAGGCTGAGTCAGCCGGGTCAAGGCTTGACATGTATTGTGTAGTCGTGGTTGTTGTCATAGGTTATTGTCAGGTTAAGATTTCAATATTTCTTTACGAACAATTTTTTCCTATAGGCTTGAAGGAAATTATTCTTATTGGAATCTCTTTGGGTAGAAAATTTGAGGCAGCATTTTCAAATTAGGAGAGGAAAGTAGGAAGTTTAGTGAGTGCATCATATGTTTTATGATAATGGGGTATGGCATGTACACTACGTCACTGTTTACAATAAACACGCTCACCACAACTCTGTATGCTGCGTATTACTAACACCTTATGGTCTCTGCTGCATGCTTTCCTTTGGTGGCTGGCTAACATATTCCTCTACTCAGTGGCTGGTGCTTATATGATACCCAGCATAGAATGTGATTGCTTTGCCAGTCATTGTAAGTGATTATTTCAAACTGAAGTACAGTACAAGAGAAATAGGAATTAATATTTGGATTGTTTTACTGGTATGTTATTAATGCAATAGTATTTGAAGAGGAGCAGGCTGTATTACTGTTCTGAAGTTTATTGTCCAAGGTAAGTGTTATAAATTGTCAATCATTTATTTGGCTTAGAAATTATACATTTTGATAAATATGGTATATGGAGGGAAAGGTACCATGAAACAGTGCCTGCTAAGCTAGAGTTCTCACATAAAGAAGAATAATTACAATGACAGTACTGTAGGTGGGGGAGGGGGGGGGTTCCTCTAAAACAGTGGTTCCCAATCAGCGGGTCATGGACCCCTGTGGAGTCTTTGCGTATTAGGAAATGCAGCCATTCTGAAAAAGGTTGGCAACTACTACCATAAAGAGTAAATAAAAAAAAGTTAAAATTTTGTGCTGGTAGAATTTATTTTAATACCTGTGCAGTACTTATAAATTTTATTTCATTAAATATTAATTTCATTCTGGATACAAGTCATTATGAATTATATTAAAAATTAACAGCTTTTCAATACAGTAGTTGAATATTTTAAAGAATTAATATGCTTAATTACTGAACTTAATTTCGAACTTAATTCTGTAATGCAATCTACATAATGAGGCTTTAGATGTTTGCATTATTATTTAGCTACACAAGCTTTTGGTTGGATAATTTATATAAAAAAATTGTTCAGTTAAAAATAAATAAATGTAGGTATATGCAGTGGACCCTTGCTTGTCTTACTAAGAATCTGTCTATAGACATTTGTTTTTCCCTACGTTTTAACACTTGTGTGTAGTGAGACATCACATTGTCATTAGGGAAGGTTAATGCAACTGCCTGCTGCAGCTTTATCTGGGAGAGTCTTTTCAGCAAATCTTTGCAGTTCTTCCCATGCTGTACACATTTTCTTAATGAGGAAGGGACATCCTCTACTGCCTCTACTCACGACTATTTTCTTAGGTTGAACTTTACCGCAGACTTTTTAGGGGACCCTAAATATAGACAGTATATAAGCAGTAAAATAGGTACCTGGGTGTTAGTCAGCTGTCACGAGCTGCTTCCTGGGGGTGGAGGCCTGGTCGAGGACTGGGCCGTGAGGACACTAAAGCCCCAAAATCATCTCAAGATAACCTCAAGATGACCCATGACATGATATATATAATAAGAACTTTTATGTTCAGAAACCCCAATAAACAGAAAAAATTGAAAATCTTCACAAAGAATTCAAGCGTGGTACAGTAGTCAATAGGCAGGATACACTGGTAAACTGGGGATGCCTTTCCCATTCGCTCGTCGACCCATACATGTATCAACAAACTCAAATCTGAGGCAAACCTCGAATACCGAGTCAAATTTTATGAGGAAATTGACCCCGTGTACTGAAAAATTGATAAAGAGTGGCGTTCATCAACAGACGTTCCACTGTATTTCATGCAAAATTATAAAATTTTATCTAATGCTTTTCTCTGAAAGTAGTTTAGATCGAAGAATTTTTTGATGGACAATTTTATTTGACTTGTACTGTATATTGTGAGTGCATACTTTAAGGAAGTACTGTACTGTATAGGGATATAATGTGGTACAATCACATGTACACTTGAGAGTGTAATACTTAGGACAGAAAAACAAGCAAACATAACACAGTTCGGTACTCTGTGTATATTCATCTATCGATAATATTAGCACGAAAAGTACTGTACTACATTCACAAAATTGTATCTTGTGGTAAATACTCAGTAGGTTGATGAGTTAGGGTAAATATTTAACAAATTTTAGTATGGTACAGGAGTATACAGAACCAGGATGTGAAGTAGTTTTGTGATACGTGTTGTTTTTTTGGACAATAATAATATGGTTTTGTGTTGCTTTTAGAGCAAATGTGCAGGTTACCCTGTTCTATTATACAGGTATATAATATACAGGCCATCATTTGTTAAAATGGTTAAGTACATAATTGCATTGCATGTGTATGTAAGACCAGTCCTAGAATATACAGTCTGAAAGACCAGTCCTAGAATATACAGTCTGTAAGACCAGTTCTGGAATATACAGCACCAGCATGGAGCCCGCACCTTGTGAAACAATAAATGATTGTGAAGATCCAGGGATTTGTCACACGATTGGTATTGGGAATAAGAGCTCATCGATATTGTAATGTGGATAATACAGTAACCTGCACAATCACCCTCTGAGCACAACTTTGTGAACACCCCAGATCAATGTAAAATAACTTAAAAGATTTTTGTAATTTGTTCTGTCTTGTTCACCCGCACACCACCAGGGGACTGCACACCTTCCTCCTCGGTCCCCTATCCTTGACACTTTTGTCATTTTACCATTTTTCATTTGTTAGGCTTCTCATTCCTGCTGCAATGCTCTTGGTGACGGTTCTTCAGAAAAGTGTCGGTCAATTATTTTGTCCTGCAGGGTTCATTTGCTTGTATATTTGTTCTGTATTTTGGCACTTGCTTTGTAATTAACTGTTTATCACAAACTGCATGTGCCTAAGAGTGACCATTTCTAGGTGTTTGCAAGTGTTGCCTGTGCCTGTCAGGATTGCCTTCCCTTATGGGTTCAGGAGGTAATATTGTCCAGCTTCCTGAAGAAAGAGACTCGCCCTTGGCAGTGCATGGGTTTTTGACTCCTCAGCAAGGCCTTGTGGATATTGGCAATTGGAATTTTCATATCACATAGGGTGCTCAAATGGTCATCATATAGCACATCGCTCATGCCCATAACAATCACCACTGCCCCTAGGCTGTTTTCGGCACTTGTGATATTCGGTGATTGGTTCCTGTGTCGAGTGCTTCCTGCTTGGTATCCATCAGGGCCTGAAAAGCCCTCTGCAGTTTATGGGTGGTTCAGTATGGACCTGCCTTCTGATCTGCTCTCACTGAGTATGAGTTAGAAGGCTGTGCCTCAGTTTTGCTGTACAATATTCCAATTTGCTGCCTCCATCATGTTATCTTCTGGTAGAGGATACGTTTCACCCAGATTCCTGCAGTGTGTGTTGTCATTGGGGGTCCACTTTGGCAGATCCTCTCTCTAAGGAGACTGCTTATCAGGGAGCTGCTTATTGGAGGGGGGAGGGGTGAAGTTGATTGACAGTTGGGAGGTCGAAAGAACCAGAGCTCAATCCCCGCAAACACAACTAGGTGAATACAAGAATACATGTTATATTGGGTATTTTTTTCACCTCCCGTTTGCTTATTCTTCTCCTGAGTTGTCCTAGTCTTTGGGCAAGATTTAACTTTTTTTGTCTTCAGTACTTGCTGCTTAGCATTGCTTGCCAGTCAGCAAGACCCAAGGAGTCACCAAGGATTCACCAGAAATAAGACATTTCATTACAAGGAATGCTGTTTTTTCCTCTCTAAACTGTGATTGTGATATGGATGTTGCTATTAGCCCAAGCTAACTTTAAACAGTTAGAATGATGGCAACTTATAACATAATTTATTTGATGCAAATGGTTGTATTGGTTACCGGTGGCTGTTGTATAAGGTCAAGGCCAGTTATTGCTATATGTCTGAGTAAAATACAGTATGCAGGCACTGTTGCTGAAAGGTTCATCTCTCAACTAATGACATACTGTATCAGGAAACACAATTAAATTAATAGTTAATTTGTTAAATCTTGCAGGTAGTTCGTGTTACATTGGGTTCAAAATAAATAAATATACACTATGAATGTATATATGTATATATATAGCTACACATTGTATGCATATTTTTAATAGACATTCATAAGAGTTAAAGGGGTTCCCTTTAGAAGATTTTTTTGTCCACATTTCTTGTATCCAAATAATATATTTATTGTAATTAAAGGTTACATTACCTATAGGCCATTACAAATCCTATTCAAGATAGCAGCTACAGATATCAAAGATGTGACTGCCAAAAGTTTATATTTTTTTTATTCAGTATACTGCAGTTGTAATGATACACTTAGTAGCGTACAGTGCAGTACATGGTTTCCTTAGGGCACCGAGCCATTCTTCTGCAAAGCCTTTTGCACTGTCCCTCGGACGTATTAAATCTTTGTAGGTATAAGAATTTATGCTTGCTACTTTTAATTCACATTGTGTTTAGTGTAAATATACAGGACAAAATAATTTTACAGTATGTTAAGCACATGTAGATATGTATTGTGTTTACTGCCATAGTGCAAGCTTTATAAAGTGATAGGACCTAAGAAAAATGAAGACAACATTAAAATATGCTGATATTCCCTTTTTTACCTACATACACATGTATGTGTGTGCATTTTCTCTTTCTCACACTCGCACATTCAACCACACGCCCTTACTGTCATTCTCTCACAACCACACACCCTTGCTCTCACTCATTCCCTTTCAACTGCACACCCTTACTCGCTCACATTCCTCCCTTTTGCTTTCCCTTCCCCTGCATACATTCTTGTATATTTACACAGGAACATACTGTCTTTTCTTTTGCTATGATTTTAGAATAGTACATAACCCTGAGTAATATACAGAATTTGAAGTAAGATAATGTATGTGCGTGTGCATGCATGCATGCAAATGTGTGCACACTGTTGTGTACATACTGTAATGCATACACAAATAATGACCAAACCACACGTCAGGACTGAAACGTCATTGTTTCTTCACCTTCTGATGTGTGGTTTGGTCATGTCTCTTCTGCATTCACAAATGCTGCTAGTGTGCATGGACAAAAATGAAGCACTTGTGTGTATGTATGCACAAACATTTGCAAAGATATATTTGTTTAGTGTCCTTTGTAAGGTGCATCATTTTTATATTCTTAACGCATCATATTTTGAGGATTTCGTACTGTAATACAAAAATAATTTTGCATGTAAAAATGATTTGAGATTTATTGTCTGCTGCATATGATGCAAATGTATTGACATGTTATGTTTTGCAAAATTGTTATTTAATAGCAAAGGTATTTATAGTTGATACACTATATCATAATAAAAATACAGATTTTCTTTTGTTTGTTGGTAAGCTAGAATATTCCTGAGTTTCAAGCAAATGTTCTCATGTCATAGATTACTTTTTCTGGTATAAATTTTTAATAGTGAAACTAATGAATGTGTTTATCATGCATTCAGTTAACAGAAAGCTGGTGAGTTGGCCAGAACATCTTATATGTCTAGAATCTACAGCTGGTGAGTGGGTCAGGGTACTTTATATGTGCCGAAGACTATGCTACTAAAAATATTACTAGCAGCATTTCCTGGGGAGGTTCAGAAACTGGGCGTAGAATAAATCCAAAATTAGATAAACTGGTAATTCAAAAATGATTAATTGTATCAAACATATCAAACATGTTAACGGCATTTTTGTGTTAAATGGAGTAATACTCTTTTTAAATATTTACTGAACAATTTTGTTAAGCCATATTAGGACAACAGCAAACTCTTAGAAAAAAGGATTCAATGTGTATATTATTATTTTTCAGAGTTGCAAAGTAAAAGTTGAATGTTTACCTGATGACATGTGGAGTTTGAGAATTCTCCTTCCAATGTGTGTGCAGCTTAAATTTCATATTTCCACATAGTATACTACAGAGGGTACCCAGCATTGCCATGTCTGCCTGTCTCTTCCTCCTCCCTCTCTCTCACTCTCTCTCTCTCTACCCATATGTATTTGTCTATCTCTAGTTCTTTCTCTGGCTATCTCCAAATACTCCACTTTCCCTCTTCTTTCCATCCCTCTCCGCTTTCCCACTCCTTTCCATCCCTCTCCGCTTTCCCCCCACTTTTTGTCTCTTGTAGATATGGAAGTGTAGGGCCTTTTGTTTTGTGCACAATTGTCAAATGTGGCCGAGCTTTTGGAATCCTGGATGCAAATTAAAAGGATTGTATGTTTCAACTCTGACTTAGATACCAATCTAAAGTTATGGAATTAAAGACAAATGTCCTCCTTTTTTTTATTGTTTGGGTGGATATGCAGTTAGCCCAAGCTTTTGTCAGATTGTTGGGGTGGACATAAATATAACTTTTATTATTATTATTATTATTGTTGTTGGGTTAGACAAATAAGCCAATGTTTGGTGGAAGGCCTTGTGGCACCATGAAGCTATCACTGACAGTGTATCATCTACTAGGTCACATCAGCCGGGAAGTTCTATAGGCCTACCTGAGACCAGCATCAGAATCTGGCCCTCCTCACAGAGGTGCAGGGAGTCGTGACATTTATGGACGGCAACCAGAAAGTCAGCGAGACTAAGCAAACCACTACTGGCTTCAAATGAGACCGCAGCCTCGAGAACGACTAAAAGAACTCTCCTAGCAATGTAAACAAACGATTGGAATCTCTTAAAACTAGCAAAATATTAGTTCATGTACACTTGGGATACACTACAATATACTAGTACCAACTTAACCTCATACTAATAACGTAGCTGGAAAATGAACATATTACCTGTAATTGTAGGTATGACAGCAGAAGTGGATCAGACATGTTGACAATATGGTGAGTGCTGGACCCCCACACTCCCCAACAAAGCAGATATGCATCTGTATAAAGTTAATCTACACTAAAAATTTAAATGCTGACACCTCCGTTTAAACTTTGACAGAGTACTGTATTGCATTTGATAGCAAACTGTTATATAGAATTTTGTTTTGTCAAAATAACATTCCAAATGTGTGGTGTGTAAAAAAAAAAAATGTATTGTACACAATTCTGTTATGTCATGGGCGATAACTATATTGGCATTCACTATCAAATTTGAATGTATTCAAGCATTTTTGGTGCTATTTTTATTGTATGCATTATTTGTATTTCAGTAATATTATAGAATGATATTTAATATGTTAGGAAGTATATCACTTACCAAAAAAGCAGTAGGTTTAGTTGGTCGCTTGCAACCAACTGTGCCCATTTGGTGATGGATACAAGTATATCATACTAAAATAAACACTTGTAGTATTAAGTACACAAAATACTATATAATTTAGGTATCCCTCTTCGCCATAAAAATGCAAATATGGACAGTGAAAATGCGCAAACATTGGCATCAGCTGTAGATACTCAAATGCCTGCGAGTCAATAGTCGTATTATGATGACCCACGATCAGGTTCATCTGACGTCTTCCATAGTGTGTGTATTCTAGATGTGGGAAAAACACCAGGTTTGCTCTAAAGTTTGAATGTGTTTAACTTTCATTATATGTTTCAAAATGACATGTAGTAGGGAAAGGGAATGTAGCATTTATATTAAGCGTAATATAATTGCTCCAAATTCTCAGCAATTGCAGTGCACATAATTAGATGTGCTTGTTTATTCCACATAACCTATCCCTTAGAATTCCACATTCCAAGAAGTTCTACACTAATCCTATATACACTAATTACAATTAGATATTACATTCTATGCATATATACGAAGTTAAACCAAAACAAAATCGCTACGGGACAGTCAGGAAGAGCATTGACAAACTAAAAGACTCAAAAGCCCCAGGCATGGATGGATTTCAATTCAAAGTCATAAAGGAACTGGCAAATGCACTATGCATACCACTGAAACTTTTTTTTCATGAAATCCCTGGACCAAGGGATAGTTCCCCTGGATTGGAAATTTGCAAATGTTACCCCTATTTTCGAAAAAGGCAGAAAGAGCTCTGCCGAAAACTACCGGCCCATCAGCTTGACATCACACATCTGCAAGCTCACGGAGAGAATCCTAAGGGAGGAAATCATACATCACCTCACAGGAACAATCTTATAAAAGCAACGCAACATGGGTTTGTTATCAGAGATTACGCCGCTTCTGTGCCAGGTAAGTCCACTATGGGCTCACCATAGCCTATGGTACTTGCCCCGCTCCTGTGCCAGGTAAGTTACAGGCTCACCATAGCCCGTGCTACTTGGAACTTGTTCCGAGTAGCTGAATCTATAACAACAAACAAGGGTTTGTTAATAATAGATCCTGCCTCACTAACCTGCTCACATTTCTGGAAGCGGTAACCGGCTATTCAGACAAAGGCCTTCCGGTAGATGCATCTTACATGGACTTTGCTAAAGCTTTTGACAAGTTACCACATGAGAGACTGGCAAGGAAATTGCAGGCACATGGAATAAATGGGAGAATACTGAAATGGTTAAAACATAGAAAACAAATGGTCGTGCTAAATGGGAATGAATCTGACTGGGAAAATGTGCTAAGTGAGGTGCCACAGGGGTCCATTTTGGGGCCAACCCTTTTTGTCTTGCACATCAATGACATTGATGAGAATATTGCAAACCACATAATCAAATTTGCAGATGACACTGAGATCTATGGTAAAGTGGGAAGTGAGTCTTATTGAGACCTTACAAAGAGATTTGCATGAACTTCACAAATGGTCAGATGACTGGCAAATGGTCTTTAAATGTCGATAAATGCAAGACCATGCATGTGGGGCATAACAATCTACGTCACAACTACCAAATTGATAGCACTATCTTACAACAGATAGATGAAGAAAAGGACCTTGGAGTCAGAATCCATCATTCACTAAAAATTGCACAACAAGCAGGAGCGGCAGTAAAAAAGCGAATAATCAAGCCTTTACCTTCAAGGAAAAGAAAGTTGTTGTTCAACTGTGTAAGTCTCTGGTGCGCCCCCACCTGGATTATTGCATCCTGGCATGGAGACCTCATCTTCAGGACATATCTGCTCTGGAGAAGGTGCATCACCGGGCAACAAAAGTCATACCGGAGCTTAGTCATCTCTCGTATCAGGAACGGTTGAGGGCCGCTGGACTAACACCACTACAAACAAGGCATGACAGGGCGGATCTCGTCGAAACCTTTAAAAATACTGAACTGTTTGGAGGACGTAGATTCGAAACCTTTAAAAATACTGAACTGTTTGGAGGACGTAGATTCGAAACCTTTAAAAATACTGAACTGTTTGGAGGACGTAGATCCGGACAATTTCTTCAAAATGTCAGATGTAACACGAACGAGGAGCAACGGGTTCAGGCTCATCAAGCCACAATATAGGACAGAAAACAGGAGATGCTTTTTCGCCCACAGGGTTGTAAGCCCGTGGAACCGCCTACTCGCCAAAGCCAAAAACGCTAAAACTGCTGTTTTAAAATACAGCTGGAAAAGGTCATCAGGGCAGATGGAGGGGGATCTTTGACAAGCCGCCGGCTTCCTGTCCTCATTGAGGCCACTAGTGGTGGTGGTTCTTAGGTAAATACCTCTTCCCAAGGGTGCAGGAGCAATCAGCCCTGAGACAGGTAACATGCAAACACGTAGGTTGGTTTGGCAAAGTGGGGAGAAGCTTGTAACATTAGCACCAAGAACGGAAGCGTCGTCCCAGTTACAACCCCACTCCAGTAAGTCCACTACGGGCTCACCATAGCCCGTGCTACTTGCAACTTTTAGTTCCGAATTATTGAATCTAAAACAACAACAAGAGACAAGAGCGTGGTCAGACAGTCTAAGCTGAACAGTGGTTCAGTTACAGAGGCTCTAGAGACACACCTGGGATCTTCAGCACCATCGGCATGCACCAACAACAATGTAGAACACTCATACAGTCCAGTTCCTACTCTCATAAGCCTTGTTACAGAGCAGACAGCCGGATGCTGGCCGTATCCGAGCATCCAGCTCTCGTCCGGCATTCCGGCTCATCGACCTCGTCTGCGTCTGGGCTCTAATCTCTCACCATGTCTGAGAGCATAGAGCGTGGTTCCAGAGCCACGGCTCTAAGATCTCTTAGAGCCATAATATTAGTAGTCATTTTAGGTAGAATTAATTGAACTAAACTAAGTAATTCTGCCTAACTAAAATTTTCCCATCTAGGATATTGTCTTGAGTTCTGCCGTCTAGTACTGTAACTCTGGGAGGGTGAACAGCGAGGTTCCAACTTGCTTCTAGGATCGAGAAAATGAAGAACAATAAGATGGATGAAGAGCTTGATTTCTTCTCTCGCAAACGGACTCGACCCAAAATATTCGCTCCAGTTAAACGGAAGAGGCCAGACTACTAACAGGAGAGCGTTAGTACTGAGGGCAGCACCAGCTTTGTCAAGTCTAGCACCAGCTGTGATGTGTCCAGCACCAGCTGTGATGTGTCCAGCACCAGCTTTGTCAAGTCTAGCACCAGCTGTGATGTGTCCAGCACCAGCTGTGTCAAGTCCAGCAGCTGCTTTGTCGAGTCCAGCATCAGCTGTGATGTGTCCAGCACCAGCTGTGACCAGCCCAGCACCAACTGTGACCAGCCCAACACCAGCTGTGACCAGACGCAGCACCAGCTGTGACCAGACCAGCACCAGCTGTGACGAGTCCAGCACCAGATGTGACGAGTCCAGCGCCAGCTGTGACCAGCCCAGCACCAACTGTGACCAGCCCAGCACCAGCTGTGATCAGACCAGCACTAGCTGTGACGAGTCCAGCAGCAGCTGTGACGAGTCTAGCAGCAGCTGTGACGAGTCCAGCACCAGCTGTGACCAGTCCAGCACCAGCTGTGACGAGTCCAGCACCAGCTGTGACGAGTCCAGCACCAGCTATGACGAGTCCAGCACCAGCTGTGGCGAGTCCAGCACCAGCTGTGACCAGCCCAGCACCAGCTGTGATCTGTCCAGCACCAGCCGTGATCAGTCTAGCACCAGCTGTGACCAGCCCAGCACCAACCGTGACCAGCCCAGCACCAGCCGTGACCAGTCCAGCACCAGCCGTGACCAGACCAGCACCAGCCGTGACCAGTCCAGCACCAGCTGTGACCAGCCCAGCACCAGCCGTGACCAGTCCAGCACCAGCTGTAACCAGCCCAGCACCGACTATGACTCGCCGACAAAGCGAGTCAGACTGGTAGCTCAGCAGGAAAAGTCTACTCCCTCAGAGGAGGTAGATCAAGTGAAGACTAAGGGCGCAGTAGGGCGGGCTCTCTCCAAGGCTAAGAGAGTGTTAAAGACTGTGAACAAACTTTACAGAGAAGAGAAAAAAGCCCAGGCTAAGGAAGCACGGAGACTGGAAATAGAGGAGGAAAAAGCCAAGGAAGCACGCAGACTGGAAAAAGAAAAGGAAAAAGCCCAGATGAAGGAGGAGCGGAGGTTGAAGAAAATATAGGAAAAAGTACAGATAAAGAGAGCACAGAGGCTTCAGAGAGAGTTCTGCAAGGAATGGGTCTTGTGGGTGGGCCCCATCGAATACCCTTATCCCTTCTGTAAGGAGGGCTGAGCTTCTTTCCAAGTCTCTAGCGATAGTTAATTTTTTCTTAAAAAGTAAAAAAAGTAAAAAAAAGTGTGTGTGTGTGTGTGTGTGTGTTATATAGTCTGATCTACAGGGTTCAGTTCTCAGTCTCCACCTTCCCCCCCCCCCCGTCCCATCCTAAACCCTTATCCTGACCCCTTACCAGTGCTATATAGTCGTAATGGCTTGGCGCTTTCCCCCCTGATTACCCTCTCCCTCCCCCCTTCCCCCCCTCGACCAAAAAAAAATATATATATATATTATTCCATCTCCCAGGAGCGAATTCACTCTAAAATTAAGTGCTTCCAGCTACTGTTTTCTCGTGCGTACAAAAATGGACTTTTGCTGCCCAGAAATATTGAGGTGTTACACTTTGTTGTGTAGACTGCATGACAAAGAGGTCGAACCCCCAGACTTAAACATTCCTAGACCTACTGCAGCACAGATTTACCTCTTTGTCTTGAGGATTTTATCGAGCTTGATTTTAATTTCCTCCCTTCCCTCATGACATTTGCAGGGTGAAGTCTGGATTACTGGTAGAGTGCTTCAGGGTGAGGGGTAGATTACTGGTAGAGTGCTTCAGGGTGAGGGGTGGATTACTGGTAGAGTGCTTCAGGGTGAGGGGTGGATTACTGGTAGAGTGTGTCAGGGTGAGGGATGGATTACTGGTGAGTGTGTCAGGGTGAGGGATGGATTACTGGTAGAGTGTGTCAGGGTGAGGGGTGGATTACTGGTAGAGTGCTTCAGGGTGAGGGGTGGATTACTGGTAGAGTGTGTCAGGGTGAGGGATGGATTACTGGTAGTGTGTGTCAGGGTGAGGGGTGGATTACTGGTGATAGTGTGTTAGGGTGAGGGATGGATTACTGGTGATAGTGTGTCAGGGTGAGGGGTGGATTACTGGTAGAGTGCTTCAGGGTGAGGGGTGGATTACTGGTGATAGTGTGTCAGGGTGAGGGGTGGATTACTGGTGATAGTGTGTCAGGGTGAGGGGTGGATTACTGGTAGAGTGCTTCAGGGTGAGGGGTAGATTACTGGTGATAGTGTGTCAGGGTGAGGGATCGCTATCCACTAGTGGATAGCGTGTTAGGGTGTGGGATGGATCACTGGTGGATAGCATGTTAAGGTGATGAATTATATAATAACTTGCTATATAAACTTTTGGAACACTGTAGATTTCGTCAAGAAAATAGTTTTAAACTTTAAATGTGGAGTTTAATTCTACAACGTATGGCAACAGGGAATAACAGCGTTTTAAAGTAGTTTTATTATTGCATGTGTGGCTACCATAGGTCTTAACTCCGCCCTCTCTCTCTTTTAAGCCATCATGGCAAACATAAATATATATGCTGTTATATTTCTTGCATGCGATAAAGTGTATTTACACAGAGTTTATGCAATTTATTTAGAATAAAGTTATATATAAACAAACTATAACGTTTGTGAGTGACTTTGATGGCAACATTTAGAACGCCTTCCCCTTTGTGTTCTGCTCATCCTGAGGACGTGATTGGCTGTGGTTAGCGGCTGGGCGGGGCTTAATCGGTGACGTCAGCCCGAGGGGAGCTTTGTGGTTTTACGTGGACATTTATTTTAGCGAAAGTAACATACCGTTGTGGAATATTTGACCGAGTAGTGCTTGCAACATTTTGAGCAAGTGTAGTTTTATAGCGTGTGTGTGCGTGTATATACCCTGGCTAAACATGCGAATATATAAATATGTGAGAGCTTTGAATTTTGGCGTAATGTGGCCAACTTTGTGTCCGGACAAACTGAAACATTTCAAATATGTCACGGAAATCTGGCCTCAAGACGAGACAGATTTATGGAGCAGCTTCAGAACTGTCTCAGTGAAAATTAGCAAGCGGTGGTGAGGAAGATTGACTAGGGATTGGTGGCGGGGCGCCGGAGGCACACTACCAATCCCTGCTCAGTGTGTGAAGTGCCGTCCAATCATCCATGGGATTATGAGTACGCCAATCAAATTACAGAAGAAAACAAAAATATAAATACCATGACATTTTTGAAAATGTAAATGTCGTCCACCCCAAAATAATTAATCAATTTATTGTTTCGGGAAATTAGTCAATGACCCGGGAAGTTGTTGAACCTTCAGTGGTATAGAGAATTTGATTAATTCTTTAATCAATTTGTTTAATGATTAATTGGTTATTAACTCTATACAGAAGAACTCTATAGAGAAGAGCTCTATACAGAAGAACTTACAGAAATGATCTACACGTTAATGCTCATGTATGATCCTCTATAGTCTATACAATAAATCTATACATGTACCTTCCCATGCTATTATTACACAAAATTACATATCAAATATAGCCTCATGGCTAACATTGGTGCCCCATGGCTGTAATTGACGCATCATGGCTGACACCGGCGGTTCAGGACTGACACCGGCGCCTCTTGGGTGACACCAGCGGCTTAGGGCTGACACCGGCGCCTCTGGGCTGACTCCGGCACCTCAGAGCTGACACCGGCGCCTCTGGGTGGACACCGGCATCTCAGAGCTGACACCGGCACCTCAGAGCTGCCATCGGCACCTCAGAGCTGCCATCGGCGCGTCAGGGCTGACACCGGCGCCTCAGGGCTGACACCGGAGCCTCAGGGCTGACACCAGCGCCTCAGTGGTGACACCAGCGCCTCAGGGCTGACACCGGAGCCTCAGGGCTGACGCCGACGCTTCAGGGCTGACACCGGAGCCTCAGTCGTGACACCAGCGCCTCAGTCGTGACACCAGCGCCTCAGGGCTGACACCAGCGCCTCAGGGCTGACACCGGCGCCTCAGGGCTGACACCGGCGCCTCAGGGCTGACACCGGCGCCTCAGGGCTGACACCGGCGCCTCAGGGCTGACACCGGCGCCTCAGTGGTGACACCGGCGGCTCAGAGCTGACACCGGCGCCTCAAGGCTGACACCGGAGCCTCAAGGCTGACACCGGAGCCTCAAGGCTGACACCGGCGCCTCAGGGCTGACACCGGAGCCTCAGGGCTGACTACGGCGCTTCAGGGCTAACACCGGAGCCTCCGGACTGACACCAGAGTCTCAGGGCTGACACCAGCGCCTCAGGGCTGACACCAGCACCTCTGGGCTGACTCCGGCGCCTCTGGGCTGACTCCGGCGCCTCTGGGCTGACTCCGGCGCCTCTGGGCTGACTCCGGCGCCTCTGGGCTGACTCCGGCGCCTCTGGGCTGACTCCGGCGCCTCTGGGCTGACTCCGGCGCCTCTGGGCTGACTCCGGCGCCTCTGGGCTGACTCCGGCGCCTCTGGGCTGACTCCGGCGCCTCTGGGCTGACTCCGGCGCCTCTGGGCTGACTCCGGCGCCTCTGGGCTGACTCCGGCGCCTCTGGGCTGACTCCGGCGCCTCTGGGCTGACTCCGGCGCCTCTGGGCTGACTCCGGCGCCTCTGGGCTGACTCCGGCGCCTCTGGGCTGACTCCGGCGCCTCTGGGCTGACTCCGGCGCCTCTGGGCTGACTCCGGCGCCTCTGGGCTGACTCCGGCGCCTCTGGGCTGACTCCGGCGCCTCTGGGCTGACTCCGGCGCCTCTGGGCTGACTCCGGCGCCTCTGGGCTGACTCCGGCGCCTCTGGGCTGACTCCGGCGCCTCTGGGCTGACTCCGGCGCCTCTGGGCTGACTCCGCGCCTCTGGGCTGACTCCGGCGCCTCTGGGCTGACTCCGGCGCCTCTGGGCTGACTCCGGCGCCTCTGGGCTGACTCCGGCGCCTCTGGGCTGACTCCGGCGCCTCTGGGCTGACTCCGGCGCCTCTGGGCTGACTCCGGCGCCTCTGGGCTGACCCGGCGCCTCTGGGCTGACTCCGGCGCCTCTGGGCTGACTCCGGCGCCTCTGGGAACGCCTCTGGGCTGACTCCGGCGCCTCTGGGCTGACTCCGGCGCCTCTGGGCTGACTCCGGCGCCTCTGGGCTGACACCGGCGCCTCTGGGCTGACTCCGGCGCCTCTGGGCTGACTCCGGCGCCTCTGGGCTGACTCCGGCGCCTCTGGGCTGACTCCGGCGCCTCTGGGCTGACTCCGGCGCCTCTGGGCTGACACCGGCGCCTCTGGGCTGACACCGGCGCCTCTGGGCTGACTCCGGCGCCTCTGGGCTGACTCCGGCGCCTCTGGGCTGACTCCGGCGCCTCTGGGCTGACACCGGCACCTCTGGGGTGACTAAGGCGCCTCTGGGCTGACACTGACGTCTCTGGGCTGACACCAGCGCCTCTGGGCTGACACCGGCGCCTCTGGGCTGACACCGGCGCCTCTGGGCTGACTCCGGCGCCTCTGGGCTGACACCAGCGCCTCAGGGCTGACACCGGCGCCTCTGGGCTGACTCCGGCGCCTGTGGGCTGACACCGGCGCCTCAGGGCTGACACCGGCGCCTCAGGGCTTACACCAGAGCCTCAGGGCTGACACCAGAGCCTCTGGACTGACACCAGCGCCTCAGGGCTGACACCGGCGCCTCTGGGCTGACTCCGGCGCCTTTGGGCTGACACCGGCGCCTCAGGGCTGACACCGGCGCCTCAGGGCTTACACCAGAGCCTCAGGGCTGACACCAGAGCCTCAGGGCTGACACCAGCGCCTCAGGGTTGGCACCAGCGCCTCAGGGTTGGCACCAGCGCCTCTGGGCTGACACCGGCGCCTCAGGGCTGACACCAGAGCCTCAGGGCCGATACCAGCGCCTCAGGGCTGACACCGGCGCCCTCGGAGTTGAGCGCTGAGACCGTCAGGCTAATTACAATGATGACAGTATAATTATTATGGTGTCAGTATTAACATAGTTGTGCCAGTGTAATTATTATGGTGTCATTATAATTATTATCGCGTTAGTATAATTATTATGGTGTCAGTTTAGTTTCATTGTAATTGTACTCACATCTGGATAATTATTATAGTGCCTGAATGTTATTATAATGTTAGTATAATTATTATAATGTTAGTATAATTATTATGATGTCCGTATAATTATAATGATGTCAGTATAATTATAATGATGTCATTGTAATTATTATGTTAATATAATTATTATGGTGTCAAAATAATTAATAGTGTCAGTATAATTATTATTGTGTCAGTATAATTATTATATGGTGTCAGTATCATTATTATATGGTGTCAGTATCATTATTATATGGTGTCAGAATAATGTTGTCAGTGTACTTTATTCAGCCCATCCTGCTAAAGTGAGAGTACTCACAGTGTAGCTGTGTCGCTCAGTATTAATAAAGACGTGATGAACCATAGGAAAATATACTTCTTTATTTCTAAGTTTGTACAAGCCTTAGGAACATTTTAATATATTTATATATCTAATAATCCCTACCCCTAACCAGCTTAGGCCTAATACCCGCTCATGCGAGGCCTAATATACCCCGTATATGGGCTGTAATAAGCCTAAGAATACTAGGCTTAAGAATACTAGGCCTAAATAATACTAGGCTTTGGAATATCTAAGTTTAGTTTTAGCTTCGTATTTTCTGAATTCTAGAACATAAGTTGAAATATTATGGTGTCAGTGTAGTGGTAAACGGTAGCTGCGATTAAGGATTGGCGCCTAGTCAATCCTCCTAAGGCCAGGATACGAACCCAGGGGCCAAAGCGCTTTTGAAACGACTAGCGAGTGTCTTACCACTACGCCACGGGGGACTACCAGTATTATTGTGTTATAATTTTTTTTTGCGTCAGTGTAATTGAGAAAGTTCATAATTATACTGAGGTCAGTATGATTATTACGGTGTTAGTGTAGTAATTATGGCTCGTATGATTATTATGGTGTCAGTATAATTATTATGGTGCCGTCATAATTATGTCAGTATAATTTATACTGTATTATTATAATTGTATTATAGTGTCAGTATATTTAATATTGTGTCAGTATAACTGTTATGCTGTCAGTATAATTATTATTGTGTTAGTATTATTGGTACGGTATCAGTATAATTGTTTTGGTGTCAGTATAATTCTTATTATGTCAGTATAATTATTATGGTGTCTATATAATTATTATGGTGTCAGTGTAATTATCATATCGTCAGTGTACTCATTATTGTCTAATTTACAATAATAATTGTGCCAGTATAATTATTATTATTGTGTCTGTATAAAATGCTGTTATTTTTTTTGGTGGACAATAACGAGTATAGTTTAGGTAGCACTTATAGCAACGATGAGGACCATTGTATATGTATATAGGACCCTTGTATACATATAGGACCATTGTATATGTATATAGGACCATTGTATACATATAGGACCATTGTATATGTATATGGGACCATTGTATACATATAGGACCATTGTATATGTATATGAACGTTAAAGACAATTAGAAAGTAGAAATCGGTACTTTTGAGTTTGGACAAAACGGAAATAATTTTTGGACTGATGCTGCACAGAAAAGTTAACCCTAATGTATCTTTCGTAGGCCTAATACACGTTATCTGAGGCCTAATAATGTACATATATGTGTGTGCTATGTGTGTGTACATATATGTGTGTGTGTGTGCTATATATGTGTGTGTGTGTGCTATATATGTGTGTATACATATATGTGTGTGCTATATATGTGTGTGTGTGTGCTATATATGTGTGTATACATATATGTGTGTGCTATATATGTATGTGTGTGTGTGTGCTATATGTGTGTGTGTGTGCTCTATATGTGTGTGTACACATATGTGTGTGCTATACAAGGCCTAGGAGTATTCAAGCTTGGTTTGTAGTATTTTTTTTTTTGTTAGTTATAATTTCGTATACTTATAATAGTTAAATATAGTTATATTAGTTAGATAAATACTATCTAAAGAGGAGGATGGGTGTTGACCAGACCACACACTAGAAATTGAAGGGACGACGACGTTTCGGACGACTTGAGAATGGTCCAGGACGGACCGAAACGTCGTCGTCCCTTCAATTTCTAGTGTGTGGTCTGGTCAACATACTTCAGCCACGTTATTGTGACTCATCGCCTGCAGGAGGATGGGTTGTACGCTGACATACTTACACTTACATACTTACGGCGATCCACTGAATGCGAACACACTTGCGATGATGCATTTACTCGGACACACACACTTACGCTGTTATACTTATCCGGTCGGACTTATCCGGTCACACTTACGATGTGTCTCAGACACACTTACGCTGACAGAATTCCTGCAAATACTTACGCTGACACACTAGAGGCACACATATAGTGACTCACTTACCTGGATATACTTAGTTGACACACTTCCCCGGACACACTTACCCGAAAATGGCTGCTGGCGCCGCTAACAGCGCACGACGCACTCAAGATTTCCTCTTTGAAAAACATGATTTCGAGCAACCAGCGGCTCAAGTGGTCACCATCTTGCAAGAAAGACCACACCAGTCCTCCAAGACTCAGACCACGTCTTGCTTGCAGGGGGGGGCAGTGCCGCGTTCGTCTGCAAGTCACAGATAAACTCAGTTTTAGACCATTTGCGGTCCAGCTGACTAGCATCAGTACACGAACATAAAGCTATGGTTCGAAATTATATTTCACCATGGATGATATGTGAAGCGGCACATGCCTTCAGTACACTTCTCGCTCTGCTGTTTAACGAGGCAGTTGAGAAGGCTGTTTTACTCAGCTGATGGAAATTGGCGAGCGTCGTGCTAGCGTTAAGATAGGAGATAAGAGAGGAGGCACTAAACTACACACCAGCTTCACTAACAAGCATCCCTCTGCAAGGTGCTTGTAAGGATAATAAGGATAAAACTAGTTAAACCCCTGGACTGGATCAGATCTGTTAAACAGAAGCACCAACATGGCTTCAGCGAAATGAAATCGGGCCTAACGAATCTACCGGAGTTCGATGACCAGATAACAACAATAAAATAACACAGCGACGATTGGGCAGATTGTGTATTTCTGGACTGCCCAAAATATCTTTGATACAGTTCAACACAGCAGACTGCTACATGAACTTAACAGGCCAGCAGGGGTAAGTCAAAGGGCATGGAATAAGAGGATACCTAACAGACAAGAGACAGATAATCACAGTGAGGGGCAGAAGACGGACTGACGTAGAGTAACAAGCGGAATACCTTAGGGATCGGTGTTGGGACCCATACTATTTCTTATTTATGTTAATGACGTAGTCACAGGAGTCGAATCCTATATGTCGCTGTTTGAAGATGATGCAAAGTTAATGTGTGTGTAAATCACGAAAATTAACACGTAATGAAAAATGTGACAGTGTCAGACCACGGAGGAAGAATTGAAACAGGAGTTTCCTTAAGTACTTTCGTATTTAATAATACATCTTCATCTTTAATAATAGATCCTTCTGAAGATGTAATATTAAATACGAAAGTACTTAAGGAAATTCCTGTTTCAATTCTTCCTTCATAATCTGACACTGTCACATTTTTCATCACGTGTTAATTTTCGTGATTTACACACACACACTATTATATATATATGTATATATGTATATATGTATGTATGTATGTATATATATATATATATATATATATATATATATATATATATATATATATATATATATATCGTGGGTAGTAACATCGCACTCACTTGGATCACCAAAGCCTCGAACTGGAGCCAGAAAAATACGAGTAGACACGACACAGGTCGTAACCCACGTGAATACAACTCTGCAAATGATCATATCTGAGGGATGACGTCAGGGGTTTGGGGCTGCCCAAGAAAAACCCCATAAATGATGACTATCTCACGAAGGCACCAGATATACCCACCAATCATACGGCTTCAGGCGGAAAATAAAATATATAATTTGGTTTTTGAGGCGTAGAGATTAGCGAGTATTTCTCCTCTAGTAGACATGTAAAATATGTTGCAATAAATGCGCTAGGAAATTTAGGTGTCTATGGTGGGGTCGCTTATAACACTTCACAACCCCATAACTTAGATCTCTCACAGAAAACTCAACATTAATTCGGGATAACTTTCTTATTTACAGCTGATCGTTAAACTCTTAAGAGGATACTTAGATGCGCTCTCCCTCCTCTCTTCAACACAGAAGAGAATGTGGCCCATGTATTTATTAATGGTCCACAAACTTGCATCGTTGAATAGATTTAAATGTTGTCTTTAATAATTCTTGCGAGAACAAAGGTTGATAGATATAAAAGGTCACCAGATACTGCATGCAATTGTCTATCACGAAGGTCACAAGAGCTGTAAAGGTGAATATTGGTAAAAAGTTACACACACAAAAATGCGTAACGAGTGAACACGGCAGGAATATGACGCACAGAATATACGCAGGAGAGACTATGGTCCCTCGATTGACTGCTACAATATATCATAAATATCCTCATTCAAATTATTGGCACACTACAAGTCCTCTCTCTGTATCTATCTCTCTCATCCTTTCCCTATTTTTTTTTTACTAAGATTAGAGTTCATTAGGAAAGAAAACAGACCTACCCTGCTTTCTGGGGGTGGAGGCCTGGTCGAGGACCGGGCCGCGGGGACACTAAAGCCCCGAAATCATCTCAAGATAACCTCAAGAAGATACCCTAAATATGGGAGTAACGACTTGGACATCTTGCCTACGCTCAGACCCAGACCACACCATACAGCACCTTGCCTACGCTCAGACCCAGACCTCACCATACAGCTCTGGATAACATCATGTTTACCAAGTTCTCCCCCACCCACCACCTTACCCAGTGTTTGATTATTATCCATCCCCATTATTCCCCCTATTTCTTCACCAATGTGTAATTACTTCACCTTACTCCCCCCCCCCACCCACAGAACTTCACCTCTTTCACATGTGCATTTAAGATAAGTTTGTGCCTTATGTATTCATCCTTCTATAATCATTAGAGTTTCTTTATCATGTATTTCGGTAACTTGATTGCTCTGCTTAATCCCGGGAGTAAGAAAATAGTTAGAAGCATAGAGAGCTTATACTTTAAGATAGCATAGAGAGCTTATACTTTATATATATATATATATATATATATATATATATATATATATATATATATATATATATATATATATATATAGTAAATTTTGGTAACAGTCTTTCTTGTAAATATATGTTGTTGAATATGACTGAAAAGGTAAGATTAATAATTCTAACACGACTTTTCTCAATATTTCTTATGTTTTTCTTCATTGTCTGTGGTAATAAAAATATCAAGTCTCCAAAATTCATTTTTGTCTCACGCCTGAACGCGTTTCGTAATGCTTATTACATTATAATTATTATAATAGATAGAAAATGTAATAAGCATTACGAAATGCGTTCAGGCGTCAGACAATTACAAAATGAATTTTGGAGAATTTATATTTTTATTACCACCGACAGTGAAGAAAAACATAAGAAATATTGAGAAAATTTGTGTTAGAATTATTAATTTTACCTGTTCGGTCATATTCAACAACATATGTGTACAAGAAAGACTGTTACCAAAATATACTAATATATATTATATATATATATATATATATATATATATATATATATATATATATATCTTCAGAAGGATGGATTTACAGTTCAGTGGTGTGGATATATAGGCAAGAATGAGATGAGAAACCAATGTCTTTAATGAGATAGGGGGGGATATTAATAAGGTATTATTGAAATAAATATGTATCAAAGATCCCACTCAGGTATCTCCTGATTTAGTAAGAGGGGCTCCTGATTGAGGCAAGATATATATATTCTTACAATGTCCTGATTAAGAAACATACCTACAACCTCTAGCTAATGTAATTCCATCTTCCCGTCCGGCTCACGTAAGGGCTATAATGTTTAAAGCAGGGTGGCCGTCGCCCGTACAAGGAACACTGTAAAAGTCAGCCCATAATGCCCAGCGAGGCGTAAGCCGATGGCCAGACCGATAGGCGACGCTTATAAGGAAGTTTTAAGGTCAGCGAAGGTCAGGTGAGTCAGGCCAGCCCGCGTGCGTGGCTTTGACCCGGGTCCCAAAAGGTCACTTGTCCGCTGTAGGTCACGTGACGTAAACAAAGCAGGTGACGTGGGTGTGTGCTGTGCCTCGACGACACAACACACACACACACACACTACCACTGTGGTTAGTTGTTGTGGTTGTGTGGTGTGGTGGTGGTATTGTCCGGGGAGGTGGCCACCTCCGGGAGACAAGTATGAGGCGACGCGAGCAGGAAGCTTGTGGAGGTGGTGATGGTGCAGTTGTTGCAGACACCTGCACCATCACCGCCTGGTGGGGCAGGTGTTGCAGACGCCTGTTTGGGGGGGGGGGCAGGTGTTGCAGACGTCTGCTTGGTGGGGGCAGGTCCACTACCTTGACGCTGCAACACAAATATTCACTCCATATTTATTATTAGACAAAAAATACTTTCTGAATATTATTTATGAGAGAGAAAGAGAGAGAGAGAGAGAGATAAGTAGAGAAATACACACAGACAAATAACAGAAAGAAAGACATATCCAGAATATAACACACACATAACCTACACCCAACATCACAGAACATTACACCACATATCCCTCCCCCCTCCCAACAACATCACCCACATAACTAACACAAAACATTATACACAAACCAATTGACACCCTACAACATGTGCCGCCAGAGAAAGCCAAACACATCAACACACACACCTTACAAACTCCCACACAACTCACACCACTTGAGCCAGAACCCCCCCCCCCCCCCCGACAAGTCACTCTAGATAATAAGTGAGAGAGAAAATCTCCACAAAACAGCTACCAGCAAGTGAGGAAGGCAACGGAGGGACGACATACGCACAGCCGTCGTGGAAGGCAAGCCTTCCTAGTGGCAAGAGAGAAGAGCGATCAATCGTGCGCGATACGAGGTTGATATCGCTTTGGCGATCTCTGTCGCAACAAGATCAGTTCCCCTCTTGTCAGTGATATAGTTTGTTCCTGCAGCGTTGAACATTTTGCCAAGAGGATCTTTGATAGAGCACTTCACCTTTTGTTTTTCAAATAGAGTCCCTATGTTCCTCAGATAGAGTCCCTCAGTTCTACGGACAGACTCTTTCTGCTGCTCAGAAAGAGTCCCTCTGGGAGAACCTCTTCCGGAAAGCTGTCCTCTAGGAAAGTCCCACTTCCCGTCCCACCTTTCAGTGCCGGACTAAAGCAGGTGCTATAGATGCCCCAGCTGTTTCTCATCGCCCTGGTGCATATAAAGTGTTCTCTCGTCACTTGGTCTCCTGGGGTGAAGTTTCAGCCCTGAGTAACGAGGACACGCGAGCCGCAGCGGGGGAAACTTCAGAAGATTTACTGGAATGATATCGAGCCTGAAATTGGTGCCAGAAATTCCTCACTGGAGGAACAGTTT